TTTCCCACCCCCAGTCAATTTTTTTGGAAAATATGTAAAAATGGTCAGTCTGAACAACAATTGTAGAACCGATCGAGCTGAGTACCTATTGCCATTTAAATAATTGAAATAGTAGATAAAAATAAGAATATTGATTCAAATGTTAATTCTATTTTGGTGAAATTGGAAAGGAAAATTAATCTTTTCCTTGTTAATGTCTCTCACTGAAAATGCCACAGGAAAAGTTAAGTAAAATCGAGGAAGAAAGAAAGGCTGACCATTCTGTCCATATTAGGTTTGATTGATGAAGGAAAAGGAAAAAAGGGCGTGGCTAAAAAAGAGTACCCAAACCATATAAGTTCCTTGTAATAAAACATTCCGGAAATGAATACAATTTGTAATAGAACTTTTCCGGAAGCAGTACAGGTTGTAATAAAACATTCCGGAAGGATTACAAATTGTAATAAAACTTTTCCGGAAAAATTACAATTTGTAAAATAATAGTGTAAATAATTGTAATTATTTTAAAAATTAACCGGAAACAATAAAACTTTTCCGGAATACATTTACAATCTCAGTGTATTTGTAAAAATTAATTTAAATATGTAGTTTCCGGAATATTCTAAAATCCGATATAATTTCAAGGATTGAATATTTATTAATCTTTGTATAATTTTTACTCTCTAAAAAATAAAATCTATAACTTTAAAATAAAAATATCATTCATCAAATTTTTAAACGGAAAGGAAATACACTGCTCCACAAAAGTATAGCGCCACCCCTATTTTTCTCGGTTTCAATACTGTAACCGTTGTTTTTATTTTTAGACTTTTTTGTAATAATAAATAGTGGTCTAAAATTAGGTTTGTAAAAAAATTTTGTTTTTAAATCAGGTTTTTCGATTGTTACAGGCAAATCCCCAGTTTTAGGGTTCCACAAAAGTATAGCGCCACCTTGAAATTTCGGGTTTCTAACATTAAGAAAATTCTACAAAAATTTTAGTTAACATAATGATCGATTCTAAGAAAAAACAAAAAGAATTAGACCCATATCTCACTTCAGTGTTGAGATCCAGATACCTAGAAAATCAACGTAAATCGGGGGTAAGGCTATTTAAAAAATAATTTCCACCCCTTAGGGTTTGTTTAAAATTTTTATTTTAGGCTTACCTGAAAGCCCTTGAAATTTGCTACAAGATAGCATAAGTTTACTTTTCCAGAAAAATTATTTCAGTAAGTTCTTAGGCTTAAAATTTCTAAGGCACAAAAAACGCCGTAATGCCCCATAAAATTAGCACCGTGAGATTAACGTCATGCATATCTCTATTGAATTTTTTCTTAGATATATGAGTATTGCTATCTTGTAGCAAATTTCAAGGGCTTTCAGGTAAGCCTAAAATAAAAATTTTAAACAAACCCTAAGGGGTGGAAATTATTTTTTAAATAGCCTTACCCCCGATTTACGTTGATTTTCTAGGTATCTGGATCTCAACACTGAAGTGAGATATGGGTCTAATTCTTTTTGTTTTTTCTTAGAATCGATCATTATGTTAACTAAAATTTTTGTAGAATTTTCTTAATGTTAGAAACCCGAAATTTCAAGGTGGCGCTATACTTTTGTGGAACCCTAAAACTGGGGATTTGCCTGTAACAATCGAAAAACCTGATTTAAAAACAAAATTTTTTTACAAACCTAATTTTAGACCACTATTTATTATTACAAAAAAGTCTAAAAATAAAAACAACGGTTACAGTATTGAAACCGAGAAAAATAGGGGTGGCGCTATACTTTTGTGGAGCAGTGTATGTCTCAAAAACTCTCATAATGATTTTTAAAAAATAAAGCAACGGATATTATTGATCTTGGCCAAAGAATTTTAAAATGTTTCTATTTATTTTTTAAGTTATTCATGGGACTTTGTCTTGTTCTTTTCAGGTCTATTATATGCCCTTTTCAATGCTTTTATGAAATGTAATACTTAAATATTTGGCAGTAAAAAATATTCGAATTTTTTGTGAGTTCAAAAACCACTCGAGGGCTGTTCTATTTTTTCTTTCAATGAAAGGACAAGGAAGAATTGCCGGAAATATATAAATTCTTGTATAAAAATAATTTTAAACGTTTATTGATTTGGATTACAGTAAATGCTTTAAAGCCCTCTCTATTAGAAGCCTATGTCAAATACAAGCCCATCCAAGGCCCAATAAAAAGTAGACCACTCTCTATTAGAAGCCGATATCTTATACAAGCCCACCCAAGGAGGCCAATCAAAAAATAAACTTACACTCTCTAATAGAAGCCCATTCTGAGATAAGTCCACTAAAGCGCCCTAGTGGAAAATAGGCGACCATGGCTTTAATTAGAGCATCTAAGATATTCTAGTAATATTAAAATAAAAAATAAATTTCTTAGAATTCTAGAAATGAAGGTCAACAAAAATTTTTTTTATTTTTTCTTTAAAATGTGCTTTTGTCTGTTTGTTTACATTACTTCAAATTTTTAAATTGTAAAGGTACAATCAACTGGAATAATCTTAAGTCCTTTTTTTTAATTTTAAAAATGTTTTGAGAATTTAAAGAAAGGGAAAAAGCAAAAGAAAAACATTAATTCATTTTTCCGTTAAACTCAAAAAAAATTAAATTAACTTGATAAAATTTTGATGAACCGTAAATTTTAAAATTATTTTTTAAAGAAAAAAACAAAATTAAACAAATGAAATCATCAAAGTCTGGTTTAAAAAATTGGTTTATTTTATTTATTTTTCTAGTAGTAAAACATAGAGAAATTTGGGGGGCAACTTGCTAACTTAAAATTAAAAATAATAAAACTTTATGTAGGGTAGCACCGTGACCCTTCGGGAGTGTCGGTGACGGGGTCGGGGTTGACTTATGGGTCAAGGTTGGGGGGTTATTTTCGAGTTATTTTCTACTTTCTAATCGCAAAAAATATTCATCGAAGATTGGGGCTTGCCGTGGAGGACATATCGAAGTTCAGGGTCGTGGTTGACTTTTAGCTCGGGGTTCGGGTTGTATGCCTCGGGGTTCGGCATACTTTTAATCAAAATAAACATTCATTTTAAAAAAATAATAAAATCAATTGTTTAAGAATCAAAGGGATATAATTCAATTCTAAGATTATCGTTAACCTTTCTACGAAATAATTTTAAATTATGGACAACTTAATTTTAGGCCTTTTTCTTTTTTTTTGATGGAAATTGGAGATTGTGTAAAAATGAAAAGGCTAAATATTTTTAAAGATATATTTATGTTATAGCAATTTTCTTTTGCGGTTGTCAATAGCCTAAAATTGTTCTATTTTAAGAAAAAAAATGTTTAAATGAATAGAAATTGGATTTTGTCGAATTTTAAAAATAAAAATTATTAATAATTTAATTCATAAAAAGGTAAAGGTATGTCTATAAAAATTAAAATAGCTATTTGAAGAAGGGGAAAATAATTCAAAAAATTTTCTGGAAATTGGTTTCATATTATTTAAATTTTTTCTAATTGAATAAATTTAATCTCTGAACACTTGTAGGTAGAGCCATCCAAGGCTCTTGGTTCTGAGTCGTGGCTCAAGACTTTTCTTAAATTTTTTTCGGTCTGCGTCTGGAAATTGCTTTCATATTATTTAAATTTATTCTTTTAATTGAATAAATTTTATCTATTTCATCTATAAATTAGTTGAACATTCAGGTAGAGCCATCCAAGGGTCTTAAGATTTTTCTTCAGTTTTTTTCGGTCTTGGTCCTAGATTGAAGTCATGGTCTTGAGTCTTTAGCTTTAGAAAATTTTCGGTCTTGGCATCTCTACTTATAGGGATAATAAACCTTTTAAAATTTAAATATTGAATAAATAATTGAATATAATATACCTACATAATAGTATATTCCCAAAAATATATTTTAAAAATTTACTATAAATTTTCACCTAAAACCTAAGTATTTCTTCAATATTTTTTTCTGTCAAAAACTACTAGAAGTACTTTAATTAAAATAAATTGGGAAAAAAGGAAAAAGACTTGAAGGTTTTAAGTATATATTTGGCAGGATATGAGAATGACTCAAAAAAGACAAGGGTGATTGAAAGACAAAAGTGCCACTCGTTGTTGTCGTCATCCATCCTTGACTCTTTTCGCTAAATTGCTTTAGGTGTCTGTTGGATTGCTGTGCGCCAAATTTTTGGGAATGGGTAAAATTAAAGGGAGGAAAAGCTTATGGCTAACATAAGGCGCACGGCTTTAGAAGCCTCGGGAAGTTTTAAGACAATTCAATTTTATGCAAAATTTTGAAGGGGAATTGAAAGGGGAATTGATTAAGAAACGTGAGATAAAATATATGTGGATGATAAAAAATATAAAAAAAATTTTTTGGAATTTTTTTTTGCTATTATCATTTAAATAAATTTTAAATATTTTTGGAAAAAAATTAATTGCAGGCTTATATTCAAGTAAAAAATAGGTAATATTTTTGTAATATAAAAATCGTATACTCATTTAATTCCAATGTGAGGGAAAAAAATAAAAAAAATAAACCAAGCAATTTTAAAAAAAAATTTTCTATAGGCTAAGGTAATTGAGTTAAATATCCTCCTTCTTTTGATTAATCCAAAGGCTAATTATATTATCGTAAATTGTTTTATTTTATTACATTAAGTCTTACAAATGCCAAGAAATGTGGATAAATGAAAACAAAAAAATATTTATAAATGGGATTAATAATAAGCAAAATAAAAATAATTTTAATCGAAGAATTCTAAAAATTTCAAAATTCACCAATAAATCTGGACTTTATATCAGGGGTGTGCCGAAACAGATTTTCAAAAGCTAAAGACAAAAGAAAATTGAAAGCCAATTTAAAAAGCTAAGGCTGGAAGGGAAAGCGAAACACCCTGAAAGACTAAATTCGGCAAAAGGCGAAACGGCACACACCTGTTTACCTACTTAATTCAAAAAATGTACATAAAAAAGGCCAATATATGAGTGATAACCACCCGTAAAAACAATTTTTATTCTAATTTATTTCAACTCTTATCCCTTAATAAAAATTCAATATGAGCAGGATTCACCGTTTTACTGCTCTGTAAATTCCAGGTTTTCTCAATTCTTCTCACTTGTCTTTTTCTTGCAAATCTTTCACATAATACATAAAGACAAATCATTGGTATAACAGAAATAAGTCCGAGAGGACCAAGAGTTGCTACCTGAATTTTGAAAAAGCTTAAAGATGAGAGAAAATCTTGCTCCTCACTTTAGAGTTATAATAGTGGTAGACATTTTCTGTGAGTAATTCATCGCAAAAACGGCCAGAATAAGGCTTTGGACAGTTACAATTTTGAGTTTCTAATGATTCCTGCCCTCCATTTTGGCATTCAATATATTCGCATTTATCCCCTTGAAAGTTGGACTGGCAGACAGGGCAGCTGAATATTATAAAATATATAAGGGTCATAATATGAAGGCAAGGAGCCGCCTTTGAAACCTTCCCAATTCCGAAGTGAGAAAGAATCCCCAAACCTTCCTAACCTTCCATTAGCAGTTCGCTCAAAAGTAGCACAATGCATTTCCCTCTGACAATTGGTACCGGCCCAACCATGATCACATACGCAACGGCCACCTACTGAAGCTCCATGCGCGCAGCTGTAATCAAAAAAATGAAGACTACTAAAAGATCCTAAAAAAATATACAAAATCTTTGGCAGAGAGCTTTCAGCCTCATTTTCTTCCTTCTGGATTTCTTGCAGTTTTTGTCTGCTGAAATAATTTCCTTGATTGTGTGGGTAACGATGCCGTTGAGCAACAATATTAAAGGGAAATATAAATAAGAATAAAGACAAAAATGATAATAATCGGCTGTTAGTTGCAAGTTCCATTGTGTTTATAGGTCGGTAGGGTAACTTATAGGGTTGAAAAAGTCGGTGGATCCAAGTTCCAAATTGATGAATCTTGGAATTTCTCTGTTGAAATTAAAGCCCGGAACACTAAGCACTAATAACAAAGTTGTTGATGAATCATTATTTCCAGCCTTTTTCTAAATTGATTGAACGCAAAAGGGAATTGCGTAATGAAAACAACAGGCTGGTGATTGTTCCTCTCCTTCACTCCTAATTGTTCCTCTCACAACTCTGAAGGACAACATTCTATCTAATCACTATTTAACTGTTATTTTTCAATTAGAGTGAATTCCCACAATAAATTACCAACTCTTTTCAAATTGGTCCACCCTCATACTCCACCCCCATATATAGAAAAATTTAAAGTAAACAAATCATTTTTACTTTCAAAATTGTAAAGATAAAAATGACGAAATGGAAATGACGAAAACAATTGTTATATTCGTCAAAGACGATGTAATGGTTTAAGATTGGAAAAAAATAATTAAAATATATTTAAATATCTGGAACAAACTATGAAAAGAAATAGAAATCTTATCAATTTCATATGATAAATTAGCCTTCTGAATCTTATCAGAAAATATAGATATTAAATACCAAATTTCATTAAAATCTGTCCACGTACTAAAAAGTTATTGAATTTTCAAATAGTGCTTTTTATCTGAAACACCCTGTAGTATATTTTTACGGTCTTTAGTCTTGCATTTTAGACTATATAATAGATTTAAAATTCTCTTGCCATTTCTCATTTTTGCAATTTCTATTGAAAATAGCAACATTAACTGATTGACAGCTGCAGCTGCCAATTATAAGGCACTAAGGGCAATAAATAAATTATTATTAACATTACGTCCTCATAAAAATTAATATTGTTATTTTGATCAAAAATTAATATTGAGATAGTGAAATGAAAATTAATATTATAATTTTTATTTTGATGATCAACAAGTGGATTATTACAATTAATTCTGACAGTAGGTTATATTGATACGAGGCAATTTAAAATATAGTGTGGGTCATTTTGGACAGTTACAATTTTTGAAAAAAATTATGAGATAAGAAACAATTTAGCGCATTCTGAAATTTTTTAGGTATTGAGACTGTTAAGAGGTTTGTGGAAAAGTTTCAAGATTTGGCCAGTGCAGATACGGATGTTTTGGAAAAATTGGCCAAATTTGGAAACAAGACTTATGCTTTGCTTAAATTAGCAGGCCCGATATCAACTCTATTATGTGAAGGATTTTCTGGAATCATTACTGTAAGTATCGTCCTTCGAATTTTAAATTTTAAAGGTCTCTAAAAGATAAAGCGTTTAAATTTTAGCCTGGTTCTGATGATTTTAAAGCAATAAAATTGCTTCATGATAGTGTCAAAACCGAATTTTTATCAATAGATCAGACAGTTGAATCCATAGTAGAACGTGGGTTTCACTTCAGCTATATGGATGATTATACGGATGTAAGTTAATTAACCCTAGGATGCTTCGAAATTTCGAGAATTCTCTAATAAATTATGAATTTTTAGAGAATTGAAGGTAGTATACAAATGCTTAATCTACATTATAAATGGGCTACTGATAGTAGGGTTAACCACACAAATCCAGCAGTAAAAGAACAATTGAAATACCAATGTCTGAATCACAACTCGCCGATTGGGATGATTAATGTATGAGAATTTTAATTATGAATTTGCTAATAAATCAAAAGTGACTGCCCCGTTAAGCAGATTAATTAGCAAAAATTCCGTAAAATGTCATTAAATGGGGCTAAGAAATTTTGATAGCCTCCAAGAATATTTTAAATACTTATAAGCTTAATTCTTATTTATCAAATTATTTAAGTGGCTTCAGCGAAATATTGTTAGACATTGCTCAAATCCCAGTTTATTGCATATAAGAAATTATGTTTATGCTCTTAATACTATGGATGAACTAGAAAATAAAATTTTCGTTGAAGAGGACTTTTACAAGGATAATTTGTTTTACAAACATTGGAAAAAAGGTGGGAAATATTATAAAATTGCTTAAAAATATTAGGATTTAATTGCTAGAATCCATAGTTTAAAAGAAGAAATATCCGCGATTTACAGTAAGAATATTATGAAAATTTATAATTTTTCATGTGATATTAGTTATAATAATTATAAAATTTAGTGACAATCGACAGATTAACACATACTTCGTTGTCAAAATCGTACGATCGAATTAATTTGCTCAGAAATCGTAATAATTAAAAATTATATAAAAATTTTGTTCTAACAGATTATCACCCTATATTTTCTTTTATTCTTCTTAATTTCTTTTATCCTTGCTTCTAAATTATCTAAATAATCAAAACATAAAAATCTCTTGAACTATTATAGCTTAAAATTTTTCAGATTTTCTTGAAAAAAATGATACTATTGATATTTCAAATGTTACTTCTGCTATACAATTAATCGACACTTTAAACAATGCATTTATTAAAGCGGTTGGAGCCGATTTCGTAACTGATCCCCTCAAGTAATTAAATCCAATGATTATTGGGAATAAGTATTAATAATTTTAAGGTGTCTCCTTCAGAGTTTTTCTGTTGGGGTGGAGAAGAAGAGGGAATCTTTACTTAATTTGGCTAAAATTATAATGGCTGATATGACAAAGATTGTAACTTTAACTCAATTTCTAAAAATTTCATCTAATTTTAGGCAATGTTAGGAGTTATTTGCTCGTCGGTTGAAGACAACAAAGTAATTAATGATATGAAAATTCAACATCTTGGAGAAACTATAAACGCTATAGCACGTAAAATGCATAGTTGGATCGTATCAGAACTCGTAATTTTTGTTAAATTTTTATTTGAACATATTTTATAGAACAGCGCTTGGCCGGCGGTTATAAAAAAATATGCTGAAGAAGAAATGAAAAAAATAAACGAGTCAAATTATGATTATATAGCCAAATTAATACAGAAAAGTGCCAATGATAGAGGACCATCAAGGTTATGTTTTTCCTAGATGGAGTCCAAAAAATTAATTCAAAATTTAAAAAATTGTCTCAATTTTAGTATCTCTAAAACTATATTATTTGTAGTTTTCTACACCAAGTAATCATATTACCTCCATGGAACGCGATATATTTTAAATCTGTTTGCGAGGAATATGTCTGTCAAAAAATTGTATCAACCGCTCGGCTATACATAACCAGATACAATTTATTGGAGGAAGATGGCTTGGACCTCTTTCAAAAAAACTATAATGCAAATAAATGGATGCTAAAGAATAGAAATATTTTAAAGGCTGCCATGGAGTAAATTATAAAAATTTTAAACTATTGAAATTTAGTCTATTACTTTTAAGGCGTATCGTTGACAACTGGAGCAAAACTATAATAAGAACTGATAATATACTTGAGGCAATACTAAATGAAATGGAGAGTTCATTAGGAACCAAACCTGTAGATACATCGCTGTATATGAGTATAGTTTTCGTATACAACTCAGTCTGGCTAGAGGAAAAGTGCGTTATTCCCCTTGGATTTGCATCAAACAAAATAGAAAACAAAGAAGCATACTCAATTATAGAATATGCTGTGAACCCAAGGCTTATCAACGCGAAGAGATTCAAAATTATCTTTCTGATATAGAACAAAAATTGGCAAAAACAAACAAGACTAACAAATATATTGATGAATTTTAAACCTTTAACTGTTAATAAAATAAATATTATTTTTAAAGCTACTAAAGATATTCAGATTTGACATTCTCCTCTTTTATTAAGCCATTATTACAAATAGATTGTGAGGAGTTTAAGAGCTCAATTCATCTTAGATTTTACCATCTCTTTTGGGGTAAGTAAATTACACAAAAATTTTCGTCCGCGACACTAAAAGGAAGGTTAGTAAAGGAGAAGCAACTGTGTTAAAAAAGAATTTTCGAAATTACTCAAAAAATCTGGCATACAACTGATTAAAACTTAAATTTTCAGAAATATTTTTTTAATTCAAAAATATATTTATCAAAAAAGTCAAATTAAAGCCAAATTTTTAATAAAATAAAAAAAATGAATTAAACTAACACCAGGTAAAAAAATAGATTTATCAACTGATTCTCTTAATTACAACTCTAACTCCCGGTACACACTCCTGATTGCCTTCAACAAGAAGTGACACATCAATACTTCTATATATATCTTCAATGCATACAGAAAATTTAATTTTTGGATTGTGTTTGTTGGCGAGTCGAAATTTTGTTGTTTTAATACCTTCTTTAAATTTGGTTTTGATATTTTCTGCATTTTCACTTGAAATAAGAGGTCCATACATAACATCAAATTTTATTTCTTTCACTATTTGAGAAGGGTCTTGTGATGTTTCAATATGCTAAAATTAAATAATTAAAAAAATACTAACTTTGGTCTAATAAATAATAAAATTCTATAATAAAATTTACACACCTTTATAATAGAATTGTAAATTTTCGAGTCAAGATTCTGATAAATAATACTAGAAAATTTATTTGCTCCATCTGCCAAAAGTTTAATTAAAATGTCTATACTTTTTTCCATGTCGAAGGGGTCAAAAAAACGAATAGGGTCTGATGTCTTGTAGGAATCAATAACAATAATTCTAAATTGATTACAAATCAGATGATTCAAAGCAAAATTTAAAGAATGTTGATAAAACAGTTCTGCTCTTTGAGAATGGATAATTAAAGGCATATTAGTTGTTTGATTTCCATCAAATAATAATTCGATCATTTGTGGATTAATTATAATGCTAGCAATTTGAAAAAATTCAAAAGCACAGTTAAAAAATAGTTGCAATAAATAACGAGCAATTTTCATTTCCTCTATATTATTTAGAAATTTTGGCAATTGTAAATAGTATAATGCTAAATAAAAATTTTTTAATGATTAAAGAATAATTTTAAGTAAAAGTTTTAAGACTTTAAAAATAAAATCTTGTAGTCTTTTCTTTTGATCAATTCAGGGTGGCCATTTCTAAGAGGGAAAAGGAAAAAAATTCTCCCATTTCAGAAAGAAGGGAAAAGGGGGCGAAAAAGTCAAAAAGGGAGCAATGCCCCCTAAAGAGGCTAAAATGGCCACTCTGGATCAAACTTGAAATTTATATTATGAACAGCCTATATATCTATCATGACAGATTTGTTCAATTTTTGCAAACAAAAGATTTGCCTTACAAAAAGGCGAGGTAATATTATTATTATTTCAAATAATAAGTTTACCTTTTTCAACATTGTAATTTTGTTGCAATTCACAAACAGCGGTGTCAATGTTCGTGAGGTCCGAATTCTCATCCGTTGTTAAAAACATTGGAATTGATTTTTCTATTCCACATTTCCACTAAAATTTGTTTATTTTAAAATAAAAGTTTTTTTAAAACCTTTTCCTCAAGTTGTTCACCTAATTCAAAATCATAAAGTTGAGGGTCTAGTTTAATGAATTCATACTTCTGTTCACAAAATTCAAATTCTCCATATTGTTCACCCAATTTAAACCAATAAAGTTTAGGATGAGGCTTATGTTCTTTATATCTATCTCCAGTCTCATTATCGATAGGAATCTAAAAAATAATTAGTAATAGTCAGGAAACTGGATTTGCGCATGCCGGAACAGATCAGACATAATTTTCGGGATTAATCTGATCTGTAAATATCTGGAGATGTCAAAAAAAAACCCGTATTTAGTACGCACCAGGACTGGGCTAATATTTTTAGATTTCGCCCAGCCCTGGTGCACACACTGAAAAAATCGGTTGTATCCGATCTGGCGCAGTTCATAATGTTATTATAAAAAATTTACAATTTCAAGTTTATCGTATTTCTTCCATGCCAAATGCTTTCCATATTTGTCGATAAAATTTTTGAAATAAAAACTTGTTTCTTGAAAAGATAATAATTGATTGAAGTCGATACATTTAAGCACATCAAGTTGAATTTCAGGCGGAATGTTTATTTTTGGAAGCTTCTTAGTTTTAATATCATCAATCACTTTGTCGTTGTCAATTGGAAGCATTTGGTACCATTGACTTTTCTAGAAATATTTTTTGTTTCAACATTAAAAGTTAATCAAAACCTCTTTACAATATTTAACTCTGTCGTGTTCAATAATTTTTCGATCCAAGAAAAATCTAATTAAAGATATAAAATTTGGTCTGTAAATTGGAACAAAATATTCTAGAAAGAATTTTATTTAAAAAAAATAATTTTAATGATTAAAAAATCAAAAACAATTTAATTAACATTTATATGACATTTATTTTATCAATTACATCAAAAAAAATTTTCCATAGAAATCTTATTAAATAAAAGGGATATAACAAACAAGGATCTAAAAGACAAGATAATACTTCTATATAATATTTAGGGCTGCCAAAATAGACCAAAATGGACCGAAAGATCGAGTCGGGCATAAAATTAGGGTTGTCGGTTCCTGGAAAATCTTTGGATATCCGGAACTGAACCGAAGATTTTTCGGTTTGGTTCCGGATATCCGAAGATTTTCCAAGAACTGACAACCCTAATTATATGCCAGACTCGATCTTCCAGAACCGAAAACCATACATAGGACATTTAGCTTGAAAAACTCGGACGACCCGGTCCGATAGAAACAAACCCCGAAAAAAATGCCTCAACTGTCGGCCCGACTCGGAAACGGCAACCCTAATAAATATTTCACAAGATTCCTAACAATAATACATATTCACAATTTAAAACTTCTCATCTTTTATGAATTTTCTCATACAAAATTGACCTGCTTCCTGAACACATCATCGTTAAAACAAAACCATTATTACAAATTCCATTTGTGAGGAGTTTAAACGCCTGATCCATCTTTGATTTTGCAATTCCTTTGGAGCAATAAAGTTCCACCAAAGCATAATCAAAATTAATTAATTCGCCAGATATTCTTTCAGAAGAGGATAATAAATTTGTAGTTTCATCAGTTGGTTGAGTAGAAGTTTGGGTAGAATTTTCTGGAGGAGCAAGATTGACCAATTTACAACTAGAATTTTAAAAATAAAATAAAAAATCAAATCGGAAAATAAAAATCGGAAAAAATCCCCCAAAAAATCCATGTTCAAAAGTAAGTAATTATTTGGTTCACCACTCTCCCTTCCTCCCAGTCCGTATTCCTTCTATTTTTATTAATATGTAAGAATGATCAGACTTTCTTTCTTATTTAAATGGACAGTCTATGCCTGAGTCACTAACTCAAGAAATTTGGGACTATGTCAACGTTGGGTGCATGAACCACTTGCTCCTATTTGCAATTAGTATACCTTATTCCCACAAAATCTTTTCGGGAATAAAAGGCCCTACTCACATAGAGGCAATTATTGAACAATAAATTTCAAACAAACCAATCATTCGAAGAAAAAAATTCATTAGGATTATTCATCGCAACCAACATCTTCTTGGCATACTTCTTTCCACCAGTATTTATTTGATGAAAACATTCACAAAGTGAAGTATTGAATTGCATTCCATTTTCAATACGTAGTGCTTCTCTTAAAAAAGGGGGATAAAAATAATAAGGTGAATATTACAGAAAGTGAACTAGTGGGGAATTAAATCAACTTTTGAAAAAAAACTGACAAGGAGAATAACCAATCCATGATACGTGTTTCCCCAAAAATCAACAATTTATCTTCCTGTCGGAAGAGTACTAGAACCACACAACAAAACTCTCCCCATATCCAATATAAAAAACTTACTCAAAATTAAATAAACCTTCACAATTATTTTGTAGTGACTCGTCGCTCACAAAAGCTTCAACACAAGTAGTAACCTCTTCAGTCTCTTCTATTTTGGTTTCAATTGTGGTCTCCTCCTCTTTAGGTTCCTCCTTTTTGGGTTCATCCTCTTCGTATTCCCCCTTTTTGAGTTCCTCCTCTTTGGGTTCTTCCTCTTTGGGAACATCCTCTTTTGCCTCGTCCTCTTTGATTTCACTCAAACAATTATCATCACCTTTCACTTCTCCATTATTTAAATTCACACCATCATCTAATTTTGATCCAGTTATTGACATTCCATTAGCTTTTGCCCATTCACTAAATTTCCATCCTAAAGCAACATTTCCAAATTGAAGACTAAAAAATAAAAATTTAAGCTTTTTCCCATAAATAATAGAAAATCTAAAACCCTTTCTCAATTTTTAATTTCAACAATTTCCATGTAGCCAAAGCATCCTGTAAAGAACAATGTCCCTTGCTTGAGTCTTGAATGTCCTCATTTAGAAAAATTTTTGATAAAGCTTTAAGTCCACTTCGAATATGTAAACGACCAGAGAAGTTAAAAAGAAGAGAGGTATCAATACAATAACTGAAATTAAAAAAAAATGTAAAGAATAGAAGAATACAAAGGAGGAACAAAAAATAAAGGAAAAAGTCAAATGAGAAGGTGGTATGATGACGTAATACCAAACGCCAAAACAAACTCAAAAAAGAGACAGAAAAACTAAAATATGGATTAACAACCTTCCACCATCATTGAAACAATCTTCCCCCTTCTTCCATAGTTTAATACTTTGGCAGATTTAGGAATTTGGTATTTCTTGGCGTTTGGTATTCCGAGGCATCCCCTTCAAAGTTACCCAAAAAATAAGAAAAACTAACGGATGCGAAAGTTGCAATGCCCTTAGATCGTTCTCTAAACTATGTCCACATAGAATTGCATCTGCTGGCAGTAAAGTACAAAGCCTGTGTTGAATGTCTTTTAGACGAGTCTAAATATTTCGATTAGAATTATAAATTTCAAAAATTCTTACAAAAACATTTAAAAGCATTTTCTCGGTTATACCACTTTTGAATGTAATATAATTAATAATTTTGTTGTGAGGTTTCACCAATTCATCCATAACTGTTTCGCCATCTTCATTGACCTAAAATAAAATGGAAATTGAATTAGTTAAAAGATTAAAAAATAAGGTTTTAAAAAATTAATCGGACGCGGAAAAAGCCTAGATTAGATAAACAGGAGTAGTGCTGGGCATGGTGTCTTCGGGAGCTAGCTCCGGAGCTGACAAGAATTTGAAAACCCCAGGAGCCGTAGCCAAGGTTTGAAAAAGGTTGGAGTCGGAGCAACAAAATGTCCAATACACAGCACTAAATAAAAGCAAAAGAACCCGGATTTGGAACCCGGACTCCAAAAAGCAAAAAGGGCAAGTCGGAAACTCAAAATTTAACCCCTCAAATTCGCAAAAAAAAAACAAAAAAATATACCACAGAAATTCGAGTCAATTCGAGTTGTTGAATCGATGTTTGACACATTTCACAATCCAAAGTAAATATTGGTGAAGTTTCAGAAACTTGATGATATATTTTTCGAGTTGAGCGAATTGTTCCATTACAAAGTTGCTCGCCAAAATATTCAGAAGGAAAAGGGAATTTTGACGTCACCATTTGTTCTAAACTCATTAACATTTGAGGCTTTCGTTGAGACATGTTAATTTGAAGAAGAGGATCGCCTTGAGTCTAAAAAATAGAGAAAATTTTATAAATTGTGTTAAATATGATTTTAAGAAAGAGGCAGAGACGGGAATTTAAACCCCTTTGCTTCTTAATTTTGGTTGAAGAGTTTGACCAGACTCTTGACCTTGAGTCAAGGAAAAATCAAAGTTAAGGAAGAAATAAGAAACATTGCTAAATGCCTTTATCTTGACTCTGGATCAAGAAAGAATCAAGATCCAAGCCGATCTCTAACAAAGGATAAAAGTGGTACCCCATGTGAGGCACAAAGTCGGATTCAAAAGGAGCAGCACTTAAAGTCCCACCTCAAGAAAAACAGGATAAGCAAATAAAAGAACCTTTATCTTATGTAAAAGCATCTCATATTTTGATCGAGTAACTGTAGAAACAGTTTGCCAAAATCTAGTTCTGTTTGGTTTTCCTGGCTTGAGTTTGATCCAGTGTTTGAAATATCCTTGCATAAAAGGCGTGCCGGAGAGATTTAACTGAAAAAGTATTGAAATTAAATTAGCCGAGCTTAAAAAATTAAAAGGAAAAATCAATTCAATGAACAAGGATGTCTCGATTTACCGTGTATCGCTTCGAAAAAAGTGCGGGGTTCGAACCTCGGGCCAGGTCGATTAAGAGATTAAGAGAAAAAGTTGTATTGGGGTTCGAATTGGTTCTAAAATTTCTTCGGATCACATCTCTATTTGAGAAAAAGGCAGGGTTTCGGATCACCACGTGACATCCCTGGCATGACCTTAAGGACAGAATTAAAATTAATTATACCACTTGATCATCGTCGACATTAATTCTAATAAACACAATTTGAAGCGCCTTTCCACCCTTAAACTTTATCCAATCAGATCCCGCTTTAGGACAATTATTGCTTCCCAGCATCATTCTATGAAGAAATGCAGCAATTTCGTGTTCTCCCAGGGTTCGGCCTTGCAATTTGTATAATTGTAGAACCACTTCAGGATTGTTGAATCTCTTCGTCTTTACAGCCAATTTTTCTTTAACCTGCTCTCCAAGGACGCGAGCATAGCCAGGCAAGTCTAATTGACCAGAATGAACGGAATCGCTGGTAGACGGAAGGGAAACTGAATAAAAGTTAAAAATAGAAAAAATAAAATTAAAAATAAACGATGATTTTCGACGCTCTTGCTCGTTCCATCCATCAATTCAACCACCAATTTTTGTTTCTTCACCTCCTCTATTCCATCTTTCATTGATTTTAGCTCAGGATCAAGTTCAGAATTCTCAAGCAGTGCCAATTCTGCGTTTCTTTTGCGTATTCTATTCATGGCCCTTTTATCTCGCTTGGTTAAAGAATTCATAAAAATAATTAAATTTGTGAAAACAAAAATTAGCAATCAAAAAGATTTTTTCAAAAGATATTTCAGTGTTTAATTAAAAACACTATGTATGAGAAATAATAAAAAAATGTTTAAAGAAAATTATTTACTCAAAAATGTAAAAACATTGAAATAACGAAAATGTCTCAAAATTATTGGGATTAAAAATAATTAAATTAGAGATCGGAAAATTTTTAGAAAAATTTGAATTTGATTCGTGAATTTGGGTGAAGACTTTGACCAGATTCTTGACCTTACAGGAAGTCTGGGAAAAATAAAAAAAAAAGTCAAGAAAAACCCAAGGAACACCGAAAAATGCCTTGATTTCGGCTCTGGACCAAAGGAAGAATCAAGGTGAGGATCCAAATCCAGTTCGATCTCTAACATAAATTTTCTATATGATAAATATTTTTTAAACAAAAAACCTCAAAAAAATCAATTAAAGAATAAAACTTAGCCAAGCAAACATTGAAAGAATTCCTCCAATTGGGGTAATTGCACGGAAGGTCTTGTTCGCTTCAATTGCATAAGCATAACTCGGTCACAAAACAGCAAAGGTCCCAAAGCAAAAAGAGTTGAAGTAACCCGTGGATGACGCGAAGCAACGGCACATGGACACACCAAAATTTGTGCCCCCTGCACGAAGGCAGGGGGACTTGAGTTGCCCCCTGCACGAAGGCAGGGGGACTTGAGTTGCCCCCTGCACGAAGGCAGGGGGACTTGAGTTGCCCCCTGCACGAAGGCAGGGGGACTTGAGTTGCCCCCTGCACGAAGGCAGGGGGACTTGAGTTGCCCCCTGCACGAAGGCAGGGGGGCTTGAGTTGCCCCCTGCACGAAGGCAGGGGGACTTGAGTTGCCCCCTGCACGAAGGCAGGGGGACTTGAGTTGCCCCCTGCACGAAGGCAGGGGGACTTGAGTTGCCCCCTGCACGAAGGCAGGGGGACTTGAGTTGCCCCCTGCACGAAGGCAGGGGGACTTGAGTTGCCCCCTGCACGAAGGCAGGGGGACTTGAGTTGCCCCCTGCACGAAGGCAGGGGGACTTGAGTTGCCCCCTGCACGAAGGCAGGGGGACTTGAGTTGCCCCCTGCACGAAGGCAGGGGGACTTGAGTTGCCCCCTGCACGAAGGCAGGGGGACTTGAGTTGCCCCCTGCACGAAGGCAGGGGGACTTGAGTTGCCCCCTGCACGAAGGCAGGGGGACTTGAGTTGCCCCCTGCACGAAGGCAGGGGGACTTGAGTTGCCCCCTGCACGAAGGCAGGGGGACTTGAGTTGCCCCCTGCACGAAGGCAGGGGGACTTGAGTTGCCCCCTGCACGAAGGCAGGGGGACTTGAGTTGCCCCCTGCACGAAGGCAGGGGGACTTGAATTGGATAAATATTTTTTAATTAAAAGCCCCCTCCGAAGCAAGGGACAGGTCCATGTACAAAACTGCACATGGACACACCAAAATTTGTGCCCCCTGCACGAAGGCAGGGGGACTTGAGTTGCTGTTGAAGATGTCGAAGAGTCGTTGAAGAACTGTTGATGTTGTCGTTCTAAAAGAAAAAAGTGAAAATTGAAAATGTTTAGAAACTTGGTCACAAAAATTTGCGGATTGTCTGCTATTTTTCATAGAATTTTTAATATAAAAAAGAAACCCTAATTACTTCTGAAGCACAGCCAGATATGCAAACTGTCAGGATCACAGAACACATTGGCAATGTGTTGTCGAATGGGTTTGAGCATAACCAGGCACGTCTAATTGACCAGAATGAACAGAAACGCTGGTAGACGGGAGGGAAACTGAATAGAAGTAAAAATATAAAAAATAAAATTAAAAAATAAACGATGATTTTCGACGCTCTTGCTCGTTCCATCCATCAATTCAACGACCAATTTTTGTTTCTTCACCTCCTCAATTTCATCTTTAATCGATTTTAGCTCAGGATCAAGTTCAGAATCTTCAAGCAGTGCCAACTCAGCGTTTCTTTTGCGTATTCTATTCATGGCCCTTTTATCTCTCTTGGTTAAACAAGAATTCATTAAAAAATATTTCAGTGTTTAATTAAAAAACACCATGAGAAATAATAAAAAAATGTTTAAAGAAAATTTATTTTCTTTAATTGTATAGGTATCTACACAAAAATGTGAAAATAAAATAACGAAACATTTCTCAAAATTATTGGGATTAAAAATAATAAAATTAGAGATCGGAAATTTTAGAAAACTTTGAATTTTGGGTGAGGACCTTAACAAGATTCCTGATCTTAAATCTTGAAAAAATCCAGAAAGTCAAGGAAACCCCAAGGAACACTGAAAAATGCCTTGATTTTGACTCTGGACCTGAGGAAAAAACAAGGGCAGGATCCAAATCCAGGCCGATCTCTAACAAAAATCCTCTATCAGATAAATATTTTTTATACAAAAACCTCAAAAAAATCACTTAAAGAATAAAACTCAGCCACGCAAACATTGAAAGGATTCCTCCAATTGGGGTAGTTGCACGGAAGGTTTTGTCCGCAACAATTGCATAAGCATAACTTGGTCCACAAAACAACAAAGCTCCCAGAGCAAAAAGAGTTGAAGTAACCTGTGGATGACGCGAAGCTACTGAGGCCAACACAATTCCAATAGTGTTGAGAAAGTGGTGCTTGTTTGCATGTTCCATTGAACGTTTACGTTCCGCACTCAAATTTGGGTTGTCAGAAACTAGAAAAATTTTAGGGTTAATAAAAAAATGAGCAGAAAATTAAATTCGCTAAGAAGTTGAAATCACTTATTCTGCCCGTATAAGGGTGAACACGAGGGTCATTAAGCAGCTCCTTCCTCTCGATGAAATTAAATGGTTGAGGAATAGGAGCCGGGATTAAACAAACAATTAAATTGGATGAATTTCTGCTCTTGGATGAATTCTGAACAGAAATTAAAAGACCCTAACCTTTGATTTTAGGTGAGGACCTTGACCAGATTCTTGGTCTTGAGTCAAGGAAAGGTCAAGGAAGAATCAAGGAACAATAAAAAAATGGATTCTTATGTCGTTCCCCCCCTGCCAGGTTTTTACTGATATACCTACTTGTTCTTGACTAGAGTTGACGGCCCGGTTCGATAAATCGAACCGGGCATCGAATTTTGGCCCGAAAAAGACTCGATCGCCCGGTTCGATAAAAATGAAGCCCGAAAAATGACTCGAACGTCGGCCCGGTTCGAAAACAGCAACCCTAATCCTGGCTCTGACCCAGGAAAATCAAGATCTGAATCCATACCCAGGCCTTTCTATACAAATAATTCCAAAACAGTCACTACCCTTCCCCATAACTTTATTAAAAAATAAAAACCAAAATGCGCTCCATAAGCAGCTAGAGCCACAGCCATCGCTCCAGAAAGTCCAGCCAATTTAACAATATATGTTGATCCGCAGTGGTGAACAAAAAATGTTTGGTGTTTTTCCATTATTGGATGGGTTCTGCCTCCTCTTGCCGAGACGCGATTGTCTGTTGTTCCCAATATTGTAGAACAAACATGATTAAATGTTGAAGAAAATAATTTTTCAAATTCATAGCCAAACTGCACAAATTGGTTGAATACGTCGGCCATTTTGTTATAAAAACTAAAAATTAAGGCAAAAGATTAACAAAAGAAAAAACAAAACAAGTAGCGGAAATCGAGAAAAGAATAAAAAACACCCAAAACGGCGCGCGACCATAACGGCGCAAAGCCATAACTTTCTTCAAGTTTACCAAATCTTTGCCAAATTTAGTATTATACGATTCCTCTCATCGTTGCTAAAGAGATTTGTACTAAAATTGATAAGGGCCAAAAAATTTTCAGGAGGCTGTGGCGTTGCGTCACTATGGCCGCGCGCCATTTTGGGTAACTGAGGCCGAAAAAAATTTTTCGGTTTATAGTCAGTTCATTGTGAACTGCCACAGACAAAAATTTTGCGGCTTTTGGAAAGTCGAAGCGCCAAAAATCTTCCCTTTATGTAATAAAATTCCATGAAAAATGTCGGGTTTCGGGAATACAATTTTTAAAATAGTCCCTTCGACAATTTACAAAAATTCCCGTCTTTGACCATTTTTAAATACAACGCGCTGTAGATATTTTATTTATTTTAAGCGATTTGTTATTATGAAAAATTATAAAAACTAGTAAAGGTAAGGGAGAAGAAAAGTAAAGGAGAGAGAGTAAAGGAGATAGAAGAAAAGTAAAGGAGAGAGAGTAAAGGAGATAGAAGAAAAGTAAAGGAGAGAAGAAGAAAAAGAGAAAAGGAAATAATTAAAAAAAGGAAGAATAATTAGTGTTCTCTATAACCTTTCTATTAACCATCTAAGAATTACTTATGCTCAAATCTTTTATTTTTGGGAATTCTTCCACTCTTATCCATGGACCGCTTCGGCGGACTATCTTCGGTAGAAGAATGCTAGTGATAGTGCGCTTCGGTGGCGTAAGCTAGTAGGACGCTACTGGAAGGTAGACATCGGTGGCTGTGCGTTCTGGCAGCACTATTGGTGGCAGTGCGCTTCGGTGGCTCTTCCAATAGTGTTTGTGCGGAGGCAGTGCGCTTGGTGACCATGAGAAAAATTTTGGAGTGTCCATGTGCCGTTTTGTACATGGGACCGGTCCCCTGCTTAGGGGGCATTTAATCTTTGGAAATATAGGTTGCAAAAAATTCCCAGAGTGCATTAGGGGGGAATTTTGTTCCAATTACAGTTACTAGTAAATATTTTCATATTTCATTTGGTTTGACACTCAATACAGCATTTCCTGACAATATATTTCATTCTCTCTCGAATACTTTTAAATTTAAGGAAATGCCGGATATAGAAAAGCAAACAATAATTGAGTGATATTCACTTTGTTTTGTTTGTTTTTTCAACTCTATCCATCCATTTTTAGATAAACACAATTACCTTTATTTTGGCTTTAAAATTATTTATTTTAGATTATCTAGTGCCTCAAAAATTGAGGCTGGTATTGAATAAATGTCTATTTATGACCCTTAATCATACCCCTCCCCCATCCCCTCTTTGAGTTAATATATCCCCCTCCCCTTTATCCAGCGGGAGGTCGAAACAATAACTACCCCCTATCGAGGTCGAAAGAACAATTACTCCCCTCTCTCTATCAAGCGAGAGGTCAAGACAATAATTACCCCGCGTCAAGTGCCCTACCACACGTTGAAATTTTAAACCTCGACTAATTTCAACCTCCGGCGGGGGTCGAAATTACCCAGAGTATACCTGGGATAGTCGGAAGTTGTCATTTTCCTTTGAACTAGGCATACTAGACTTAATTTTCCGGTCATTTCACAAGCAAAAATTAAAGCAAGAAATAATAAATTCTTTATACCCACTTAACTTCCTTCTTTGGCACTAAATTTTCTTTTATTTTGCCTTAGGCAAAAAGCATTTGGCAACTCTTTTTTGTTCTTTTTCTTTTTTAAATAGACCTAAAAAATTATTGGTCTAAAAACAATGCCTTCACTTAACCGTTTTTTAATGTCAAAGGAAAAATTATGAAAGAGGGGATTTACCTAAATACTTGGGGATTAATTGACCCGTTCCTCTTTTTCCTTTTTTTTTCATTTTTTTTCTTTTTATTTGAGAAAATTTAGGCATTCTTAATGCCCATTTAAATATATCCCTGAACGTCTCTTTAGTATAGATAACTTAAGGAATCAGGAAATCAGTCCCTAGTTCATAGAATAGGAGCAAGGTAGCCTGAGCAGGTGCCGATCCTGTAACCTTCTAGCAGTTATTGCTAGTCGCTTGCGTTTACCACGTACGCAGGGCTTAATGTTGAATTTTAAAAACCGGAAGAGAACGGAATAAAAAAGCGGTAGATGTAAGCCGGAAGCTGAGGAAAATATAGCCCTGGCGTACAGGTGCTTTACTGACTAGGCTATCGGGGAAAGCTTCTCTTTTAGTAGATCTGGAACTCCTTCCTAGTGGAGCTCCTTCCAGCTGGATCTATCCCTCTTCTTCCTTGCAACATTTTAGATATCCTGCTGTTTCTGGTATTAATCCAGTTTTTGTTTTAGTCTAAAATCAAACAGCATTAAACACAATTTGTGTTAATTAATTATTTTGGCTTAATTCTAATTAAATCTGCCTAAAAATCTAAAATTTAAATAAACAAAAAAATTAAAATTTCCATTAAAATTAGTGTAAATGCCCTCAGGGTATATAATACTTATTTGCATATATTGGCATTTGGCTTTTCAAAAAATTTCTTTTTTCCAATTATAGAAATGTTAAGAAGCTAAAATAGATGGAATAATGGAATAAAAAAATTTTTTTTGAAAATTTTTTTTGAAAATTTTTTTTGAAAATTTTTACCTCCAATAAAATTTATTTTTTTCTGTATTCTCCTTGAACGGCTTAAAAATGTTCTCTAATCGACACAGCGTTTTTCGTAAGTTTATTTTTCTATTTTAATTTTTAAATAAACTTTTTCTTCCAAGTTTTACTCCCTATATTTTAATCCCTTTAAAATAAACCTTCTACCCATAAGATCACCACTGTTGTAGAGTAGTGATCTTCTGGGGATTTCTTTAAGCAAGCAGTTTACCCATAAGATCACCACTATTGTAGAGTGGTGATCTTTTGGGTTATCTCTTAAATATGCGTTAATTTTTTGTTTATATTTCAACAAACTAAATAAATTTTTTTGTCCATCATAAAAATCCCCTTTTTTAAATAGGGCGAATATTTGGGGATTCTTTTTGTTTAAATAAAACAACTGTTCCTAGTTATGTCTGGGATAAAGTTGAGTATATTTATTATATCCCCCCTCCCCTCCCAGTGATTTTGGATAAACAAGAGAACAACAACAAAACAAAAACACCTTTGATCAAAAATTATTTTTATTCTCCATAGTCAAAGAATTGTTAATTAAATTAAAAAGCAGCTTTATTTCAGACCCATAAGTTTTGAGTTATGGGTTACCTATAAGCAAGCCTTACCTAAGGTTGTCGGATAGTTGGAAATCTTCGAATTCCGGATCCGGTATTCAAACCAAAAATTTCCAGATATCCAGTCTTCTTTTGGATCCGGATATCCGGATCCGACAACCTTACCTATAGACCTTACTTAAGGATCCATAACTCAAGGATTCATTACCCAATTAAAATTATTTTTGTATTGTTGAATAGAGCATTGAATCTGCTTCTAAATAAAAATTAAATCTTAATCTTATTCCTACTGAAGACACAATCTTTTTTCTCCTCATTTTTACCTCTTTCTAAATTTCCTTCTTTAAATTTCCCTCAAAATAAAGTTTGTCTGAAGAACCTAAAATCTGTTCGTATAAATTTTATAAAACTTTATTATACTCAATTTTATTTTTTTTTCTGTTCAATAAAATTATTTACCCCTTTCTCCTTTCTTTAAAAATAATATTATTTCCGGCATTTTTCTTTTTTCTTGCTAAATTTATTTTATAAATTTAATATTATGTAGATAAGGTGCAGCAGAATTGCAGTCCTTTGATTAGCCATAACTTTTGATTAGCTTAACATATTAAAATGATCTTTATGCCATTCGATAGGGAATTAAGTGGGCTATAAAATCTGTTAAATTTCATATTTTTGTCCTTTCTAGTCAGAACGTTATGGTCAAAAAACTAGGTTAAGATGGGTCTTTTCCCTTAAAAATATTTCTTTCTACCTACCGTAAATGCTCAAATATAAGCTCAGTCTCTAATAAAAGCCCATATCCCAACCGAGGAGACCCATTGAAAACCCAGGGAGACCCCCCACCCGAGGAGGTATAGAAGCCCACCCTTTAATAGACGCCTATATCTAATGTAAGCTAAGTCAGAGACACATTGAAAAATAGAAGCCCATGCCTTATATTAGAGCATCTACTGTATTTATTTTCTCTTTTATATCCTATTTATTATATACCCTCTATTTAGGATACATTTCTTTATAAGTTACAATTTTTCCGTCCTAAGGGAGTATCTTTTATTTAATATTTTATAAGCGGCTGTAAATAATGTAATACTCTTTTTTGCAAAAATAAAATAAAAATATAACAAAAAGGTAGAATAATAGATATAAATGGACGTCACACTTTGCTTCAAGTGTTCTCTGGGAAAGTTAGCTTAAACTCCTAAAAATGCTTCTTTGACTGCTTTAACTCAATACCTATAATTTTTTCTTTAAATTACTCAATATATATTTTTTTATTTTTATAAAAAATTTTTTATAAAATTATTCCCCATATTTTTTATTTTTTACAATTTTCCCCCTAATTTATTTCCCCTTTCCAGCCTGTTTTTCACCTTTAAATAAAATCTTCCTGGTTCTCCTCACATTGTAGACAGACTAAAAAAATTGCTAAAAATGCAAATTTTATTTTCTTAACCCCAAAAAATATGTTGTAAAGCCTTTATTTTTTTCTTTAAAAATGTCGATGATTTGCTTATTTTTGGGTTTATTGAAAAAAAACATTGAATATTTACTTCCCTTGCTTAATATTTTTATTTAAAAATTTATAAAAAAATTCATTAAGTTCCATCAGTAACTGCAATGGATGAAAGGGTAGTTATTAATGTTGGAGGAATCAGACATGAAACCTATCAGGCTACTTTAAAAAAGATCCCTGCTACGCGTCTTTCAAGGCTTAGCCCAGCACAGTCGAATTATGATCCCCTATTAAATGAATACTTTTTTGATAGACATCCGGCTGTGTTTGAGCAGGTGAAAAATACAAAAATACACTAATTCTGATTCTTAAATAAAATACAAAAAGTCTGTTTTTATTTAAAAATGCAAATTCTGATTTCAAAATACAAAATTCTGGTTCTCAAATAAAATACAAAAATTCTGATTTTAGTTAAAAATACAGAAATTCTGATTTTAATGAAAAATACAATTCTGATTTTATGAAAAATACAATAATTCTGATTTTAATCAGAAATACAATTCTAATTGAAAAATACAAAAATTCTGATTTTAATCAAAAATACAACTGATTTTAATTAAAAATACAATAATTCTGATTTTTAATTGAAAAATACAAACATAATATTTTTGTATTTTTAATAAAATACATTATAATTCTGATTTTTTAGATTTTAAATTATTACCGTACGGGCAAGTTGCATTACCCTACCTCAGTCTGTGGCCCTTTATTTGAGGAAGAACTTGAATATTGGGGACTCGACGCTAATCAAGTCGAACCTTGTTGTTGGATGACCTATAATCAAGTACAATAAATATCTAAATTAAAAATTCTATCCCTTCTCCAGCACAGGGACACCCAAGAAACTTTAGCAGTTTTGGACAGACTGGACATGGACTGTCTAAAAGACGAAGACCCCCAGACAAGAGAACAACAGAGAATGAAAAAGTTCGGTTGGGAGGAAGAATATTGGGAAGGTCGATTGGATTGGTGGATGAGGATAAAGCCGAAACTTTGGGCACTTTTTGATGAGCCTTACTCTTCTGCGGCTGCTAAAGTCTGTCTCTCTTGAGCTTAAATTTTTAAAAAATTTACAACTCTAAGGTAGTTGCTTCCATCAGTGTTTGCTTCATTTGTGTCTCTATATTCTCCTTTTGCCTCAAAACTCATCCCGGTTTTCGAGTTCCTCTTTTATCCTCAGATAATGATAACAACAACTTTACAACTCATATGGGTGAAAATAATAACCTCAGCAATAATAATTATAATTCTCCTCATATCCATTCCTCTACTACTTCGAATACTGCAAGTGACCATAAAATTGGCACTGAACCTCACAAATATTTTTCTCAGGTTAGTGCTAAAAAATTATACTCGGATCCGGTTATAATGTGCCTAAGGGAGTAGGCTAGTATTCGGAGGTGGAAATATAATCATAAGAAAAGGAAGCTCCATGTAAATGCTTGGGAGCGTGGTTAGAGCATTTTGGTATAATAGGTGATGCTGCTAGCAATAACAGCCAGACCTCTATCACAACGTCAAGTTCCGACTAGCTAAGGGCCAACCGCTTTACCTAGTTATTCTCACCAAAGGGTCAAGGTTTTATTCCTGCCCTGTGGCTTCATTTTGCCTAACTCTTCTACTCAATCTCGGGTGATACTATAGCTGGAGTGCCACAGACACATTTTCCCACTCCCTCTTTTAATTTTTAATTATTTTAAGATTGAATTTATTTGCAATATTTGGTTCACTTTTGAAATTATTGGCAGATTCCTCTGTTGCCCCAATCGCATTCACTTTATCAAATCTCCATTAAATATAATTGATCTGATTGCTACACTTAGTTTTTATACGGATGCAGTATTAGTCCGTTTATTAGATGATAAAGCACCCAAAGATTTGGTTGAATTTCTTTCAATGATACGCATTTTAAGGCTGTTTAAACTCACTCAACACCATCGGGGTCTTCAAATATTAATTCACACATTCCGTGCATCTGCCAAAGAATTGATGCTTTTGGTCTCTTTTAATTTTTTGAAAATAAAATTAATTGGAAACCTATCAGTGTGGGGAGGACGAGGGTGGAACTAGGGGGAGGCAACCAAATAAATATTCATTGTTTGAAAAAACAAATAAAGATAGAGGCGTATAGTCTTTTGAAAGTCTTTTGAAACAAGTATGGGATACAATAGTGTAGCTATTGAAATTATGAAACTTGGGGGTCAACTCGAAAATTTTTTTGAAATTTCTAAAAATACGAAATTTTCGATGGATCAAGTTTCCAGTTATTTTAATTAAAAAATTGTTTTTGAAATTTAATTTTAAATATTTTCCATTTAATTTAAAATATTTTTTAAAGGTTTTCTTTCTGATTTTGGGTGTTGTTATTTTTGCTACACTAATTTATTATGCCGAAAAAACTGAAATTAATCCCAATAATCAGTTTACGGTACTTTAATTTGAATAAAAAATTTTAAAATTGAAAATTTTCTCCAGTCTATTCCTGTTGGTTTATGGTTTTCTTTGATTACTATGACCACTGTTTGTTGAATTTAAATTTTTTAAAATTAATTTTAAATAATTATTAAAGGTGGGATATGGAGATATGACCCCACAGGTTATACAAAAAAATATTTGAAGAAAAATTTAAAAAAATCTAGACATATCTCGGCCGGTTGGTAGGCTCATTATGTGCAGTTATGGGTGTTTTAAGCATTGCTTTACCCGTACCCGTTATTGTCTCAAACTTTGCCATGTTCTACTCACACTCACAGGCTCGTGAAAAGCTCCCAAGGAAAAGGAGACGAGTTTTGCCCGTTGAACAAGTTTGGGGATTTTATTAGAAAAAATCATAATTTAATTTTAAAGGTTCGCCTACAATTTCGAAGGCACGCTCAAAGCTCTTTTATTGAACCTCATATATTAAGCAGAACAGCCTCACAAAGAAGGAATGCTATTGCAAATGCTATAATTAATAATTCAGAGCGCAGCACTGAGATGGTTTTAGACGCCCGTCTCAGTCTCCTACAGAATGCCGCCCCTCTCCCAGACCGTCAACCTGCAGCAAAGATTTCAAATAGCTCCCCTTTAGGGATCTTGCTCAACAACATTCGAGCTAGCGCTTCTCATTGTGGATCTCCCTCCTCAAAAGCTAAACCGTGTCGGTCACCAAGAAGTCCTTCTAGCCCTGTGAATGGTCCTACTCCAAACACTCCAACTACAAATAAATATAAGAAAAGGAACTCCCTAGGCATTGATCAACAAGGATTTGGTGGAACAGTTACCTCACAGCAACACAGGTTGTTAAAAGGTTAGAAAATTGTTCAAAAAATTAAAATAAAAATGTTCAAAATATTTATTTACATTCATGCTTAATTACTCATTGGGGTATTCTTTAGAAAATAAAATTATTTTAAAAATAGCTGGAATGTGAAAGGGGCGAGAATTTTGCGTAAGCATAAGAATTTAAAATAAAACATGAAGCAAAAAGTAATTTGAAATAAAACTTGAAACCAGAATTATTTAAAAATTATTTAAAATTAAACTTAAGACAGAATTATTTCAGAATTAAGTTTTAAATCAGAATTATTGTAAGATTAATCTTAAAACCAGAATTACAATCAGAATTATTTTAAGCTTGAACTTAAAACCAGAATTATTTTAAGATTAAACTTAAAACCAGAATTATTTTAAGATTAAACTTGAAATCAGAATTAAGCTTAAACTTGAAATAAGAACTATTCTAAAATCAGAATTATTTTAAGCTTAAACTTAGAACTTTAATATAGAATTAATATTCAAGTTTTAAATAAATAAACTTTAAAATCAGAATTATTGTAATTGTGTTGATATTGGTAGAGATCTACTCTTTTGTTCTGAACTATTCCTCTGGTTGTTTTTATTGCTAGCATTTAAACTTGAAGCATTTTCTTCTCTGAATCGAATCAGAAAATCAGTTAAATATGCAATAAATGCTGCTAATGTTGCAAACTAATTAATTAATTTTTTAAATTTAAAAATCAGAAGGACTAACCACTGGGAAAAACCAAAGAAACAGAAAAGCAGCTCTTGTTAGGTTGTAAAAAGCGAAAAAGGTGCCTAATAAATGCATTCCTGTAGCTAATGCTGTGTAGAATTTTTCCTTTTTATTGAGAAATTAATTAAGAATTTCTTCAACTATTTTTTACGACTTACTAATAAATTAAAATTGTAATAATAAAAAGCATCTGGAACGCTGAATAAATGGCCAATAGCGAAAAATATGGTGCCAACTAAGAAAAACCCGTGTACACAAACAGCATTAAATAACTGCCAAAAATCCCAAAGGTAGCCAACACAGAAGGGGGCCCACCTATTTGGCCAACAATGAATTGTTAAAATGAGGGCGAAAAGACCGCAAATCTGATAATTAAAATATTAATTAAAAAAATATTTTTAATTACTATTTGAACAAGTTTGAGTTGATTTCCACGCTCTTCTAAAAACGCCCTATCAAATTTTAAGGGAGGCCTAGTTCTAACAATCCTTTGAGGACTGCCATTGTTGTTTCTTCCGCCTATTATAATTAAGCGTGTTGCTGGCTGTTCTGACATTTGTGTTTTTGTTTGTGTTTTTGTTTTAATAATATGTTGTTGTTTTGTTGGGTGAATATCAGAATTATTTATTTTCAAGTTTGGAAGCAAAGTTTCAGCAGAAAGTTGTTGAGGGGGAGAAAAAGTTGGAGACAAAGTTTGTGTTTTTCTTTTGAGAGTTGGAGAAGCGTTGACGGTTACTGAAGAAAAAATCAGAATTATTTTGTGTTTTTCTTGTGTTTTTAAGAAAAGAAATCAGAATTTTTTGTATTTTTAAGAGAATTAGAAAATCAGAATTTTTTGTGTTTTTAAGAGAATTATAAAATCAGAATTTTTTTGTGTTTTCTGTGTTTTTAAAGTTTAAAAGAGGAAAAAATCAGAATTTTCTGTGTTTTTAAAGTTTTAAGTTTGAACTTGTTTTTTTTACCAGAATTTATTTTCTGGTTTTTTCAAGTTTTGTGTTTTATTAGGTGATTTAGAAGCAACCAAAAACTTTTCTCTTTTAACCAAAAATGAACAAAACACATAATTATTTTGTTTTTCTGGCAGTTTTTAACGGTGTGTATGTGCCTGTTATTATCCTTTACAAAAGAAGGAAGATTTGTGGGGATTATCTGAAATATATTTTTGTTAATGTATGCTCATTTTTGTGTTTTTATTATTGTAGGTGTGCGCAGACTGTTGCGAGAAAAATTGAAAAAAGGTGTGAGAAATTTAAAAATAAATTAGAATAGGTGTTAATAATTAAATTGAAAATACTAAGAAATGCAAAAATGTTTAAAAATCGGAATTTTTTATTTTAATAATTTTGTATTTTTATTGAGTTGAGATTTGTGTTTTAAGTGTACAACTTAAACAGAACTTTTAGGTAATCAGAATTTCTATGTTTAGCTTGACTTACAACACAATTTCTGAATTTGAGAAAATACAAGATTCAGAATTCTTAAGTTGTATTTTTATAACAGATTCTGATCTTGAGAAAATACAATTAAAAACACAATTTAACTAAATCAGAATTTTTATGTTTCTCCTATTTTGTAAAACACAAATTCTGCACTTAAGTAAAATACAAAAACACAGAAATACAAGTCGGGAACCCTTTGATTTTCCTTATTTTTAACCTTTGTATTTATTCCCCCAAAATTTTTGATTAAAAACAAAAAAAAAAGAAATTTATTTGTATAACAATGTGAGAAAGAAAGATGTCCCAAAAATGTCGGCGATTTTTCTTATTATTTTTTATCTGCTGCCCAAAAATTGGAAAAATATTTAGCAAACATTCCCAGAATAATACGAGCATATAAACAAAAAATAAAAAATTCTCGGATGTTGCAGGGCAATTAAAAAATAAAAATGCGCGTATAGGCAGACAAACTTGAAATTTTTTAAATATTTATTTGAAAAGTTAGAGAGAGAATATCGAGAGAATATTCTCGATGAGTCATTAAAAATGAATCAGTTCTGGATTATTTGTTAAAATTTAAAAAATTGGAAAAGTATGGGTAAGATTTGAGGGTTTTCATCAACAAGTAGAGAGTGGACTCTCTTTATAGTGAACTCCCCTTATAAGGGACTCATAATATAGTAAACTCCCATTATAGTGGACTCCCTTTATAGTAGACTTCCTATATTTAAAGTCGTTTAATCGTGTACTCCTTTTATGGTGGACTCCCCTTATAGGGAACTCCCTACATAGTAGACTCCTTAGTCATTTACTTGTGGACTCTATGATGGACTCCGCATATTGTGAACCTCTTTATAGTTGATTACTCGTGGACTCCGTTCTAGGCCCCTTTACCCGACGCGCCGACTTTCTAGGGATTTTTTCTCTAAATAACTGACAGTATTAACTAATTTTAGCTTAAAAAGGGAACATCTTACACTTAAAAATTAAAAAAATAATTTTATTAAAATAGAGAAAAACAGAAAGAAATGGGAAAATAAAGGGCATTTTGTTCATATTTACAATAAAATAGCTAGCAAAAGCATTACACATCACCTCACAGTTTGGGAAGAATGGGGAGGGTTGGCAGTAATGTGATCGACAGAATTTCGATAACGATTGTGAAATAAAAAAATAAAATTAGAAAAGATTGGTTGTTGATAATTATTTTAGATAAATTATAAAAATAAATTTAAGGGGGAAAATACTAAAAACCCTCTTTCAAATAAACTCTCATTATATGTAGTATTATAGCTATCTTTTACTAGTTTTTTAATAGCTTTACCTTCTAGCTAGTATAGGGTTGGTCTACAGTTCTATACAATATCAAACGACCCCCATATAACTTACCTCTTTACTAGCCCTTAGCTTCTTACCAACTCTCGTTATAGGCGACTTTTCCATCGACCTAAATTCGTTATATCGAGGTGACCTTAGATTACTGGAAAATCTCGTTATAGGCGACCTTTCCTTCCAATAAAAATCACTTATATCGAAGTGATCTCGTTATACGCGACTTATCTTTCTTTAATTTTAAGGATTTTTGATGGATAAAAAGATTTTGATTAAATTAATTAGCTTACTTATATGAACCTTTCTAAGCATTATTTTGATTCTCCATTTGAAGCCTTATCTTTACAGTTAATTTTAGAATTTTTTCATAAATGGAACGAATATTTAAATCGGTAAATAAGAATAAATATTGGCCAATAAAAATATTTTTTAAAGTTTTGTAAATAAAAAATATAAATAGTAAATAGATAGATTCATCATTTTTCCACATTTCAATTGCTTATTCATCGCTTGCGATTTTATTTTTTTATGGTTTTATTTTGGGAGATGAATATTTTTTATTTTTAATGTTCGAGAGAATATGAGACACTCTATTTATGAGAGAGAGGAAATGTCTTTCTTTATAAGAGACTCGAAGTACCTTTAACAGACCTAAATTAGGTTAACCAAGTCAGCTCCCGTAAAGAAACACCCTCCATACTGAAACTCAGATAACCTCAGAATTAACCTTAAAATTCCTCTCCGTCCACATGAATGCCCCCTCTCCATTTGAATGCCTGCTTGAATGCCTCCTGGCTATAACCTCCCTTTAATCCCTTCTATAATGCACACGGACATTCAATTGAGAGAATGCAATTCGGTAGTCTTCATTCCTCATCTATCTCAAATAGAAGGTTGAGGGAGGTTTAGGAGGAGGATTACTGTAAAGGGAGCTTGTCCTTGAATCTATTCTCAACTTTAAAAATTTTTTTTCATTTCAGAAAAGGCCAGACCATCGAGATATAACAACAACCACACAACTTCCCCTTCAAAGGACACCTCTCAAAAAACACTTAAACACCAACACTTGGATATATCCTCAACACTAGAAGAAGAATTATTAACTAACAGTAATTCCACAACCCCCAGACGGCGAAAACTTGGAGAAAAAATTTCAAATGAGAATGAACTTAAAATAAATTATTCCTCCAAGGAAAGCCACGAATTAATAGAAACAAAAAGTTTTGAGGAAGATGAGGAATTAGAAAAAGAATCGTCGTCGGTAGCTGCGAGTAACAGTAGTGTTGGAAGGTTGAGGAAATTATCTGACAGTGTGATAAATAAATTTGGAAGTCTTTGGGGGAGAACAACTACTCAGATATGATATTTATATTTTAATTTTTTTTGTATTTTAAAGGAATTTTGAAAAAAAAATGAAAAATGTTCTGAAAAAGATTCTCCCTTGCTTGGAAAAACGGGAAAAATGTATCCATCTTAAATAACATGTGCTAGTGTGCTTTTTCGAGCTATACAGCCACGGTTCACTCAATATTTCGAGTCTCAGGGCGAGCAAGCTGGCAATCCAACACTTGGATAGAGGGGCGGATACAGGTTTTGCTTGAATACAAATTTGGGTAAAGTTCGCACCAGCTCAGGTGAGATTTTATCACATACCCAAACGAGGGATTGCCGGAGAGACTCCAAACTTTTGGGTTATTAAGTGTAGACTGTTGCCTCTAAAATAGACCAAAAAGTATTAATAATTGGAAACATTACAAGAATACATCTGCAAGTATCTATCTAAAAGATCAACTTTTAAGTATCGTTTCAACTTTTTGAAGAAGCTTCTTTGAGTAAAAATGTTCTGGAAAGAGTTCAATTGCTCGTTTCAAAGAATTGTGACATTCTGCATAATTGCCCATCTGTCATAAAATTAATTAAAAGGTTTTCAAGTCGTTCAATACCTCATATAGCAGCAACGCATAATTGTAATGTGCCTCGTATAAGTGAGACCCTTTTTGAGTTGCTGACTGGAAAAGGTTTAGAGCCTCTGTTATTTTGTGTTGCTGCATTCTTAAAATGCCTAGATTAACTAGTGATTCTGCGTGATTAACGTCTGTTGCTAATGCTAAGCGGAAACATCTCTCTGCCATTTTGAGGTCACAATGTGCCTATTGATGTACACAAGTGATGGTATAGAATGTTAAAAATAGTTTACCATAGCAATATGTGCAGTGTTATACCTTAAAATATTAATAAATAGTTAAGATAATCTTGAAACGGCAAGGCCAATTTTTCAAATTTTTAAAAAACGCCAAATGCCATAACGCCAAAATCGGACGAAACAACGCCAAGACCCGCAAAATTTTGCGGAGTTAAAATATAAAATATTTTGTCCGCAGAATACTTGCGGACTCAGAATATTTTTTCGGACTATTTTAGCGGACCCTATCAATATAGACTCAATAAAAGGACCAACCAAAGATCAGCCTGAACAGATTGATCAGCAACAGAATGTGCCCGTTCTAGACATCCACATGCCAGATCAAATTGTTGGCAATAGAAACAACAAAGTGCCAAGTTTGCATATAATTCTGCACTATTAACACCCATCTGCAGAATACGGCTTTAATTTAAAAAAATCTCGTTGTAGTTGACCAATTATTTAAAATTACCGATAAAACTTGAGAGCAATCTCTGGACGCCCCTCATAAAAAATATGAGCTCCAAGGCATGCAATCCCCTCTACATTTGAGGCATCTTGTCTGAGCAAGAGCTTATAGTACAGTAAACTTCTTTCTGTATCTCCAATGTCCTTTAAACATTTTTTAAAATTATTTCCCCTATCTTATCATAATTATGCCTCATATATCCTGGCTAAATTAGTCATTAAAGTTGGTTCATTTGGGAACTGTTCCAAGCCATTTCTGAGACGTTCCACACATGAAAGAGGCTGATCTAGTCTTCGATAACATTTTCCCAATAAAACAAACTATAATTAATTTATTGTCCTTAAATGTCGTTTTCTCAAATGTCAGTCTCTCAGAAGCCTATTTTAAAATGAATTATAAATTCACCGTTTCCACCATAGGACAACGTTGTAAAGATAATAAAAATTGATTCTCCGCGTCTCTTATCATTCCCATCCTAAAAATACGGAATTTTTAATTTTTATTGTTTTCCTCGGATGAGGGAAACCGATAATAGCACTTTCCAAGCTGATTGGGCCAAAACCAATCTTGTTCCTCATCATTACTGTTCCTCTGTGCTATTGTTGCTATCTTTAGAAAATATTATTTAAAGATTTAGTAGTCCTCTTGTGGTCAACGCTGAAGACCTACTGACCCCGAAGACCTACATCCTCAATGCCGATTGGCCCTGGAGATCTACAACTTTAGAAAGGGAGGAATATCGAAGGCTTATCTCTATATGCAGATAAGTACCTAGTGACGTCTTCTAGATCCTTTGGTGCGACTTGTGAGCGTCTTAAGAGTGTAGGTCTTCAGGCTGTAGGTCTTCAATGTTGGACTCCTCCTCTTTACTTGTTGTGAAGTCCGCATATCAGCCTCATGTAAAAACACATAATCAAAGAGAGAACGATTTACTGTTTTGTCACGGGCATATTTGGCCACATTTAATCGGGCCAGGTTTATGAAAGCATTTTCTGATTTTGAGAGCATTGAAGCCGTTCCAAGACGTGCCTGTCTAGCAGTACTGGCAGAAACTGGTCTGGCAGTTTTTGAAGTACGGGAGGTTCGAAGCATTTGTTCCATACTGCCTGTTTTCAAACGACTTTCTGGCCGTTGCATTCCACTTAGTGGACGTCCGCTTGCTGTACGTGGACTGTAAAGAGGGATTGTTAAATTAATTGTTACCTTAATAGGGCCTTAGTTTCATAATACGGAGTTCCGCGATCTTGAGGAACCGACAATTGAGAATACGACATTTGCGAACCCGTAAAATTGGGTACACGACCTTTATGGAACCGACAATTGAGGATACGACATTTGCGGATCCGACACTTCTGAAACCGATATTTGAGGATACCCTCTAGTAAGCAAATATAAAATCCAACCGAACAGCCGGACTCGGCCCTCCAGCAGTTCCAGTAAGTGGTCTATACAAAGAAGTTCCTGGACGTGCTGCTGTAGCTACTGCAGTCCCCAAATCCATAAAAGTATCAGCTAATCCAGCCTCTTCATTTTCCAATTCATCTACATAAACTTCTTCAGCAAAACAACTCAATTTTAAACTCCAAGCTGCTTGATCTAGAGAATTCTTTTCCAAAAGTCGAGTACATTCTTTGTGGGCATCCTCAATACGATTAGCACGGAAATAAAAAAGTGCTAAACATAGGGGGTCTAATTGGTCCATTTTTGGTTTTTATTACAAGTTTAAGCTTGTAGACTTTTAAAAAGGAATAGTATTGTTTCCTAGGTAACGAGTTACCTTAAGCATTTGTTTTGAATGTTTTTCAAACGGTGGGTGATCTTCTGGGGTAGGACAATGTTTGAGGACACGACATTTGGGAACTCTAAAATTGAGAATCTGACAATTGAGAACAGGACATTTGCGAACTTGAAGGCAATTGAGAATTTGAAGACATTCGAAAATTTGACACTTGAGAACAAGGCATTTGAGAATCCGACATTTGAGAATTTGATAATCAAGAATCAACATTTGAATTAATATTTTTGAAAAATTTATTCATGGCAAAAAAGTAAAGGAAAATTATATGTATGTAATTGTACTATTCATTTGCTTCCATAGAAATAGAAAAAAGTTTCTTTCCAAAAATATCCATACAAAAATAGAATTTAAATTCTCTCATGAGAAAGGTTGTTTCTATATTAAAGCCAAAACACACCCAACTTAAACATTAAAGAGGATTCTCGCTTTAATGGATATTTCCCAATAATTCTTCCCCCCCCCCCTTAGAAGTGAGAGAAAAATCAATTAAAAAATTGAGAAATTTAAATTCGCCTCTCTAATCCACGTCAGCTTAAATGGATTTAACAGTGGATTCTTTGCCTTCTCACCTTCTCTCTCTCTCAAGGCCCGGCATTTATATATTAAAGTTTTTATCCTCCTCAAAATTATTTTTTGTTTAAACAACTAAAAAAAAGTTTTTTTTATTTTTGCTGAATTCATTAAGCAAAAAGTATTCAAAAATCTCTTCGTAAAAATATGTTTTCCAATAGTGCCAAAGATCCCTTTGTTTTATTCGTTTTATTTACTTTTTTTGTTGTTCTGGGGGATTCGGCAGAGCCAATAAAAGAAGGTACCTATTTTTTATAGAGTCAACTGGGTAATACTAAAAAATTTTCGAGGATGTTTCACAACAAGAACAATTCACCAAAAATCTCAGAGTCAAGAAACCCTCAAAAATTTCTATCGAAAATTTAAGCGGACATTTCACCGAAAAGTACAATTCACCGAAAAGTACAATTCACCGAAAAGTACAATTCACCGAAATGTACAATTCACCGAAAAGGACAATTCACCGAAAAGTACAATTCACCGAAAAGTACAATTCACCGAAAAGTACAATTCACCGAAAAGTACAATTCACCGAAAAGTACAATTCACCGAAAAGTACAATTCACCGCCTAATGACACAGAAACCCCCTAATTTTCAATCCCCCCTCTTACATCCCCTTTTAAAAATTTTTCAAACAGGACTAGAAAAACTCGAGAATTCTATCAATGAATTGGTACCCAACGACGATGAGCGAAAACCGCTAGTCGATGGAAGCAATGAAAATCAAGGCTCTGATCATGGATGCTTTGAGGGATGGCTAAACTATAGAAATGAGCTTTGTTTTTACGGTTCTCAGATAGCAGGCAGCTTTTTTGAAGGGAGAGAACAATGTGGACTTTTAAATGCAAATTTTACTTCTGTACATAGTCTACGTGAATTTAAATTTATTACTGACAATTTTGATTTGAAAGAATATTGGATCGGTATAGTTTATGGATCACCAAATTTTGAAGATGGAACTGAAGTAACTATTTTATATGTTTATGAGATAGACATGAGGACAGGACTAGCAGCAACTAGGGGCAGGGCTGTCAGTACTATGAAGGACGGATGTCACAAGCCAAGGAGAATAACGTATTTTTTCTTGTGGACAGCCCTTGATGGGGAATGGATTTAAAAATATCCCATATCCCCGAGTATCCCATAGGAATAGAAAAAATATCTAGGGAAGTCCAGATACAGGAAAACATGGGGAAGCATTTATCTAAACGAAGAGACTGGGTAGAGGTCCCTTATATAGAAGAGGTTCACTCTCGAATGAGTTCACTATATGGAAGGTTTTCTCATAAAGTCCATTAGATAGAAGTTCGTCATTATAAAAAATTCCCCAGGTAGACCAAGAAGTTTTTTGGCAAATCGCGGACAGAGTTCCATGGGCGCACCCGTCAACATTAAAAGGGTATATTTGTAAGACTGTTGCTGAAGCCGATGCTGGAGTTATCGGTACTGATTAAATGAATTTAAAAATTTGATTTTTAATATTTTACAGAATACAAAGACTTTGATGAGGATACTATTTAGAAAAAATTAAAAAAAAATTTTTTTAAGCCTTACACATACCACACAAGATAAAATTATTTATATACGGGCAATGTAAAAATATAATCATTAAAAAATGTTCATTAAAAGTCAATTTTATATAGTCGAAGCTCAACTCAAAATTTAAAAATAATTCTTAAAAATTTGATTGGCCCAAGGTGCCAGTTTGGGTTTCACAATAAAATATAGACGGATATTGTGGGTATTTCGCGGATATACCAACATATATGTTTTCATATCCGTATCCGCCCATATCCACGGATATATCCGTAACCGAGGTATATCCGAGGGCACTCCTAGTTCCAGTAATGGATACACTCAATTATAATATTTTTTAAAAATTTTCCATTATTAAGAGCAAAAGGATAAGAGTGAGATGAGGTTCGACTATACATACAAGTGTTGTTTTTTGGGGGAAAAATTTAAAAAAAAAGTTTTCAAAAATTCTATGAAGATACAAAAGACTTAAATCCCTAAAAAACAACACTTTTTATTTATTTAAAATTTTTAACATACATTTTTTAAATTGAAAAAAATTTAAAATGAAGAATCGAGAATATAAAAACGAGTTTTGTATTTGAAAATTTATAAAAATGAGATAAATTTTTCAAACATTTAAAAAAGGAATTTTTTGAGTCTCATGCATGAAATTTGTAAACTAATTTCTTTGGGACTTTATTTAAAGCAATGCACTAATTTAAAAAAAAGACAAAATTTTGAATACAATCGAAAAAGAAATTTTTTTATGGAAATTTATGAAAATTGAAGAGGATGAAGGTAAGAGGGAGAGAGAATGACAAAAGAGTTTAAGAAATTCTTAGAAAAATTTTAACCTTTAAAAAAAATTTTAAATCTCTATCAGAAGAGACCCATCAAAAAATATACAAGTCCAGTCTCTAATAGAAACCCCCTCAGACTGAATTAATGAAAAATAGATAAGAGCCTAATTTTAATTATTTTAGACCCTTGTCATTCACTCTCTCCTCTCACTTTAATTTTTAATTTAGAGATAAGCATCTTTTAAATAATGAGAAAAAAATAATAATGATCTGATCGTGTCCAATATAATAAAATATCAAAATTATATAATAAAAATAGGTAGATAATATTACATATATTATGAGGTTTTTTTCTTTGGAAATTTTCTCGAATTTTTACATAAATTTTTTGTTTTTTTAATTTAATTGGCATTAATTCAGGAATGAAAATAAAAATTTTAAACAGATAGAAAAGAGACTCGATTATAAAATAGAATAATAATGAAAAAAATATATTTTGGAAAATTGGGAATAAATTGGGAATAAATAGGGAGGGAGTATATATTTAATAAGGTACTAGAGAAATTCCGTCAATTGTTCCGGAACCCGATTCGGGGTAAACAATATACAATTTGTATGTCTCAGAGCTCGTTGGCATCTTTTTTTATTGTTGTTTTTGCCCAAATAGGTTTCCGGAACATTTCACGGAATTTTACCAATATACTCTAAATGTTCTTATAGAAGCCCTGGGCGTTTATTCTTCAAAAGGTACCAGTGAGTGGGTTTAAAAATAAATTCTATTGGAGACGGGCTTCTAATAGAACATTTACGGTAATTTTTTAAATTAAATATTTATTTAATATTTTTAATTTAATTTTCAAAGGAAAGTCAATTTTTTTATAAAAAATTTTTAGGGGGTCTAAAAAATTTTTTTTAATTTTTAAAATATTTACCATTAAAAAAACCTCTCCTTGTCAAAATTTCCAGAAGTCATCTACACACAAATTTAATATGTAATAACCACTCCCTTTTTCCAATTATATAAACACTCCTCTCATTTTTAAGTCTTTGTTTGATGAACAGAAGGAGTATTAGTATTATTTGAACGTTCAAATATACGACCACCACGAACATAATAACGAATATGTTGCTTTCTTTGCTGTTGTTCAACAAGTTCACCTTCATCAGTAATAATAGAAATTCCTTTATTATATTCATAAGAAGAAAAAGGTCCATTCTTTTCCTTTAAAAAATTAAAAAAAATTTATTTAATTGTGAAAATTTTTTTTACTATAATTGAAAAAACAATTGGATCTGGAACTTATAATGAGGGGTTCCTTAAAAATTCACTTAATCAGCTTCATTTTTTAAAACGGAATTGAAAGAGAGAACAATCCTTCTTCACCTTTTTCAACTCCTAACGTGAAGGAGGTGAGATAACTTCCTTCACCTCATCATTAGATGAGGTCTCCTTCACCTCCCTCATCTTTAAAAGAAAAGTTTGCCTCCTTCAACTTTGAAAGGAAGGATTACCTCATTCACATCAACAAGTAAATGAAGTGGGGTGAGACCTCCTTCACCTGTGAAAGGGAACTGAAGGAGGTGAGGTCCTCTAATCATTATAAAGTTAGGTGACCTCCCTCACATACCTTAATCTTTGAAAGGGAATGTTACCTCCTAAAGTGGAGGTGACCTCCCTCACCTCACTCCACCTTTGAAAGTGAATATACTTTTGAAGGGGTGAGATGACCTCCTTCAACTCTTTCACCCTTCCCTTTCTAATTCACCTTCTCAATAAGCTCCTTAAAAATTCAAAAAAAAATTTTCCTTACTCGACAAAAAATTCGAAGTGAATAACCCAAAGCAAGTTCTGGAGGTGTCAAATCTCTATGGGCAAAAGCATTTGGAAATAAACAAATTTTTGAATTTTTGCGACTATTTTTGTTGTGATGATGTCCCTTCTTTGATGATAAAGTTTTGTCCTTGTTTTGTTCTCCTCCTCCTTTTCCAATAAATATTTCAGATTCAGACAAATCAGAATATGAATTAAAATCAGAAGAATTTTCATTATCATCATGAGTATCATCATATTCTTTTTGTTCTGCTAATTTTTGACATTCCTTTAAAAATAAAAATATTTGAGGAAATAATAATCGAAAATATGCAAAAATTACAAAATAGAGTTGTTGGCGAAAGGTTGAAAAATTTTAAAATAAAAAGTAAACTCTTTCAGCACACCACCTTTGAAAATGGAAGATTACCTCCTAAAGTGAATAAACCAAAAGAGTCGGAGGTTCGAATCAAAAAAGTGTAACCGGTCACACCTTCACACGGTTTACCCAACCACTCCACTATTTGTTCGATTATAGGTACTAGAACGTAGTGGGAAAAATTTTTAAAGTAAATAATTGATGGTTCAATTTGAATCAGTGGAAGAATAATTCTCCACCCACTCTTTCCCCAAAATCCAAAAAAAAATTTTAAAAAATTCAAAAACCTTAAAAAGTTGACAAAATGCTTGTGCCGCCTCTTTATTTCGAAAAGATGTACGAATAAGTGGTGGACGTCCCCTTTTCTTAATTGTTGAATTATCCACATTTGTTGCCGTTCCTCCCCCTTCTTTTCCATTTTTATTATTCAAATTTGGTTGTGGAAGACGTTCAACACGTTCAATTTTAATAGGCAAATAAGAATTGGAATTTGTTTGGGGTGAACATATTCCTTTATAAAGCTTCTAAAAATTTAAAAAAATTCATTAAAAACCCCCAAAATTTGTCTAAAAAACCTGAAGATCACGAAAACGTTCTTTAAACAATTGTGTATTGACTACATTATAAACCAATGTAGTAATTCGTTCAACATCGTTATCACTCCCATTATCGAGATCAACATTTTGGATAATTACTGAACATCTAAAGAAAAAGAATTTTTTCTAGTTAAAAGGTTTTCATTAAGAAAATGAATTTAAAAATCCGAAGCTTAAGGGTAAAACGTATTAAAAATTCAGAAAGAGAAGCTTCTGAAAACAGAAGAAAGGAAGGATTGGAAACGACCAAACAAAAATAAAGCAAATTTAATAAGTTAACAATAAGGAGGTGAAGCAATTTAAGTGGGAAAATTGGACATGACTTACATTAGAAAAGTGAAGCAAAAAGAATAGTAGACTCTGGAGATGTTCAAAAAATATAGGAAAAACTCAGGAACAATTAAAAAAAGTAAAACAAGAAAAAAGGATAGAAAATGACCTAAGAAAGGTGAAGAAAAAATTAGAAAATGACAAAGGAAAGGTGAAGCGAAAAGAAAAATAGGAAACAAAAAGAGAAAGGTGAGGCAAGATTCAAGGAAGATGAAGCAGAAAAAGGATAAGAAAAACCTAAGAAAAGAGGAGGTTCATAAAAAGAACCAACAACTCATTGTCTAAATGTTTTTTTTGAGAAGGATATAGAGTCGGAACAATCTAACTCCTTATTTATTAAGGGGTGTTCCCCGTCCCCACACCGTGGCGGTGCCTCCCCGAAAATTTACTATTGTGGCCCTCTCCCATGTCGGGCAACAATCCTATATTTTAACTAAAAACAAAAAACTTCTTACTCCTTTTGGTTGTATATCACCGCAAATTTACGAAGCGAAGCAACTATAACATGCAAATACTGCAATTCAGAAAATGGTTGAAAAGGTACAGATTCAGTCTGTCTACCTGGATATTCCTTAAATTAAAAAAATTTCAAACCTCCCAAAAAATTAAAAAGAAAACCTTATAAAGTTGAATTCCATTGTGAAAATAACGTTCTCCGCTCTGACACAAATTGCGATAATATCCATAACTATAATTATCATTTTGCCCTGGCATAGGAGGCTAAATTTTAGAAGAAATTAAAAATTGATTTTTAAAAAATTTATAAAAAAACCGCAGAGCTAAAACGTCCAGCATTCTTTTGTTGACAAATTTGTTGCAAACGATTGCGAAGTAAACGTTCAGGACGAGTCAAATCAGCGTGAACGAAAGGAACTTTTACAGCATGTCGATCAAATACATTAAAAACAGTGCTGGAAAATAAGAAAAAAGTTGAAAAAGATTTTTAAGAAACATAGGAAAATCGGAAATTAGATGCCAAAAATGTGAAGACCGAAAAACAATTCGTAAAAATTTACAAAATAATTAAAAGGAACTAGCACTTTACTAAAATCCGGCACTTTTGAAAAAGATTTCGCAGCTTGAATGAAGGGAATAAGTAAGCCGGCAAATCATCAACGGCCAATCCCCAAATAACCTAGGATCTTCACCTTTGAAAGGGAAGGTTATTTCCTTCACTTGCGGTGAATCAGGTGTCCGTCACCTCGCTTTAACTTTGAAAGGTAAGATCACCCCATTTGCCTCGTCAAATTTTTTTTAAAATTTTTTTTCCAAACCGGACCCTTAACAAAAACCCTAAAGAACAAATTTGGAATTAACTTTGGATCCCTTTTACTCATCTCCCCCAAGAAATTAATAAAAAAAACTAACCGATTAAACGTTTGTAAAAAATATAGAGCCGCCTCAGGAAAATTAAAATGAACACGCAAAAGTACGACATCCGTCAAATGTTCGGGTGGTATATAAATTGGCGCGCCAAATGGCATAGGAGTACAAACAATTGGATTGACATTTCCCTAAAAAAAGAAAAATTTTTAAAAAATTTTTAGAAAATTTTAAACAAACATTATAAGATTGGATAAGTATAGGCGTAATTTCGCCATCAAAACGAGTGCGTCCATAGTGGTTGACAGCAGCAATTGAATTTCGTATAAGATCATAAACAATATTCATATAATATTGACTCTTAAATGGATAACAGCGAACAATTACTGAGCCACTGAAAATGAAATAGGTAATTTTAGAATGTTTAGAGGGGAACTAGAACCCTCTAAAAATCGTAAAGAACGAAATAGAAAACTAAAACCTTTACTTGAACCTTACCAAAATACAAAAAAACGAAATTAAAATTAGAGGGTTGTAGAAGGTCGTACAAGAGTTTCAGAATTGGATTGGAAGGGTCGTAGAAGAAAGGGTCGTAGAATTCCTCGGTGATATTTCACCTGATAAACCCCATTCCCCAACCCCTCCTCACCAAGTATTTTACTATATATCTACAAAATGGTCAGACTTCTTCCTTTCATTCGAATTCCCTTTCTATATTTTTCCTACGAACAATCAAAAGGAATTTTTTATTCCCAATTGAATGGAAGAAAGGAAAATTGGGATGGAGAAAAGAAGTGTTACCATTCAGCAAACATATAGGAAAACACTTGATGAGGAAAAAACGGGATTTTCGAAAAACCTTGAATCTCGGTAACCGGGATTTTGTTCAAATTCGTCTTAAACCGGTTTCTAACCAAAACACGCCTATAACCTGCACCCATGCACTCCCCGAAAAAATTTAAAAAAATTTAGCAAACCGATTCTGAAGATAAGTATCCGCATTTTGACGAAGGGAGCGAACAACTTGTTGAAGCTGTCCAATTTTAGTCTCCCATGGAGGTATAAATTGTACTTCTTTGTCCAATCTTTGAGGTCCTTGCTGACGAAGATTAAGATTGCTGAAGAGTCGATTTATATGATGATCAGACTGTGGAAAATTAAATTTTTGTTGTTTGTTCATAATTAGTCTTTTTTGAATATAAAATTGAAAAAATATAAATAAACCTTTAAAAAAATTTTAAATAAAAAATTTTAATAAAAAATTTTAGAAATTTCAGAAAAATTTTTTTTGAAATTTTGAAAACCTCGAACAATTTTCAGGAAAAAATTTGAAATTTTTTTCTGAAGCCTTTAAAAATTAAAAAAATTTTTTTAAATTTCCATCAGGTATTGGTTGTCACACACGCGAAAAACTAATTAAAATTAATTTCCCTTCCTCTTCTCTTCTTAAAAAATTTTTTCCCTTTCCTTATAAAATCCTAAGGTTATGCCCTTTTAAAGAAATAGAAGGGATAGAAGCTTTAACAACGTTAACAAAGGCCTTTTTAAGAGAGAAGAATAAAAATCGATTGAGAATTTTTTACATATGATCGAAATCAATTTTTCTAGCTGAAAAGCATAAGAGAAATTCCTTTATATTTTTTTCGCGCGTGTGAGAAAGAAACAATTAAAAATTAAAAAAAAAATTAAAAAATATTAAACATTGTTTAAAAAACAAATCAAAAAATCGAATGAATGAAAAAAAAAATTTAAAGTTTATTCAAAAATAAAAATGGGCACGATAAAAGGCCTAAACACCAAATAAAAAAACAAATTTATCATTTAATTCTCTTAATTACAACTCTAACTCCCGGCTCGTACTTTTTATTCCTTTCAGAACGTGACGTAATTCTACCTCTATATCTTTCCTCAATGCATACAGAAAATTTAATTTTTGGATTGTGTTTGTTGGCAAGTCGAAATTTTGTTGTTTTAATACCTTCTTTAAGTTGGGTTTTGATGTTTTCCGCATTTTCACTTGAAATAAGAGATCCAAACATATAATCAAATTTAATAAATTTCGCCATTTGAGAAAGGTCTTGTGATTGCTCCATATGCTAAAATAAAATTAATTTATTTAAATAAATTAAAATTATTTTATTAAATAAATTCAAGGGCTTTCTAATGAGTATAAATTAGAAATTTAAAACAAATCAAAAAGGGGTCGAAAAAATCTTTCGATTGCGAAGCCTGCTTAATGCTGATTTACGGGTATCGAGATCTCGGCAATATGTGCCTAACCAATAAAATGAAAGATATGGGTCTAAAAGCTGAGATAAGAGCCCAGGATTGCCCAAAACAAATGTTTTTGGGCATTATGTAATTTTTAAAAAGTTTGTTGGGGAGGGGGGTTGCTCGTACTTTTTAACAGTGTAGCAGTCCCATTTTGACGGAATCTACCGGCCCCATTTTATATATCTCTATAATAAAAATACCTTTATAATAGAATTGTAAATTCTTGAATCAAGAGTCTCATAAGTAATATTAAAAAATTTATTTCCTTCATTTGTCAAAATTTTAATTAAGGTGTCTATATTGTCTTCCACCATGTATGTGTTAAAAAATTCAATTTTATCGTCTTCGACGCACGAGTCATTAAGAATAACTCTAAATTGATTACAAAACAGATGATTCAAAGCAAAATTTAAAGAAATCTCAGTTTCAAAAAATAATTCTGCCTTTTGAGAATGGAATTGTAATGGTAGATTTGTTGTTTTGTCTTCATCAAATAATAATTCAATCATTTGTGGATTAATTACAGGTTCATCAATTCGAAAATATTCAAAAGCACAGTTAAAAAATAGTTGTAATAAATAGCGAATAATTTTCATTTCCACAATGTTTTTTGGAGACCTTGGCAATTGTATATAGTATAAGGCTAAATAAAATTTTTTAAATGATTATAGAATGAAAATTTGTAAAACATTTCATTGAAGGATTTTATTTGATTGGATATTCTGTATGAAAAATTTAGCCAAAACTGGCTTCGGTTACCCAAAACCGGGAGTCAGTCAAAAACTGAAAACCTGAGGTTGTAAACCGGCCAAAATCGAAAAAAGGAATATAACCGGTAATTAACAACCTTCATTTTTAAAATCAAAAAAATTTGACTCATAATTACATAATCCCAAATTTTAATGTGAGCGTCCAAGCACCGATATTATAAGCTCAAATAATAAATAACCTTTATCCACTTTGTAATTATGTTGCAATTCGCAGAAAAAAGTATTAAAAGTCGCTTGATCTGAATCACCCTCCCAAGGGTCATAACCCAAATCCCTAAATACATACATAGGAATTGAGTTTTCTATTGCAGCCTTCCACTAAAATTTAAGGTTTAAAATGAAAACGTTAATTTTAAAAAACCTTTTTTTCAAGTTGTTCACTCAACTTGAAATCATAAAGTTTAGAGTCTAGTTTAATGAATTCATAATCCTTTTCACAAAATTCAGTATTTTCATCATTCTCACAAGATCCTTCATGCCAACAAAAACTAACATTTTCATCCAATTTCAAGCAATAAAGTTTAGGAGATGGCTTATAATCTTTATGTCTTTCGTCTTCTTTACTTAAATCAGAATTAGGAATCTAAAGAAGATAATTATTAGAGAACATGTAAAATCATTTTTAGAGTCCGGAAACCTTATTTTGGATCACAAGCAATTTTTAAGTCCTGATTTTTCGGAATTAATATGGGCCGAAAATATCCAGAGATTGAGAAAGAAACCCCGTATTTGGGACAAAGCAGGGAAACAGGCTCTGAAAAAATCCGGCTGAATCAGCCCGGCTCCGTGCCTTGTATTAGAATCAATTTATAAAAAAATTTACAATTTCAAGCTTCTCATATTTCTTCCTTGCCAATTCCTTCTCGTATTTGTCAATAAATTTTTTGAAATAAAAACTTGTTTCTTGAAAAGATAATAATTGATTAAAGTCCAGACATTTAAGCACATCAAGTTGAATTTCAGTCGGAATGTTTATTTTTTCAGGTCTTTTAGGAGTTTTGACAGCATCGGGCACTTTGTCTTCTGCAATTGGAAGGGTCTGGTACCATTCAGTACCAATGGTCGTGTACCATTGACCTTCCTAAAAATATTTTATTTAAACATAAAATTAATTAAAAAACCTCTTTAAAATATTTAACTCCCTCGTGTTCAATAATTTTTCCATCCAGGCTGCTCATTATTTTAAAAAATCTAGTTGAAAATAGAAAATTTGGTCTGTAAATTGGAGATTAAAATAGAAAAGATTTTATATAAAAAAATAATTTTAATGAATAAAAAATCATTTTAATTAATCAAAAAAAATTTTTATGAAAGGAAAAAATTTTTTTAAAGTTTATTCAAAAATAAAAATGGAAAATATGTAAAAGGTACTTTTTTAGAGAAGAAAAAAAGTGAAAAATTTTAATTTTATTAAACAAAAAATCTTGTTGAAATTGAAGTATATAGTATAAATATTTAAATTTAGTATATATGGTGTTGATGGTTAAAATATTTTTTATATTCAAAATGCTAAAAATAATAAAAAATTGTCAGTTTCAACGAATTCTGTTTTTTTCAACAAGTAACCCCAACCGACAGAAACTCAAAGATTTTCAGTTTTATAGAAAACTGATGATTTTCGGGTGTCGGTTTTGAAACCAACAATCGGATCATATAAATAGACTCTTTGGCAATCTCAAAAAAGATCGGCTTGAAACCGACAACTCTACTAAAAAATAATCAAAACTAAAATTTCTTACAGATTTTCTTTTTTGATTTAAAAAATATAGATTATAGGCAAAAAAATAATAAAATGATTGCCTATATACTTCGTTTCGTTCCACTAAGTGCCAGTTAAAGTCCCCTTTTTCAAAATTATTAAAATATCACTCCCTGTCTAGTGGGACGAAACGTCACACATTCTCAAAAAAAATTTTTTTGTCAGACGAAAATTAATTTTTAAAGACAATATTTCCAAAATTATAATGAAATAAAAAAAATTAAGTAAAAAAATTATACACAAAATATAGCTGCCAAAAACATATTTTTTAACTCGTAGAATTTTTCAAAGGCGGGAATTCTTCCAAATCATCCAAATCAGCAGGAGGAGAATTTAATGGACTAGAAACCGCAACAGTTGACCCTGAAACAAAAAAAATTTAAAAAATAAAAATCCCGTCAAAAAAACTAACCAATTTTAACCGGTTCCAAATTAACAATTTCATCTTCATCCAATGGAGTAACCAAATCTTCCATATTAAAAGGATTCGCATCAACCACTAAATTAAAAATAAATTTAAGACCCGAGAATTTCTAAAAAAAACCTTTAGTTAAATCTTTTGTTGATAAAGGTTTAGGTGTCGATAGAACCTTTGGTGTATTCGAAGCAGAATGAAGTTGTTGCTGAAGTTTAATACTTGTGGATGAATTTCCGAATAAAGATGGGGATCCACTTGAAGTTTTAATCATTCCAGTAGTTTGTGACAATCTTGCTGGGGTATTTTGAAGTTCTGGTTCCTAAAAAAATAAAAAATAATAGACAAAGAAATTTTATTTTGAATGTCTTCAAAGACACATAAAAGCTAGATTAAAAAGAAAAAATTCATATAGCACCGGATGGTTTCGATCCATCGACCTCTGGGTTATGGGCCCAGCACGCTTCCACTGCGCCACGGTGCTTTACGTAAGAGAAAGCTTAAAATAAGATTACAAGCTGACAAACTAGACAAAAAAACCCTCAAGTTCTTTACCTTTTCATAACTCAAATTACCCTATACTAAACAGAAAAATGAATTTTTTTTAAAGCAAACCAAATTTTTCTGTGGAGTTGATATTTGAATTCCTCCCATTTCTGCTTCATCTCCATCCTTTTTAGAACTTTTCTTAGGCCCAATTTTGTACTGACGCAGAAGCTTGCATTCACTGACATCGCTAGAAGTAGGCAAAGAGTACCAGAAAAGATAGCCTTCCATACTCGCGACAATTAAATAATCAATTCCCTAAAATTTATTTCTAAATAAGATTCTGTAAAATCGAGAAACCTGAATTTTAGGCATGGCCACAACTGTTTTATGTCCAAGTATAGGCAATTTAGCAACCGCAACACTTTTGCCTCTCAACATCAAATCATTAACTTGTTGGGGTAAATAGGCACTTGCTTGTTGTGAAAAATAGCTCATCCAACTAACACTTTCTTGGGAAGAATCATCTGGTCTGAATAAAAAAAATATAAAAAAATAAAGAAAATTAAGTTCAAACTTTGTATGGTGGTCCAATTGTTGATCACGTTTAGCCAAGGAAAACACATGAACAGTTTCGGTGTTTGATGAAAGACACAAAAATCGAGAATCTTGGGAGAATGCAAGAGAACTTATTTGAACACAGCGGCTGACTCCACGGACAAATTCAAATAGACGTTCACCGCCAGTAATTGAGAAAACGCGAATCACAGTTCCCTTAAATTGCAAATATTTTAACGATATCAAAACTAAATTTAAAATTGGAGGAAATTTTGGAAAACATTTAGATCCAAAAAAATTCAGGACTCATAGTAGCAATTACTATCAAAGCATGAAATTAATTCCACGCTCAATCTCGTCGGCTATATAAAATCTAATCATCGTCCAAGCTTGGAAGGAAATAACAAAGGGTCAGTGAACCTATAAATATCCCACTTAACCAACAAAAATCTAAATATCCAGTTCAAAAAGACAAAGATAACTTTAACGATCGACGTAAATTTTATTTTTGAGGGGGAATTAAAACATTTATTAAAAAAGAGGAATTAAAATACCAAGGCGAATTAAAGAAATTTTTCTACTAAAAAAATATAAAAATTTGAAAACCTTCTCTGATCCAGTTGCAAGTTTGTTTCCTTCTGGGTTGAATCTAACAGCAGCCAAAACACTATCATGGGCAGTAATTTGACAAACAGTAATTAAATTCTCCGCATCAAAAATATGTCTTAAAATGGGAGAATTAAATTATATGTTATCAAGAAGGGATGTCACGAGTTACACGACGATCCGATACTTGACTATTTTTAACCCGAAACCCGAAGAAAATTTTGAAACCCGACCTGAAACCGACCAGACTTTTTTTTCCAGGAGAACGATTTCAAAAATGGGGTGTCGCCCTTACCCCGTTACCAAACGCCCATTATTCACTTTAATCTGTCCTTACACATGTCCAGTGCTCGAAGAAGCAGGAAAGGCAAGGAAGCAATTGTTGTCATCAATTGAAAGATCCACAATTCCTTGAGGATTTGAGGGAGTATCCTTAATCATATGCAAAATCTAAAATTTGAAGAGAATTTTCCAAAATTTCAAGGAAAAAACCAAACCCGCATATCTCGAACATTATGGATATGAATTGCATCCTCCAAGCAAACTACCACCCTCTAAAACTTAAATTTTTAATGTTCTCCAACAGCTAAAAGAAAACCTTTCTATTCATCCGAACAGCAATTATTGAACTAGCATAAGTGTGAGAACATATTTCATTTTCTTTAGATGAGTGATAAACCTGGAATAATGAATTTAAGTTGAAAAATTCAAGTTCAACTATTTTCTAGTCTGGTCGATAACCCTGAAACTAACAGAAATCCCAGGATATTTGGGATTTGCTTCCCATTTTATTATTTTTGTCTTCCCAATTCCTTCTCTAAATTGCTTGCCAACGGATCCCCACACATAGAGTTTATTCAGGATTCCTGAGCATTTGCAAGTCGATATAGCGTTTGAGAACAAAGAGACGTTAGAAACAAAAATCGAAAATAACCAGTCTCGCTTAACTAAAAAACGACCCAAGGACTATTTATCAGTTGTAAATACTCAAAAATTCTAAAAAGACCCAACAAACAAAGCCTTTCACTACTCATTAAATTAAAATGAACCTGCAATTTTCTTGTACTCTTCATTGAAACAACAGTTATCAATGAACTATTAAACAGCTTCTCAACAATACAAGCACGTTCAGGAGCTTAAAAAGCAGAATAATTTTTAACAAAAACTCAAAGTAAACCTTTAGCATCTTGTATTTTTTCGAGTTTGTCAATTGAACGGAGAGAGTAGAAACTATAGCCATCTTCATGTCCCACAGCCAAAGAAGTGCAATCCTGATTGAATGAAATAGAATAAATCTTCTTTCCCGGCGTTTGTTCAATGTCCATTTCGTCTACTAAAATTAATTAAAAATACATTTTTACTAAAATTGACGGTCAATTAAGTTCCCTAGAAAACTTGGTGATATCTAAAAACATTCATAAAACCCCTGCTTCCAAAAACCACACGACAGAACGAAAAAAAGGAAAAACACATGTTTTCCCTTTTCTATTGACGATAACCCAAAAGATCGAAAACTTAAAAATCAATCCGCTATTAGAGTCGGAGATTCACAAAAAAATTTTTCAAGAGGTAAAGGGTAGGATTGACTAGTGCGAAGTATAATCCGTGTTCAATTTCGTTAGATAATCCAAAATTTATAAAATCCTTACTCATGTTAACACAAAAGATCGAAAACATAAAAATCACCACCATTAAAGTCCGAACAGTCGCAAAATTTTTTGAAGGCAGGCCCAGGGTTACCTTTTTGCTAGCCTAATCCTTATTAAGGATCCAAAAATTCATATAATCCAAAATCAAACCTAAAATTGCAGGAGTTGGTGACAAATATTGTCCAAATAAATGTTGAGTATATTGAACACTAGTTTCAGCAAAATTCCAAAGAGAATTCGGATTAATTTGATTTGTAATAAATTCTGCAGCAGAAGAATACATAATAAATTAAAAATAATTTACAAATCCAAAAGGATTTTTAAAAAAGGTAAAAAAAGTTGGATAACCCGTGAAGTCAGAGGGTAACTAAAAATAACTCTAAAAAACAACTCTAAAAAGGATTCAAAAAGAATAATCAGAAAATAAACGTTAGTCAAATGAATCAATTTAAACGAATGTAGACGTTTTTGGAAAGGAAAAACAGTCTAGGAGTAGAATATGACCTTAAATCTTCCCCCTTTTATAGTTACCCACTCCAACATGTGAGCAATTTAGCGGTAAAATAAAAGGGGGAAAAGGCGGAAGAGAAAGAACCAAATATAAAATAAGAACTGCACAAGTACAGCATTTGAAAAAAGAACAAATTAGGCATATTAAATTTATTCATTAAGGCAATTATTCAAATATTCACAGAAAAATTATACAAAAAACCTCTCTTTATTCTAATCAACTTCCCAATCCAAAGGTTGATTCCAATTTACTTCCCTTGCCGCCATCATTCCAAAAAATGCTTGTTCAATTCCGATATAATCGGGTCTTTTGTGGTAATCCAAAGTGCGCAAATAATTCATAATTGTTGAGAAAGCGACTGGACATCCCTAAAAATTTTTGACAATTTTCCAAAAAAAAAATTCAAAAAATACATGCATATACTCAAAATCCATTAATTTCGCCTTTAAAATTTTTGTTTTGTTTCGAGATCTTCCCATCCATGGAAGATCGCCAGTTTTCAATTCTGCAAGCATGTAGAAGATTGACCTGGAATTTTCAAATAAATCATGCTCGTTTGAAGTACCAAAACTAACCATAGATCGTCGTGCCTTCCATGTTCCTTTCTGTTGTGTACTGAAATAAGAAAAGGAGGGTTACTAGAAATATAGTAGAAAAGAGATAAAAGGAATAGATAAGAGGCCCCAGGGCGTATTTATCCTGCAACCTAGGGGCAGTTATTCCTAGGCTTCCTGCGGTGTCCCACGTATTTTGTCTCGAGATAAACACAGGAGGTCAACCCCTTAGAGGTCTAGTGCAACTGTTAGACAAGGCAAAAAGGAAGCAGGCCAACGTAGCATAATCTTGAAGTTCCCCTTTATCCATCAGAATAGTTGAAGTTGGCCTCTAGGGTGTTGACCGTGTTAAATCCTGAGGTGTCCCTGTGCTTCATCAAAGCGGCCGGGACGTTGCCTTCCCATTCTCTTCCTCTTTACAATAATTTCATTTTAAAAATACCGTTCAAGCTGCAATATCCTGAAGTTCCTCGGAATGAAACATCCTCCCTCATTGTACGCAATTCCATATCGCCACGCTTTTTAAGTGCTCTAGAAAGTCCAAAATCGAATAGATAGATTCGTCTGGAGTTGTTTACTCCAATAGCAAAATTGCTGGGCTTGATATCTCGATGGACAAAATATGAACAATGAACAAATGCGACTGCCTAAAATTTATTGGGGAAAATATTAATTCAAAGGCAAGTTAACCTGCAAAGCATGAAAGCCAATCCTCAACACAGTCCCCATATTGAATCTTTCTTTGATTTCTTGCTTCCGTAATTCATCTATAGAAGGGCCTAGCAATCCCATAATGAGCACACGAAGGCCTAAACCTTTGCCTGAAAAATGAAACAGTTACTTGTGCAGTTTACCCCCATAAACAGTTACTTGTGCAGTTTACCCCCCATTTACCCCCATTCTCTCCTCTTTTCAATTCTTGCAAAGTGACTTGATCTGATTTTATTATCGATTTCAGGCCTTTTTCCTCTCCTTATAAGGGAGAGAAAACTAGGTGTGGTTTATGGGGGGTAAACTACACAAGTGCCCAAACCCCTCATACTTTGACAAGTTCCACACTGAATGAACTGAACAGTGTAAGGGGAGGACTGCAGACGCTTGAGAACATGAGCTTCTATTCCCAAAAGTTGATCAGTTTTGTCCATATCCAAGCGTTCAACTTTCATTGCGTAGTGTTTATTATTTGCTTTTACTTGATAGACGACCCCGCAACCACCTTAAAAGTTAAAATTAATATTTTGGCAAGTTTAAAGGACTTGAACCTTCCCCAAGTCGTCTCACCACTTTGTAATTGCCAATTAATCCCCCATTTGTCATTTGAACAATTTTCTTGTCACATTCCTCAGATTTAGTTGTAGAGGCCTCGATTTCTATTGAAGATTCTATTGTGTCCATTGATGGTCTTGAAGAGCTTGTTAAAGATTTGGAAGAATCTGTGGACGTTTCTGAAGTATCTAGAGGATCGGCTGACATTTCCTCTTCCTCCTCCATTGTATATTCTCACGCAAAGGAGTAAACAAAAAACTGCTTTTATAAGGGAACTGGAGAAGGTCATTTTGGCGCGGTTTGTTTGGCGCAAGTACAACCACCTTTATCGGCTAGCAACTACTAAAAGCTTTAAAGTATTAACTTAAGTTTTAAAAAATATTATCTTTTTGAATATGCTTTATGAAAAATTTTTCGTGAAAATTTATTTCAAAAAAATTTTTTAAAAATAATCATGTGTGTAAAAATAAATAAAGTAGTCCAACGTACAGCGAGACCAGTTACCACCTAGCTATAACTCCGTTCAAAATTATCGAATCCAGGTGCCCTGGTAAGGTTCGATCCAGCTCGTCAAGGCGTATCGAATCATGCCAAGTCTTCCCGGATTTGATAATTTTTAACGAAGTTATGAGGTCGGCGGCGCTCGAATACGTCGTTAGTTGTACACAAATAAAATTGTCAATTAATTCGTTCAATTTCAACGTTGCGTCCAAACATTTTATGTTTTTTAATATGAACAGAAAACTTCATTTTTGGATCATATTTATTTGAAAGCTGATAACTGGTGTGTAGTTTACCAAATTTGTCGTTTTTCTTTTCAATATTTTCAGCTCTTTCACTTATCACAAGATCCCCTTCAACACGTTTAAATTTAATTATTTTTACCATTTTATAAAAATCGTTTGCTGTTTCTATATGCTGAAATTAGATTATATTTAGGTTCAAAAATTGATTTTTCAATCCCGCCCTCTCTCCCTATTTAAACCTTTTATATTTTACTTTTGACCCCAGATAATCAGATCACCTAGAAATCCCACATTCTGGTTATTTAACAATAAGTCCAGATCCACAAAAGATTTGGAGTGGTAAAACCGGATCAACCCAGAAGGTCAACACCTTGACTATTACCTGAATAATAAGATTGTAATATTTTTGGTTATGACAACAAAAATAAGCGGCAGAAAATTTATTTCTTCCAGTCGTCAAAATTTTGAATAAATTATTGTAATGTTTTTCCGTGTTGTTTTGTATATAAATATCCAATTTAAATACATTAGAGACCAAATGATTCCAAATAAATGGAAAAAAAGACTCAGTATTTCCATCTTTAATCTCTAGTCTAGCCTTTTTAGAATATATTTGTAAAGGCATATTTGTTTCATTTTCATAAAATAATAATTCCATCATTTCTGAGTTGATTGTATAGCAACCAAAACAGACGTTGTCAAAGGCAGAGTTAAAAAGTTGTTGAAATAAATAACGAAAAATCTTCATTTCTTCAATAGTTTTTGGAACGTTTGGTAATTTGAAATTGAAAGGGGAATCTAAATAAAAAAGTGATCAAATCCTGGGTAAGCATAAAACGGCGCCGGCCATAACTTGCTGGAAAATGTAGCTCGATGAGTGGAATTGCTTGATACTAAATCGGGTAGGATTAAGAAATCTTTGAAGCAAGTATTATGACCGCGCGCCCTTCCCTCAAATTCTTAGAGGTAACACCTAGCGGTCAACTGATCCTGGAGGTCAAAAAATAGTATTAAAAAGAATTTTCCCAAAAAAGATGATTGTAGCTTAAAATAACTAAATTTTGGGTCGCAATTGGAGAAATTGACTGTTTATCCTGCTGTTCAAAATTGAGCGGAATCGAGGAACAAATCTGAGAAAATGGGGTCCGGGAAATAAACTACTGCTAACAAACCTTTGCTTATTTTATGGCTACTTTTATGCACTGCAAGATAAGCCATTTCTAGTACATGTTCAGGATAAAAAAACACTGGAATTCTTCTTTTTATCGCACATTTCCACTAAAATTGATTTGTTTAAAAATAGAAAATATCAATTTTTAAACCTTTTCTTCAAGTTCTCTACTCAATTCAAAGTCATAAAGTTTGGGATCTGGTTGAAATAATTTATAAGTGAGAAAATCGGTCCTGTGGCGGCGAAAAAAAACACTCTGAAAATTTTAAAAGTAAACGTGGGTTATCCCAAACCCGATTTGCAGACATATTCTTGCGGAAAAGATGTCTTAAAATGACCGCAAAAAAAGTGTCCGCAAAAAAGTTTCCGCATAAAACCCTCTAGCACATTGAATAGAGAACACGAAAAAGTATGGATGTTCTGACCATTATGAGACCAGTATGATTAGGTGTCCGCATAAATATATCCGCAAAATCAGCTTGGGATAACCCACAAGTCCAACTCAAAATTATTAAAAAGATTTATAAAAAAAATACAAAATGTAGCCAATAAAATTTCGGTAAAATTCCGTCATATCTCCCAGAAACCGATCCGGACAAACGATATGTCATTCGAAAGAGCTCACCGAGCTGAGTCGAACAACACCAAAATTAGCTTCGGGACTCACCTGTGGGCTGAGATATAGGTCCACGAAAATCGAAAAACCAAAGGGGGGACCAAGCACTTTTTTGGCTTAAAAAATTCGAATATGCAAATTATACCTCATTCGAAAGAGCTCGTCGAGCTGAGTTGAATGACAACAAAATCACCGAAATCCGACTTGATTTGACAAAGTTATGAGTATTAGTTTTAGCTCCTTACCTTTGGTCTACGCGCAGGTTTTTGTTGCTGGGGAGGAATCCAGACATGCCGACCGCAGCTAAAATAGGCATAAGTTTATGTTACGAGCCCAGACCCAACGCCCGTTGACTCCCCGCGAGGCGCGTGCCGCAAAACTCCGCGCGAAGCGCGGAGTTTTGCACAAGCGCCTCGCCGACGCCCCATAGGTTTACGTTGACCATTTTGACCTCTTTATCTCAGCTCAGAATCAAGATTTCGAACTGATTTTGGTGTCATTCGACTCAGCTCGATGAGTTCTTTCGAATGAGCTATCATTCGAAAAATCGAATTTTTCACCCCAAAAATCAGCTTACTCCCCCCTATGGTTTTTCGATTTTCAGGGGCCTATAACTTGGTCCATATGTGAGTCCCGAAGCTAATTTTGGTGTCATTCGACTCAGCTCGGCGAGCTCTTTCGAATGACATATCGTTTGTCCGAATTGGTTTCTGGGAGATATGACGGAATTTTTCCAAAATTTCTTCCGTGCCAATTCCTTTTTATATTCTTCAATAAAATTTTTCAAATAATAATTTGTTTGTTGGACATTCAATAATTGCTCAGGATTAAGATGTTTAAGTATATCTAATTTAATTTCTGTTGGAAGAAAATACATTTTTATAAAAATATTTTTCTGAAAAAAAATTAAAAATAAATCACCAACGAAAAAATCAATAAAATAATGCCATTTATGTCGATGATTCACGACTAAATTTTTCTTCTCTTCCCATAAAAAAGGAAGAAAATTGACAGAAACTATCGCAAGCCCTTTATGGCGCACGGCCATTATGGCGTTGCACGACATTTGGGCAACAATAAGGCAATACGACATTTGGACAGAAGACAATTGGACAGCAGGCTAATTGGACAGCAGACATTTGGATAGAAGACAATTGGACAGGAGATATTTAGACAGCAGGCTAATTGGACAGCAGACATTTGGATAGAAGACAATTGGACAGCTGACCAATTAGTCAGCGACTATCGTTAGCAAACCGAATTTAAATTCTTGCAGAATATTTTTTAAATAACTTTTTTTATAATTTTCCCAATTTAAATTTAAATTCTATTTTAGCTTATAATTACGCAATAGATGGCTGAATATACAATTTTTAATTTCTCTTGTCTTTATTTCCCAAAATTTTGAAATCCCTCCACTAGCAAATTTAATATTTTATTTTAGTTCTCCATAAAAATTTTAATTTTATTCTGACTTGAATAAATATTTTTATTAATTTTACGCACTTGTAAAATAACCCAGCTATCTTCTGGTGATTTTTGTGGGGATTTATCCGTTCACCATAAAGACAAAACTAGAAAAAATTGAAGAAAATGTGGGAACAGGCAAAGAAAAGACAAAACGGGAAGATAAACAATTGCCTAAATCGTTTATTAATATTGCGTATTTGTGCTCTGTTGCTGTTTGACCTGTTTGGGTTTTCCTTCTCTCAAGGTCATCAACACAATTAAAGTGTCTGTTCAGTTACAAGAATTAATTTTCTGATTTTTAATAAATGAGAAATCCAAAGGGAGAGTAAAACAGAGCTGAGCCCACACAATCCTACATAAAGCAGAGCTGGGCCTTCAGCTAATGCAGGTTATTCGGCGGCTGGGAGCGAACCAGAATCTTCAATAGACTGGACTGATGTGTCACACACCACGCCGCCTACTGCATAGCCTTAGAAATTAAATATATGCTTTACAGGAGCCGGACATATCGTTACTACGGATTTCAGGACCTATGGACAACGGGCCTTGGATTTTAAATTGCCCTATTGAGGAGTAGATTTTCTAAAGCCTCCGCTCAACTTACAAGTTTAAAGGGAGTATTTTGTCTTAGAACCTTACACACAAGTGATCATTTTCGTCGCCACAATCTCCTTACTAATTCAGAAAATATTCAAAAAATTACTAATAAAACATTTATTTATTTCTTCCAAATTTTCTTACCCTATTTTTGGCGATAACATTTAAAACTTGTTTTTCTCACCTTTCTCCCCAAAACAAATACAACACAAAATGCAATTTGTTTGTATTTTTAAAAAAATATACTCTACTCCCGCTGTCACCCAAAAATTCAATCCTCTTTAAAATATTAAATCTTTTTTCCTTTTATTTTATAAAAACGTTGGTTAATCCAAAAAAATAATTGAAAAAAATTTTTTTGTGTGCTTTTTTAATTTTTTTCATTGCTTGGATGTTTAATCTATTGATTTTTCAAAAATTTTTATTCACAGAATTTCCCCTAAATTTGAATATTTGCTTACTCTTTTGTTATGTGCCCATAAATTCTTTGGCTGTACCTAGCCAACGGACGGTTCCCAAGTATTTTGATTTATATATCTTTAGGTTCGCCTCATTGGTCCAAGTCGAATGGCACCACTCTCTATGATCAAAAATGCCTATGGACCAAGATATAAGCCTCCGAAAATTGAAAAACCATAGGTCATGCTCATTTTTTGAGGTCAGATTCTATTATATAATTGTGGAATTTTGAACTTATATGACCCCATTTTATTTTCTTCCCAAATCTACGGCATAAAATCACGGCGGGAAGTTTGGAAGAAGGGACGAGGAAAGGCGAAGAAGGGACGAGGAAAGAATGTGTTAGAACCTATGCTCCGGTAATGTGCGTATGTACCATAATCTATGCCGTAAATCACCAGATTTTGTTATTAGAACCTACGTCAATGTTGGGTGTGTGTTCCTTTACTTCTACTATCTGTGATAAGTTCACTATATTCCCCTGACATTTTTATTAGAATACATATTTATTTTTGTAAAATATTCCCATTTCTGCAATTAATCATTGCTGACAGATATTTTTTCTCAAAGAAAATTTTTCTCTCAAAAAATTTTATTTTTCTTCTCTTATTGTTAGTAAACTTTTAAATTTCTTCCTCATTGTTCACAAGTTTTGTTGTTGTTTGTTTGTATGATTCATTCCCTTCCTCGTTCCTTCTTCGCCTAATCTTCCCAAACTTCCCGCCGTGATTTTTACTTTTTTTATTATCAAACATTTAAATCGTAAAATAAAAATGTAGCCAATTTTTGTTTATTTTATTTTTCAAGAATTTTTTTAAAAATAGAAAAAGACAGGTTTCTAACCTACCTATATTTTTCTAAAAATAAAATATTTCCTGGTCAGATTTTTGGAAAATTAAAAAATTAATTCCAGGACTTTACTAAAAGATTTTTTCCCTGATTTTCTAGGGAGAAAAGGAATTTTTTTCAAATTTCCCCATCTTTTTATTCGTTAAAATTAAATTTTTTTTAAACTTAACCCCCCAAATCTCTCGATATACAACTTAATCCTCCAATGTCCTCTTAATCCCTTAAAATCCAACTTCCGGCCAATCTCTAGTTTTAACAAAAAATTTATTATTTTTTAACCCCTTCTTTTCCTTCTTCTGTTGCTTAAATAACAACGATGACCTGCGGCTAGGATTACCGCAAATTTTAGCTGCTAGTTAGCGTTCCTGTTCTTTCCTTTATTTTGGGAATATGGAGAGAGAACATCCACCCTATTTCCCCTTTTTGTAAAAATTCTCTAAAATTTTTAAAATTTTTTTTAGTTATCTTAAAAGATGGTTCTTTCAGAATTTAAAGCATTACTACACTTAACAAATCCCAATATCCTTACTTATTTCTTCATTCTACTACAGCTTATATCCCTCCCTTTAAACACATCAGCAGCAAGATATAGACGCCAATATCCCCAAAATATCCAAAACCCAGATTGTATCCGAACGTTGCTTTTACTTACTTTTTCCTCTCAAAGTCAACAACGAAAAGGAAAAAGTGAAAGAATCCAAAAGCAAAATTTTTGGCCTGGCAGATTGCAAATTGGATGAAGACAACAAGGTTATTCTTTCTGAAGGTTGAAACGTCTTCGTCAACAATTGACTGATTTACGTGGAAAACTTGGGGATCTGGAAGGCCGAGTATGTTTTTTGGTTATTAAGGAATGATAGCTAATTTTTCTTTAACAGAATGCTCTTTTGGAAAAACAAATTCAAGAGCTCAATTACAATCTAGAAGATGATCAACGAGCCTATGAAGATGCCCTTAACGCTAAGGAAGCTCAAATCCGTAAAATGCGTGATGAATGTCAAGCATTGATGGTGGAATTGCAAATGTTGTTAGATACCAAACAAACGCTGGATGCCGAAATTGCCATAATACCGAAAGATGCTTGAGGGAGAAGGAGATGGTCCTGGTTTGAAACAACTAGTAGAACAAGTTGTTCGTACAACTGGTATTAATGAAGTGGCTGATACAGGTTGAAAACTTTTTAAATATTTTTTTCGAAAGGAATTGGCGGGTAAATTTTAATTCTCCTTTGATTCTCTTTTCACTTGAACATAAAAAACTCTTTTTAGTCTTTATTTTTTAATAAAACCTTCTGGATAAAACACCGCCAGTTCCTTTCTTACCTCCCTCTCCATCACCACCTCTACCATCTAAATCAAGATCTCCCTTACCTTTAACAGAAACTATGCGTGTTGTAAAAGGAGAAACTTCTTCCCGACAATCCTATCAACGTTCTGCAAAAGCAAATGTTTCAATTTTGGAAGCTTCCCCTGAAGGCAAATACATTGTAATCGAGAATACCCATCGTTCAAAAGAAGAAAATATTGGCGAGTGGAAATTGAAACGACGCATAGATGGTTTGTTTTAACCAGGCGAGAAAAAAAATTTTAATTTAATTTTTAGAAAAACGTGATATTGTGTACACAAAGTTGGTTTGACAAACTCTACAATTGACAATTTGTGAGAAATAAATAATTTTTTCTTAAAATTTTTCCAAAAATATTTTAGAATTCTTTTTGTTTATGGCTTAACAAATGAAGAAATTGAAAAACATCAGTAACTTCCAATAAAGAATGTAAAGGCTGTGGAGATAAGAATAAATGCATTGCAAGGACGTGACTTGAAGTTGGATGGGAATGAACGAATGAAAGTATTTCTTTTGTTGCCAAACCAAGTAAATAAATTTGTGTGTTTTCTAAAAAAATCTTTTAATTTTTAGTTGTTGAACTTCAAAATACTTTTCTTCCATTAAAATATGAGAAGAATGACTGGACATTCACTTGGAGGTGCTTTTGCATCATTTGCTTCAGCACGAACAGTTAAATCGGAAATTAAAAGGTTTAATTTATTTTTTAGAGTATTAGCGAGTAGATGAAAATTACTTCTCGATTTCCCTTCGGATTCGGAGCTGAATCCGATTTCACTTTTCTTCGTATCGGGTTTTTCGCCGAAAAAGTTTGGTTCGGGTCAGTTAAGGGGATTAGGACTGAAATTTGGTAGGGTTTTCAAAATTTCCTTCGGATCAAGTTTCGGGTCGAAAAAACAGTCCGGATAACCCGTGCCAATCTTTACTGGTCAAAAAATCATTTAATATTCTTCTTTTTCACATTTTTAAATTTTAAAGGAGTGGTCAAGTCCAACTCTATACTGTTCAGCCACGTTTGGGCAATGCCGATTTTGCATTTGCACATGACAAACTTGTTCCAATGAGGTTTTTAATTTTATAGGGTTTATTTTAAGTCTTTTTTTCTAGTTTTCGAGTTGTCCATCGAATGGATATTGTGCCTCATATGCCAGCTTGTGATAAAACCGACAATTGGCCTGGTGTGCGTCCCAACAACAACAGCAAACCTGCAATCGTCATGGAAAAGGAAAAGCTTACCATCATGAAACTGAGATTTGGTAACGAATTATACTTTAATAAGGGTTCTTTTTACTTTTAAGATTCTGAGTCCTTTCCCCCTCTTCTTCAGGAGCCCGAGCCTCTTCTTTTAGGAGTCCTCTTCCAGTTTCGTCTTTTTGTGTCCTCTCTCTCCCCGTTCATTTTTCTTCTAGAAGTTCTCTTTTATCTTTTTAAGGAGTATATTTCCCGTTACCTCTTCTTTTAAAGGTCCGAGTCCTGTCAGCTTTTTTAAGCAGGGGATGTGAGAAATAAGGTTATTACTAATCATATAATTTTTAAAAAGGTATCCTTACACTTAGCTTGTTATCCTTTCTATTTGTGCTTGGATGTTCTAACTTGCTGGGTAAACTACAAAGTTTGGGTATATTTATTAAAAATTTTGATTTTTTTATATTTTTTAAATAAAATTAATTTCAGGATTCTCCAACATGTGAAAAAATTAATTTTTTTTTAAATTATAGACTTTAAAGGTCACTATATTCCCCTGACATTTTTATTAGAATACATATTTATTTTTGTAAAATATTCCCATTTCTGCAATTAATCATTGCTGACAGATATTTTTTCTCAAAGAAAATTTTTCTCTCAAAAAATTTTATTTTTCTTCTCTTATTGTTAGTAAACTTTTAAATTTCTTCCTCATTGTTCACAAGTTTTGTTGTTGTTTGTTTGTATGATTCATTCCCTTCCTCGTTCCTTCTTCGCCTAATCTTCCCAAACTTCCCGCCGTGATTTTTACTTTTTTTATTATCAAACATTTAAATCGTAAAATAAAAATGTAGCCAATTTTTGTTTATTTTATTTTTCAAGAATTTTTTTAAAAATAGAAAAAGACAGGTTTCTAACCTACCTATATTTTTCTAAAAATAAAATATTTCCTGGTCAGATTTTTGGAAAATTAAAAAATTAATTCCAGGACTTTACTAAAAGATTTTTTCCCTGATTTTCTAGGGAGAAAAGGAATTTTTTTCAAATTTCCCCATCTTTTTATTCGTTAAAATTAAATTTTTTTTAAACTTAACCCCCCAAATCTCTCGATATACAACTTAATCCTCCAATGTCCTCTTAATCCCTTAAAATCCAACTTCCGGCCAATCTCTAGTTTTAACAAAAAATTTATTATTTTTTAACCCCTTCTTTTCCTTCTTCTGTTGCTTAAATAACAACGATGACCTGCGGCTAGGATTACCGCAAATTTTAGCTGCTAGTTAGCGTTCCTGTTCTTTCCTTTATTTTGGGAATATGGAGAGAGAACATCCACCCTATTTCCCCTTTTTGTAAAAATTCTCTAAAATTTTTAAAATTTTTTTTAGTTATCTTAAAAGATGGTTCTTTCAGAATTTAAAGCATTACTACACTTAACAAATCCCAATATCCTTACTTATTTCTTCATTCTACTACAGCTTATATCCCTCCCTTTAAACACATCAGCAGCAAGATATAGACGCCAATATCCCCAAAATATTCAAAACCCCGAGGTCTATTCAACCTTTACCTTTGACCAAAACGCACAACAACCCCCTTCACCTACAACACAACAAAGACAACAATTTACAGCTTATAATGAGGCCTATGCAAAGAGACTGCTTGCTCTAGCCGCTGGCGCTTATTCATATACACCGCCAAATGGATGTGAAAGGAGGTGAAAATTTTTTTGGCCTCGATTTAGTCCCATATATTTGATTTTCATGTAAAGGTGAAGATCACTGGTCCTTACTATAGACCAAAGCGTTTTTTCTTACCAAAGAATTTTTTCAATTAAAAATTAAAGGTGGATGCCTGATACACATTTATGGAGTTCTGTTAATCAGACATGTGATGCTTTGGAAAGCACTTGCTCCTCCTACACGGTATTAATAAAATTTACTGGATCAAAAAATTTATTCTGATTGGGTTGGAGTACCTTTTAATCTTTCAAAGTTGTGGGGTCGCTCCAGTGAAAAGACGTGGAGATTAAAATAGGGGACTAAAGTTATGGGGCTCCCAAAAAGACTTGGAGACAAAAATCCCTTTGTATCCCCTCTAGTTTTTTTAATTTAAAGGTTGTATCTGACCAGCGTTGTGAATTAATTATCGTTTTTCGAGGAACAAAAACTAAAGAACAATTATTTTTGGAAGGATGGCAAAGTTTACAACCAGGCGTTGATTTTGATGGAATTGGAATGGTTAGGGAACTCAAACTTTTAAAAATAATTTTAAAATTTAAGGTTAATAAATATTTCCTTCGAGCATTTAATACTCTTTGGCCGAGTGTAAAGGAAGCTTTGGAGGATCCAAGGCATTCAGTGAGCTTTGAAAAATTATTTTCCATTTATTTTTAACTTAAAGGGTTACAAAGTAACCTTTACTGGACATTCGCTTGGGGGCGCGCTTGCATCACTTGCTTCAGCACGGACAGTTAAATCGGAAATTAGAAGGTATTAACTTTTTCTAGAGTGGTATGAAGGTCCGGACAGAATTTAATTTTCGATTTCTTCTGATTCGTGAAGCCGGGGGTTGTTTACCAATAATGACGGGTTGGGGAAAGTTACCCGAAACCTTCGGATCAAGTTTCGGGTCAAAAAAAGTCCGGATAACCAGTCATCCATTTTTCATATTTTTAAATTTTAAAGGAGTGATCAGGTCCAACTTTACACATTTGGTCAGCCACGTGTGGGCAATGCTGATTTTGCATTTGCACATGACAACCTTGTTCCAACGAGGTTTTTACTTTTATAGTGCTTAGTTAAGTCTTTTTTTCTAGTTTTCGAGTTGTTCATAGAATGGATATTGTGCCACATATGCCAGCTTGTGATAAAACTGACAATTGGCCTGGTGTGCGTCCTAACGACGATAGCAAGCCCTGCGATCGTAATGGGAAAGGAAAAGCTTACCATCATGGAACTGAGATTTGGTAACGAATTGTATTTGATAAGGGTTCTTTTTGCTTTTAGGAGTCCTCTTCCCGTTCCCTCTTCCCTTAAAAGTTTTTTCACTTCTCCATCCGTTACTTCAAGAAATCCTCTTCCCCCATTTTTGGGAGACCCATAATTTTTTCATTTAAAAAGGTATCCTTATGGAATGAAGGTGGGCGATCCCTTCTACGAGTGCTTAGGTGAACCAAAGAACGAAGACTTTACTTGCAGTGATTCACTTTCATTTGAAGTGTCAAAATACAAGACTTATATAAGTGATCATAGGCATTATTTTGATCATAAGGTTTATTAAATATTGCCTGGGATAATTCTAAAAATTTTCAAGGTCCCAAGATTTGGAAAATTGGGTTGTGATCCAGCTAAAAAGGCATTGGAGGAAGTTGAGAAACTTGAAACGAACGGCGTTGAAGCTACTAAGAAGTCTAGCGGATTTTTTTCCAATTTGATTGGTAAAGTGAAAAGTTTGGGTAAACTTATGAGAATTTTGTGATTTTTGTGAAAAACTTTTTTTTTAATTTTTTCGTTGTAAAAATTAATTGTATGATTCTCCAAAATGTAAAAAAAAATATTTTTTGATTATTTATAGATTTTAAGGAGTTAGGGATTTTTTAGAAAGAAGATTATTTGAAAAATAATGAAATCCGAGATCTAAGGGGTCCTAAAGGGCTCTTAAAAGTAAAAAATCCTTATGAAGATTTAATTCGTTACCAGATGTCAACTTCATTACGGTAAGCTTTCCCCTTTCCTGAAGGATCACAAGACTTGCTATTCACTCTTCTAATTACTTCCCTCCCGAATATTTTTTTATTTTTCCGCATTGGGTGGGGGGAGGGGGCATGGCTACGTCCTTGCAGGACTCATAAAAACGAGCAAAGAGAATTCCTAAAAGAAGAGGGAAGAGTAAGGGAAAGGCCAACATCGTGGCCATAGTCCTAATTAAAATTTGAAAAAGACAGGCTTAAATTATATAGGAATTTATTGTTCACAATAAAAATCAATTTTTAAAATAAACAATAAAACATTTTCCATATAAATTTTAGAGTCGATAGAGAATATAAGCAAAATTACTAACGTTGTGTTAAAAATTTGCCCCAGATTCCTACCCAGAAAAAAATTTTTTAAGCTAGGTACTTTAGGCTAGACAAGAAAGGAAACATTAATTTAAAAATAGTGTTAAAGGAAAAAAAAATAAAATAATAAAAATAATAAAAATTTTCATGTTGCGGAGGGGGAAAATATTAAAAAGGTGAGATCATAAATTTACATTATTAAAAAATTCTGATAAGGAAAAAAGAGAAATTATTAAAAAATTTTTTAGACAAAACTAAGCAGTCTAAAGATACAAGGGGGATGAATGAAATTTAAAGAGATATAATTTTGGCAAAGAAAAATTTTTTTTTGATAAAATCACCTACTTTTATTTTCCTTTGTGACAGATTCACAATCATTTTCTCTCAATCCTGCACGTGTTAGAATAGATATACAATCAACGGATCCATTCAATTGAGCATGCCAAAGTGCTGAACGGCCTTGATCGTCAAGTGTGGTGATACAAGCATTGGACTTTAAAAAATCAAAAATATAGTTGGCAGTTTTTTGTGGATATTAGGGGAAGGAGACCTTCGTGGATAACCGACAATAGATACCGGTATAAAGAAAATTGTTTTAAAAAAAATGAGATAGAAAAAGACTCCAATGCCCTAAAAGTTTAAGGTAAAAACTAAAAGTTGTTTAAGACTGATTAATCTTCGCCTGTGGCAGCCGAAGTGTCCGTAACATTCCATCTTTTTTTCCTTTCCTACTTTAAAAATTTTCTAAAACGAGGCAATAGAAAAGACAAAAACCCCAAAAAACGGATGATAGGTGATAGCTGGAGAGGCATTATATTCCCATATTCTTTTGCTCACGCACAGTTAATTCTCGCCTTTGGCGACACAGGCAAAAACTGCCCGATCGTAAACAACCCTAGTAAGGTCCTAAAAAATTTTTATTTTAAAAAATACCCAAATAAGTAATTGTAAAATTTCTGGAGCACCAATTCCACAAGCCAAATGTACTACAGTTCTTTTATCATTACTTCCACTTATTGGGGCGTTTATATCATCCTGGAAAATTCTTAAAGTAAATAAAAGGAAAAAAATTAATAAAAAACCTTATTTAACCGAGGCAAAATCGTCAACAAATTAAATACATTACGAGAAAGAACAGCATCCACTAATTGTTGAATTGGTGTTTTATCATTTGACAAGGGTGGAAGAAATAATTTTTCAACATATTTCATTTGTATCCATCTTTCCTTTTGTTCTCTGCTTAAAAAAATTTTTTTTATTGAAAAAAGAATTTTTAAATAAAACCTATTCATATCAACAGTTGAAGCTGGTGAGGCATTATATTCCCATATTCTTTTTGCCAAAGTATTCCCAATTGATTGCATCACAACTATGTGTTCAAATCTAAAAAGTAAATGTTAAATAAAATAGAAAATTTGTGAAGCTCAATAGAGTCAAGAAAGGACCCGATATAGTTTGGAAGGACGTACCTAGAGGTCGGATTTCAAAGTCTTCAGCTTGAGACCCCTCAGCACCAGCACCCACCCTGGATAATGTATTGATATTCTTGAGGGCTAACGGGATAGAAACAACTAATAAGTTCAATCCAAGTTTATCAGTGACAGCTTGAGGCTTCTGAGTTCTATAATTTACAAGAGCATCTTCAGCGGATCGGATTTCAGAGAGCTTTTTCAGCCTGAAGCCCTACAGCTATAGACCTCCTACCATCCCCTCAGGAATTGCAGGATTTATCCAAGAGTCGGTCTCACAAAGGCTTTTTCAGCTTAAAGTCCTTATATCAGCTCCAGCCCCTCAGGAATCCCTTGATAATTTTTCATATTTTTTAGGTTATCGAAGCCCCTATTTTCATTCCAAGTTCACCAAAACAAATATGACTCAAAATTAAAAAAAACTTACGGCCAATCATCAAGTTCCAAAGACCTAACTCTGCTAATATGTGACCCCAATTTTCTATGAATTCCAGAACATTCAATACAAATAAGTATTCCCAAATTTATTGAAGCCCAATCTGGATTTAAAGAATTACAATCTGCACATTTTTCATTTCCATCAATTTGTCTCAACGCTTGAATCTCTGCTCTTCTATTTTCTGTTGCTTCTTTAACTGAATTATCACGTGCTTTATTATCACCATTTTGGCCGTTTCTTTGATCTAAATTTTTTTTAAAAATTAAAAAAAATTTTAAAGCAAAAATAAACCGCTCAATTGTTGTTGATCTTTTAAAGAAAGTTTTTGTTGTAAACATCTTTCAATTTCACGTTCTATGACAGATACCCAAGCATCACGTTCTTCAACACTAGAAGCACTAAATTCCCAGCTTTTTTGATCACATGAAACGATTTCGAATTCACAACATTCTTCATCTAAAAAAATAATTTAAAATTGTTTTTGTGATTTATAAAATTATTTAAGGACAAATAGGAAATTAATAAGGCATAAACATTCCTTATTCTGGTCTTTAAGATAGTGGACAGACCTTGCCTTATTTATAAAAATATCCAAGGACAATTGGATCCACTAAATTAATAAAGCGGGTTAGAACACTTCCACTTGACTTTAAAAAAGTCGGGCCAAAACCTCACCTATTAAAAAAATATTTGAGGAAAGAATGGGCCCATAAATCAGGCTAGAACATCCCTTAACCCTTCCCTACTTATAAAACCATTTTTATAACCAAATGACCGCATAAAATTGAGAAAGTGGAATAAAACTCTCCTTATGACATATAACATTGGTCAGGCCTATTGAACAAAAAACACCAAAAATATTATCTTAAAATATGAACCTTCATCATTTTTCAATCCACTTCCAATCCTTTTAGCTTTCTTCTTCTTTTCTTTATGACTTTCTTTCTTTTCAATATTTTTACCACCATCTCTATCAAAGCCACCACCACCACCAGAAATTAAAACACTTGAACTTGTTGAAGTAACCATTCCTCCAACACCACAATTTTCATTTTCTGCACCATCAGTTATTCCTTCAGAATTTTCTCCAGTTGGTGATTTTAGATTATCCTTAACGAATAAATAAAAATAAAACAAAAAATTTAAAAAAACCTCAAATTCATAGGGAAACACATTTGGATTGTTACAAGGCTGGCGATTGTTTTGTTGTCGATTAATCTCTTGGGGAAGCAAAGAATTTCGGTTTCCTTTTTGTTTATGCCTATCTGAAGTTCGAACTGTTGCAAGACCCAAATAAATTTCTTTTCCACGAGACTCTTTTTCCTTATATTCCTGAAGAAAAATAAATAAATTTAAATAGCAATTAGAGATCGGCCTAGGTTTAGCTCAAGACATTGATTTTTGGTAAATCCAAAGACAAGTTCAAGGAATTCCCAGTGTTCGTTAATTTTTTCTAGACTCAAGGCAGGCACGTAGCAAGAGGAATTCCCTCCCCCTGAAATGGGGAAAAGGAAAAAATTTTTGGGAATTTTTTGGCCCACAGCTTTCAAAATTCCCCTTCCCCGAAAACATTTCCTGGTTACCAGTCTGGTTACCAGACCCAAAAAGCCTTTTCTTTTTAAAAATAAAAAAAACCTTCATATTTTGGTGATAACATAAACGTCCATCAGAATATAAACAAACAAACTTCTTCTTCCATTCTTTATTTAATCCATTTTTTGAGCGTTTATACAATTGTCCTTGTTTTAATGGAATAGCTCTTCCAACACCCAAATTTTTTTCAGCAACAATTTCTTTTTTTCTTTCTTCTGAAGAGGGGACATGTTCTTTTCGCTGGGAAAATTAAAAAAATTCTTCCAAAAATTTTTCAAAAAACTCACAAAAATATTCGAAATCCGTTTACTTTTCCTTTCAATTTTTGGTGTACTTCCAGGTGTTGGATTTCCAACTAAACCGTTGTTATTAACAGCCAAAGTACATGAGGAGGCAGCTGAAAGTGTTTGTGGAAAAATCGATTGTTGTTGCTGTTGTTGTCGTCTGCGTGAATCAATAATTTGTTCAGCTTCAAATTTATTATTGGGAGATTGGGAACCGTTGGGATCACTACATGGACGGTGATGATGAAAACAATTTTGATGAAGCATATTGGAAGAAGAGCGGGTATAGGGAGCTGAACTTAGTTCTAAAAAAAGAGAATTATAAAATTTTCTTGGAAAATTCAATAGTCAATCTTTTCATATTTAATCGCAAAATGTTCTTTATAAAAGAGCCATTGACCTCGTAAAATAAGGAGTAAAAAGAGGGGGGATTTTTTGGTTATTTATTTTATGCTTAATTCTCCTGCCTATTTCAAATACGAAAAAATTAATCCAAGCAATTTAAAATAGAGTAGAACCCCGTCCTCCGAACCCTTATCCCTGGCAAATAACGGAGCCCAACACTCCGTATCCCGAAGGAGAACTCTGTCCTCCGAACTCCCTGGCAAATCACGGATCCCCAACACTATCAACCCTGAAGGAGGTTGGAAGCTGACCTAATTTTAAAATAAACCTTTCAAAACTAATAAAAACTAACGATTTGCAGGTATCTGACAATGCGAAGAATCTACTAGACTGCAATGGCTAAAGGCAGGAAAGATGTTTGATTGTTGCTGCTCTACACCAAAATGTGGGTAACGTTGCTGCTCGCTGAGTAAAAATTCTTAATTGAAATTTTTAATTATTCAAAAATTAATAAAAATTTGCAAACTTCTATCACAACGTTCATGTTCTGTTAACGAAAAAGAATCAAAATTTATAGGAGTTTCAGCAAAGGAATAAGATTGGTTGTTGTGAAGAATGTTAGGTGAAGGAAAGCCATGTTGTTTTGTAGAAATTTCTTCATAACGTGGAGGACGATCTAATTGGAACATGTTGTTGTTATGAGAGGAATATGAAGAGGTAAAGGAAGGATGTGCATTATTGTTGATTGGCATAACGGAAATTGATCTTAAAAATTTATTTTAGTAACAAAGGGAAAATATTGGTAGGACAAAGAAATCTTCCGCCGTTCGAAACAGAAAAATCCCTTTCGCTAACTAGCTAGCGAAGGGAAAAATAAGAGCAGAGGAAAAGGACATCAGCTGCTAATAAAAACAAATATATTCACAACATCCAATGAATGTTTGGATGGCCGAACGGATTAGGCCGCAGCTTGAAGAGAAGGGTCCCTGGATCGAAGAACGCCAGTTGAAGCCAATTTTTAACATCCCCATAAACCGACGTGGAAAAATTTTAATGGCTATCAGCCAAAATTTTCACCAAAATAAAAAGATCGACAAACCGTTGATGACGATAATTTGTAGGCGGAATGGGCAAAGGAAAAGAAGTTGAAGGCATTGCACTATCTACAGGAATGACTGGAATGGCAACATTTCCACAATTGTGATTTCCTCGGTAAGATGAAGAGCAACATTTGGTGGTGTTCATCTGTCGAGCCACATAATTACAAACTTAAAATCAAAATTTAACCCATAAAAAATAATTGAAAAAACTATTATTGAAGACAGGATGAACATCATTTTCGTCCAAACACTCAAAATAGCAACACATTTTACGAATCCTTGCGGTGTGATATGCTTCATCCTCAGTTACTGCACGTTGATAATTTGGTCTAGACATGTTCTGTTAAAACAAAAAATTTGGGTAATTAAAAATTATTTGTAGACAAAATTAAAGACCACCAGAGTGCCTGGACATTCATACCAAAATCCGGCCTTGATACGAAATCAAGAGAAGAAATTGATACGGAATTTCAAAAACATGGGCAGTAGCAGTGCCCGAACCCTTTATATTTTCGTACTCTCCCCCATTTTTGGCCAAGTACTCTTATTTGTATCAAGTAAGAAATTCGGTATAAGTGTCCAAGCAAAGGCTTAGAATCGTCTAATTTTAGCAAGTAGAATCAAACCTTCATTCCAACAAGAAAGATAGGGATATTCTCCTCATCCAGCGAACGGTGATTGTTTACCAAATCAAGTGATTTTAAAGCATCCTGGAACGTTTTTCGATTGTCGAGGGAAAACACGATAAGAAGAGCATCCATCCATTTGGAAAACTTGAAAATCAAGGCTGATTCTTCAAAGAATTCAAAAAAAACCTGTAGAAAATTCGGCTCTCTAGTACCTTCGTCCCTAATCAATAAAAGGTAGCTTTGTCCATCAACATCCACTTCTTTTTTGAATCTTCCTCCTTCAGGGGCGTCATTCCAATTCCAATTTTGCGTAAGAAAGTGATGAATTAAAGAATTTTTGAAGGAGTTATCAGAGCCTAGGACGCCCTTAAAATGAAAAAAAAGTAAAAATTTTATAAAGTTTAAAGTCAAACCAATTTAATCTCATTAATAGACCGTCCAAGTGTCCATTCCTGGCTATTGACAAAAGCATTTTCTATATTCATTACTTGTTGTCTGACAAGATCCCCAACATGTTTATTCTCTATTTTTCCAATTAAATCATAAATTCGGTAAATGCAAGGGTGGACAGATTCAAATCGTTGAATTTCAGAATTAATTTGTCGTTGATCCATTGAATTCATATTTGAAGGAATTGTCTCGCCATTTTTTTCAAAATTTTGATGTTTCATAATAGGAAAGCTAAAAATCAAATAAAAAACAAAAATTATTTAGGGAACAGGAAAAAGTTTGCTGAATAATCTTATTAGTCACAAAGACAAGGATGGCCTGATTTATTTAAAGCAAAATCGGTGACACTATGGCGCGACCACAATGGCGCAAAAGTACTCTGGCGCAGGTCAGGGACCCGCCTAAATGGGCGCGGGCTATTATGGCGCAAAGTCATAATTTGCTTCAGGATTTCTGAATCTCTCCAAATTTAGTATTGAACGATTCCTCTCAACTAGCTAAAGAGATTGGTAAAAAATCGATAAGAGCCAAAAAAATTTTTTGAGGAAGTTATGGCTTTGCGCCGTTATTGCCGCGCGCCATTTTGGGCTGCAAACAACATATCAAACCTAAAATATTGATTATTCTGGAAATGTCAATTAAAAATATAAATTCAGGTTTTAACCTGATAAAATGATTCAAATAAAAAAATGCAATAATAATAAAAAATAATTTATGATAAAATCAGTTTAATTAATTAATTAATTTTTAATTACAAAAATTACAATCTTTAAAAAACTAATAGAATTTTTGTAGTAATATGGGAAGGAAGCAAAAAATCATAACTTCAACTAAAATTAAGGAATCAAAGGTACACCAAGAGCAGACCCTACCCAGGAGGGGGGGGGGGGCAAGGCAGGCCCCCTCCCCCACAAAACCCCCTTACCCAAGGAGGTTTTGTTTCCTACGGCCTCCCCCTAATGATAACGTTATGAATTTTAGATTCCCTGCTTCCGTCCCATAAGAATTAATAAAAACAAATAAACATTTAAAAATTCTAAAAAAACCATAAAAAGTCCAAGGTCAGTCAACAAGCATCAAGAGTATTTTGAAGTCAACAAGCGTCAAGAGTAAATTAAAAGCAAAACGCTTTTCAACAGAAGAACGATCAGCACCTAAAGTAGTGCAACTAGCTGTTGCTCCTCCATCAATTTTGAAACGGTCAACAATCGACATTTGATCCACTGAGTCAGAAGAACTTTAAAATAATTAATTTTTAGTTAGGATATCTACTTAAATTTTAATTACCTAAAAATTCGATATCCATGAAATTGAAAGAATTGAAGGACTTCTTGGGTTCTGAAGCGATTTTTACGTCTTTCAAAATCTGTCAACAATTCCCATGGAACAAGAGCAAGAGGCATTGAAGAGTATTGGGCACTATTATCTGCTAAATCATCAAAAACTTTTCTTGCCCAAAGATTATGGGAATTCTCAGCTAATTGCTCAGCGACTTGAAGAATTTCTTTATCCAAGTTCATATTAGAAAGATCAACAGGACGAGGATTGAAATCCTTAAGAAAATTAATAAAGAATTAAACCTCAAAAAATAATATATTACATGCTCATTTCGCCCAGAAAGTACTCTACTCTGATTGGCACGTTCATTAGCATCATGATCAACTATTTCCAATTGATATCCCCAAACAACAAGAGCTCTAATACATTCTGCACAACGTTCTTTATAAAATTCTTTTTCCTGAAAATTGAAAATAAAACAAATAAAATCTCAAAAAAATTTACGTAATCCTGTAAACGATGAAATGGAACAAGTCGAGGATGATTAGTTGTTCGCCTTGAATATAATAATCCATGTGTCCATCCTTTGTCTAATTTACGTGCAGCCCAGGAATTGTGAAAATGTTCAGCAAATTTCTGTACCATTGCATTTAATTCATTATTTAATGTAACTTTTGAGTAATCTAATTGTTGTGGAACCCAAACACATTCGTAGTCTTGGGACTGTAAAATAAAGGAAAATAGGAAGGAATTAATTTATAATTTTCACTCTAACATTAAAAAAACAAACAGTAGTAAGTTCAGCTTGTTCAGAAGTAAGAGCATAATCAGGTGAAATTGAAGAACCGATTGAAGGAATTGAATGAGTCTCGCCATTTCTCTCAGAATTGTGATGTTTCATAATAGGAGAGCTTAAAATCAACTAAAAAACAAAAATTATTTAGAGAACAAGAAAAAGTTTGCTGAATAATCTTATTAGTCACAAAAGCAAGATGGCCTGATTTAAAAAAATCAGGGAGACGCCCAAATGGGCGCAGGCCATAACGGCGCACAGCCATAGCTTGCTTCAAATTTTCCGAATCTCTCCAAATTTAGTATCAAACGATTCATCCCATCGAGCTAAAGAGATTGGTACCAATATTGATAAATGCCAAAAAATTTTCAGGAAGTTATGGCTTTGCGCCGTTATTGCCGCGCGCCATTTAGGGCTGTAAACAAAATATCAAGCCTAAAATATTGATTATTCTGAAAATGTCAATTAAAAATATAAATTCAGGTTTTAACCTGCTAAAAAACGAGGAAAATAAATTTTATAAAATAAAAATAATTTAATCAAAAAATAGTGAAAAATAATTTTAAAAAACAAATGAAAATTTTTGTCTAGTGGGGGAATAAAAACAATTTAGTCAAAAAATAGTGAAAAACAATCTTTAAAAAACTAATAAAAATTTTTGTCCTAGTAGGGGAAGGAAGCAAAAAATAATAACTTCAACTGAGGAATCAGATGTACAATTTGAAGTCTTATAAGCAAACAAGAGCAGGCTCATAGCCAGGGGCCTTCCAAAATCCCAAAAAATTTTCTCCCATTAAGTGAATTTTGTGGGCCTACGGCCTTCCAAAATCCCAAAAAATGTTCTCCCAGTAAGTGAATTTTGTGGGCCTACACGGCCTTCCAAAATCCCAAAAAATTTTCTCCCATTAAGTGAATTTTGTGGGCCTACACGGCCTTCGAAAATCCCAAAAAATTTTCTCCCATTAAGTGAATTTTTGGGCCTACGGCCTTCCAAAATCCCAAAAAATGTTCTCCCAGTAAGTGAATTTTGTGGGCCTACACGGCCTTCCAAAATCCCAAAAAATTTTCTCCCAGTAAGTGAATTTTGTGGGCCTACACGGCCTTCCAAAATCCCAAAAAATTTTCTCCCATTAAGTGAATTTTGTGGGCCTACACGGCCTTCCAAAATCCCAAAAAATTTTCTCCCATTAAGTGAATTTTGTGGGCCTACGGCCTTCCAAAATCCCAAAAAATGTTCTCCCAGTAAGTGAATTTTGTGGGCCTACACGGCCTTCCAAAATCCCAAAAAATTTTCTCCCATTAAGTGAATTTTGTGGGCCTACGGCCTTCCAAAATCCCAAAAAATGTTCTCCCAGTAAGTGAATTTTGTGGGCCTACACGGCCTTCCAAAATCCCAAAAAATTTTCTCCCATTAAGTGAATTTTGTGGGCCTACGGCCTTCCAAAATCCCAAAAAATGTTCTCCCAGTAAGTGAATTTTGTGGGCCTACGGCCTTCCAAAACCCCAAAAAATGTTCTCCCAGTAAGTGAATTTTGTGGGCCTACACGGCCTTCCAAAATCCCAAAAAATTTTCTCCCATTAAGTGAATTTTGTGGGCCTACACGGCCTTCCAAAATCCCAAAAAAATTTTCTCCCAGTAAGTGAATTTTGTGGGCCTACTGCCTTCCAAAATCCCAAAAAATTTTCTCACAGTAAGTGAATTTTGTGGGCCTACGGCCTTCCAAAATCCCAAAAAAATTTTCTCCCAGTAAGTGAATTTTGTGGGCCTACACGGCCTTCCAAAATCCCAAAAAATTTTCTCCCATTAAGTGAATTTTGTGGGCCTACGGCCTTCCAAAATCCCAAAAAATTTTCTCCCAGTAAGTGAATTTTGTGGGCCTACACGGCCTTCCAAAATCCCAAAAAATGTTCTCCCAATGAGTGAATTTTGTGGGCCTACTGCCTTCCAAAATCCCAAAAAATTTTCTCCCAGTAAGTGAATTTTGTGGGCCTACACGGCCTTCCAAAATCCCAAAAAAATTTTCTCCCAGTAAGTGAATTTTGTGGGCCTACTGCCTTCCAAAATCCCAAAAAATTTTCTCACAGTAAGTGAATTTTGTGGGCCTACTGCCTTCCAAAATCCCAAAAAAATTTTCTCACAGTAAGTGAATTTTGTGGGCCTACGGCCTTCCAAAATCCCAAAAAATTATAATCTAGATTGATTTCTCAAATTATCCCATGACTAAAAAAGTTAGAATTCCCTGCTTCCTTCCCTCAAAGCATTAATAAAAAAAATAAAATCTTTAAAAATTATAAAAAAAAAGTCCATGTCAACAAGCTCTCCAGGTCAAAAAAAATTGTTCTCCCGTCAATGCAGCACACATACAACCTTTAAAGTCTATAATTTAAAAAAAAATTAATTTTTTCACATGTTGGAGAATCCTGAAATTAATTTTATTTAAAAAATATAAAAAAATCAAAATTTTTAATAAATATACCCAAACTTTGTAGTTTACCCAGCAAGTTAGAACATCCAAGCACAAATAGAAAGGATAACAAGCTAAGTGTAAGGATACCTTTTTAAAAATTATATGATTAGTAATAACCTTATTTCTCACATCCCCTGCTTAAAAAAGCTGACAGGACTCGGACCTTTAAAAGAAGAGGTAACGGGAAATATACTCCTTAAAAAGATAAAAGAGAACTTCTAGAAGAAAAATGAACGGGGAGAGAGAGGACACAAAAAGACGAAACTGGAAGAGGACTCCTAAAAGAAGAGGCTCGGGCTCCTGAAGAAGAGGGGGAAAGGACTCAGAATCTTAAAAGTAAAAAGAACCCTTATTAAAGTATAATTCGTTACCAAATCTCAGTTTCATGATGGTAAGCTTTTCCTTTTCCATGACGATTGCAGGTTTGCTGTTGTTGTTGGGACGCACACCAGGCCAATTGTCGGTTTTATCACAAGCTGGCATATGAGGCACAATATCCATTCGATGGACAACTCGAAAACTAGAAAAAAAGACTTAAAATAAACCCTATAAAATTAAAAACCTCATTGGAACAAGTTTGTCATGTGCAAATGCAAAATCGGCATTGCCCAAACGTGGCTGAACAGTATAGAGTTGGACTTGACCACTCCTTTAAAATTTAAAAATGTGAAAAAGAAGAATATTAAATGATTTTTTGACCAGTAAAGATTGGCACGGGTTATCCGGACTGTTTTTTCGACCCGAAACTTGATCCGAAGGAAATTTTGAAAACCCTACCAAATTTCAGTCCTAATCCCCTTAACTGACCCGAACCAAACTTTTTCGGCGAAAAACCCGATACGAAGAAAAGTGAAATCGGATTCAGCTCCGAATCCGAAGGGAAATCGAGAAGTAATTTTCATCTACTCGCTAATACTCTAAAAAATAAATTAAACCTTTTAATTTCCGATTTAACTGTTCGTGCTGAAGCAAATGATGCAAAAGCACCTCCAAGTGAATGTCCAGTCATTCTTCTCATATTTTAATGGAAGAAAAGTATTTTGAAGTTCAACAACTAAAAATTAAAAGATTTTTTAGAAAACACACAAATTTATTTACTTGGTTTGGCAACAAAAGAAATACTTTCATTCGTTCATTCCCATCCAACTTCAAGTCACGTCCTTGCAATGCATTTATTCTTATCTCCACAGCCTTTACATTCTTTATTGGAAGTTACTGATGTTTTTCAATTTCTTCATTTGTTAAGCCATAAACAAAAAGAATTCTAAAATATTTTTGGAAAAATTTTAAGAAAAAATTATTTATTTCTCACAAATTGTCAATTGTAGAGTTTGTCAAACCAACTTTGTGTACACAATATCACGTTTTTCTAAAAATTAAATTAAAATTTTTTTTCTCGCCTGGTTAAAACAAACCATCTATGCGTCGTTTCAATTTCCACTCGCCAATATTTTCTTCTTTTGAACGATGGGTATTCTCGATTACAATGTATTTGCCTTCAGGGGAAGCTTCCAAAATTGAAACATTTGCTTTTGCAGAACGTTGATAGGATTGTCGGGAAGAAGTTTCTCCTTTTACAACACGCATAGTTTCTGTTAAAGGTAAGGGAGATCTTGATTTAGATGGTAGAGGTGGTGATGGAGAGGGAGGTAAGAAAGGAACTGGCGGTGTTTTATCCAGAAGGTTTTATTAAAAAATAAAGACTAAAAAGAGTTTTTTATGTTCAAGTGAAAAGAGAATCAAAGGAGAATTAAAATTTACCCGCCAATTCCTTTCGAAAAAAATATTTAAAAAGTTTTCAACCTGTATCAGCCACTTCATTAATACCAGTTGTACGAACAACTTGTTCTACTAGTTGTTTCAAACCAGGACCATCTCCTTCTCCCTCAAGCATCTTTCGGTATTATGGCAATTTCGGCATCCAGCGTTTGTTTGGTATCTAACAACATTTGCAATTCCACCATCAATGCTTGACATTCATCACGCATTTTACGGATTTGAGCTTCCTTAGCGTTAAGAACATCTTCATAGGCTCGTTGATCATCTTCTAGATTGTAATTGAGCTCTTGAATTTGTTTTTCCAAAAGAGCATTCTGTTAAAGAAAAATTAGCTATCATTCCTTAAAAACCAAAAAACATACTCGGCCTTCCAGATCCACAAGTTTTCCACGTAAATCAGTCAATTGTTGACGAAGACGTTTCAATTCATCTTTTTGATAACCTTGTTCCATGTTTTGGCGAGCAGATTGAGTTTCAATTTCTTGTACTTTTAACTTATACCAAGATTCAATGTCTTGTCGGTTTTTGTTGTTTAATGAATCATATTCATTTCGAATATCACGAATGGCAGAGGCCAACTCATTTCTATAAAAAAGTATAATGCAAGAAAAATAGGCTAAAAATATAAAAACCTAAAGAATTCACGATTTTCACTTGTTGTATCACGAGCAGCCATTGCTTGCAAATCTTTAATTTCTTGATCATGTGAACTGAAAAAGTATAAAATTATAACTTAAAGTTTGCACAATTCTTTTACCGTCGAATAAAGTCAATTTCCTCAAGAAGTGTTTGAACTTGGTTCTGATAGTCAATACGATTAAGCGTTTCTTGGTCCAATTCGGCACGAACTCGTTGAAGTTCGACTATTTTTTTAATGGAAATAAAAAACATCAACAAATATTTATACCTGAAGTCGAGAATTATCTTTGCGAAGACGACCCAACTCTTCTTCAAGAAGAGCAATTCGACGTTTCAATAAGGACAATTCAGATTCCAAATTGCTTAATTGAACAAGCAAATCGTCAATTTTCTCTCGATCACCGCTACGAAAACGAACCGCTTCCTCATATTTTCGTCGTTGTTCGTCCAATTCGTCTTGGAGGCGACGAACTTGAGCATCTAAATCACGACGAGCACTACTAGTGTCTTCAATTAATTTTTTTGCCTCCTGGAAAGGAAAAAGCGTTTCATCAAAAGATAAAATAAACTCACATTTATTTCACTCTCATACATAGTTTTAATAGAGATGGTATCGTCTATATCTTGCTGCTGAAGTGTTTAAAGGGAAGGATATAAGTTGTAGTAGAAGGTAGAAATAAGTCAGAATATTGGGATTGTTAAAGTGTCGTTGTGCTGTAAATTCAAGGAGAACAATTTTTGTGGAGAAAACTAAAAAAAAATTTTTTTTGAAATACTAATGTAGGAAATTTAAAGAATATTCTAGTAAAACGACTAAAAATCCTTTTAGTCCAAAAAATCATTTTAGCAAGGAATTGGGAAAAAATAATTCTAAAAAAACTTCAGAAAGAAGGGAAAGGTTTTTACGAAAAAAACCAAGCCTTTTAAAATTAACTAAAATTTAAAAAAATAAATTTAATACCAAATAAGTCCAATAAAACACACAAGTTAATGTTGGTCAAATGATTCACTAAAAATTACTTTAAATTAAAAAATTAAAAACAAACAACCTTTTCAAGTCAATAAAGCAATTTTTGATAAATATTAGTCAATTTATTTTTGAACGGTGTTGTAAGTCAATTAAGTCTTTTAAATACAACGCTACGGAGAAACATGTAGACAGAAGCATATTGATTGTATTTATTGGAAAGTTGATATTTTGTAGTTCCAAAAACGGATAATGAATCTCTAGACCTTCCAATTCTCCTTTCAACATATTTTGCATTATCAGGTATTTCTATATCACCCAAAATGTAATCTAATTTAATTTTCTTGATCATTTTGGAAATATCTTTTGATGTTTGTATTTGCTAAAATTAATTAAAACTGCAAAAAAATTGATTTACAATTATACCTGTATAATAAGATTGTAAAGTTCTGCATAAGGGTAATGATAACAAACACTACGACGAACTGATCCTCCCGCAGTCATAAAAAATTTACATAAACTATCAATATTTTGTTCAGTGAAGTTTATTTTCGGGAAAAAATTCATTTGCATGGTAATTATATGCATCGATAAAAAATCAAACAATAAATTGTGAGTTCTTTCATTAATATGTATTGAGACGCTCGAAGAATGAATTTGTAAAGGCATATTTGTTTCATTTTCATCAAATAATAATTGAATCATTTGTGGATTAACTGTAGCATAAATCATTATAATAAGGATAAAATAGCGGTCAAAAATATGTTCCAATAAATGACGAGCAATTTTCATTTCTTCAATATTTTTTGGAATAGTTGGTAATTTATCTAAATAAAAAAATAAATATATAAAAAAGCCTCAAATTTGAACATCTTTCGTCTCCATCTACATCAACTTCAGCATAATGTTTTGTTCCGTTGTCATATAAAAACAAGGGAATTGATTCTTCTATCCCACATTTCCACTAAAATTGACTGATTTTAAAATAAAAAATATTAATTTTAAAAACCTTTTCTTCAAGTTCTTCACTCAATTCAAAATCATATAGCTCTGGGCCTGGCTCAAACAATTTATCACAAAAATCCGTCCCACTCTGCAAAATTAAAATTGCATATTAAAATAATTTATAAAAATTACAAGAGAGAGATATGCAAATTTCCTTCGTGCCAATTCATTCTTATATTTTGTTATAAAATTTTTGAAGTAAATATTTGTTTGTTGAGTAGTTAATAATTGATTGAAATTGAAACATTTAAAAATATCTAGTTGAATTTCTGGTGGAGGTAAAGCAATAGTCCCAACATTTGAAATTAATTGTTTCTCGTTTTTGCTATTTTCAGGTGAATAAAGTAATTGTTCATCTTCAGATTTTTCTTCCAAAATTTCTTCGTCATCATCAGGACCATCAACAAAAATAACAAACGGCCAGTCTTCAACAGCTAATTTATCAGCAACGATGCTGATTAAATACTTCAGGGAAAAATTTTTATAAAAGAAAAAAATAAAAAATTTCAACCTTTCCTTCCTTTTGCGGCATAAAATTGTAAGAATTATCACCAGATTTATTTTTGTTCCAATCAAAATCAACTTTTTGTAAATTTGGATCATAAATTTTAACATAAACTGTTTCAGCTTCTATAAAAAAATTTAAAAACAATTTTATTAAAAAATAAATTCAAACCAATTTCTTTTGGAATTTTAAAATAAAATTGCTTGCCAACTTCTCCCCAGTTACTTTCAAATGCTGGAATGTGAATTGGACGAACAATGTTTTTAAAAGGAAGTAGATTTGCTGGTTCAATCCAAAGAACAAAAGGCGAATCAATTATATTTAAATTTGTTTCAATTTCGGTGATGTTGATTGTGTAACGACCCGGAAGATGAGGCTAAATAAGGGAAAGTAAAAAATAAAACAAAAAAAATCAATTCGGAATTGAATCGCTTTATAAGCGAACTTGGGGTCAAAAATCAATTGAAACACTTTAAAATATTCAACTAAATATTTAAAATAAAAAACAAACTGTGTATTCAGCCATTATATTTCCCTCTCCATTGTCGTACCAATTAATATTTGTTTTGCTGGGTCCATCGATTGAAAATTCTGAAAAAGGAAATATTCTTTTTATCAAATATTTTTGAACGGTGAAGTGATTTCGGGTCCGAAAAAAGCAGGCTAGCAACTTTCTACTACGCAAACCTTGCGTCCGCAAAGCCGTCGAGCTAACCAAAAACATTCAAAATAAAATTAAAAAACCTAAACAATTTGCTCTTCCACGTGTGTCAACATAAAAGACAGCCCTCTCTCCAGTAACACCTCCTTCCAATCCAGGACCAACAGCTTGAATTTTTGAAATGGTCTTCAGACCAACTTGAATCTAAAAATAAAAAAAAAACTTAATCCGTATTTTTAAATTATTAAAACAACCTTGTAAGGACTACTCCCCAAATGTGTATTGCATGCAGTTACTGAAACTTCATAGTTTCCACATGTACGCGGTGTAAAAGCAAAAGACTGAAGACGATGTACTGAAGAAGAACATGATTGTATTGAAGCTGACGATCTCTGTCCAGAAGCTTGACGAAAAACATGGACTGACAGTTCATCTGGGGCGAAAAATTAAACAATTAAAAGGACGTCGTAATCCCTAAACTTTTGCGGACAAAAAAATTTGCGGACAAAAGTCAATGAAATGATTTTTCATTCGTTAAAAAGTCCGCAAAGAAAGTCCGCAAAAAATAAAAAAATTGCAAACCTTTTTTAACACTAACAATAACTTCATCCGCACAATTATTCACATATACATGAAGTTCTTCATTAGCAAAAGTTCCAACAGATAAAAGACCACGTCCCCAAACTTTGACACTTTGATATTTATTAGTTGAAAGTGGAGATTTTGAAATTTCTTTGGGATGTTGTTGGTTAACTGGTGATGATGGTTTGTTTGAATCTTTTGAATATAAATTTATCTGTAAAAATTAAAACAATTAATACAGAAAATCAATAAAATCTAATTAGGTACTAATCAGGCCCAAGACATGTGGGAAAATTTTTTTCAGTTTTCAAGTAATTTCGGGCCCAATTTCCCCAGTATCCACTTCCTGCCCTACCGAAAAAAATTAAAAATGTAAACAATTAAAAGAAAAACTCCCGAAAAATTTAAGTGAGGTCATCATAATTAATCACCCTCACAAAGTATTAAGTCGAACTTAATTCCCAAAAGCGAAGAACAGAAAAATATAATAAAAATTATAAAAACAAACCTCATTTTCTTCTTCTTGAACTTTATTCCCTCCATTTTCAATTTTTTCTTCAATTCTTTCAATTTCAACTGGGTTGCTAGGGATTCCAACAATATGCTGACGATCAATTCCAGAAATATCCAAAGTGGGCGAAGGTTGTGATTTTGGAAATTGTGACAAATAAGACATTACAATTTTTTCATTAACTGCAGGATTTGACAATTCCTCGGGGGTTAAAAACTTCAAAAATTGAAGAAAAAAAATAATTTTTAAATTTTTTCTTAAAAAACCTTTTCAACCCCCAACAATCTCTTAGCAGCTTGCATGGCTTTCTGTGTATTTTCCAACGTGTTACTTGACTCCCATTTTACCCATTCAGCAAAAGAACTTGTACAGGCATCAACCTTTAAATTTTAGATTTTTCCTAATTCAAAACTCCCAAAAAATTCTATGGAATTCTCAAAAGTTCGGCAATTTTGAAAAAAGGCAACAAAAAACTAACCAAAGCTCCTAATGTAATTCCATCAGTCCAAGTTGAACTAAAATTCTCAACACGTCTACCAGGAATTTTTTCTTGTATCCAATGAAGGAGTCGTATTTTCTTAAAAAATAAATATAACAGTGAATTTGCGATAAAACTGCCGACTCTAGCCGGCATCATATTTTTCCTTAGACTGGCTCATAATGGTCAATTTTCCTTAGTCTTGGATAGGGAAAAAGTAAAAAAGGATAAGCAGAAAATATAAAATAGAAAAGGGGGAATATATTTTCTGGGAATATAGATCGGCGATCAGATTATTCTACAAAAAGTCAGATATGGAAAAATTATACCTTGTTGCATGTGTGGTCAATTTGTAAAGCTGTTTCCTCCTCTGTTATTTTCAAGGTGCCGTTGCATTTAACAATGCGAATCTTATTGTATTCGCATCGCCAATTAGAATTTTTTTTGTTTTCATAATATTTATATCCTTCATTAAATAAAATATCGCCTCCTTTTGGTGATTTTTTAAAAAACATTTTTAAAGAAACCTAAAATACAGAATCGAAAAAAATTAAAAAGATAAAAATCGAAATTTGACAAAAAATGATAACATAAAAACTAGGGATGTAGCCCAAAACGGCGTGCGTCCATAACAACGCAAAGCCATTGAAAAAATTTTCAAAATTTAATAACACAGCACGCCTCTTGTGGAACGTGCTGGCATGGGCCATTCCATTCGGGGTATTTGGTGGACTTCAATATAAGAGAAACCTAAATCCTATCGGGAAGCTTAAAGGGTTGATCAAGTCCTCTGGCTTGCCGAGGCACAGATATTAATTTACACAGAGATGTAACAGTGTCTTTATTCAACAGGGAAAATACATATAAATAAAACCAACAATAAAATATATATTTACTAACTCCGACCAAACATAACAATTAACTGAACCAATTACAAAGGAAAATAAAAGGATTAAATATATGAGCAATAAATGGGCGGAAATGTGTTTAATGGGAAAATCATTTAATGGAAATACAAAATCTCTTTGCTCTTTAACCTTCGGGATAAAGTCCTTCCTTACACCTCCAACCCCAGGGAAGACCGTCCCTGGTCTTAAAATATCTAATTCCCAAACAGTGCCATTTAACCTAGGTTTAAAATTTTTGTTCTGACTGACGTTCCACTCTTTCTCTCATTTCACTCCTTTCCCACAAAGGATCATCCTTGATCCTAAAATTTGTTCTACAGACTGGTTTTTGCCGAGGCCCCCAGTCTGTCTTTTTTTTGACCCTTTCGGGTATTTTCGATGATCTCTTGTTTCCTAAAGCGCTTTTTAGAGTGGATTGTCAGTCAATTTTGATTTTATTTTTCTTCCTTGCAGAAATTTTGGCATGTTTGGAAATTTGATTATTTTTTTTAGTTGCCCATATTTTGTCCCCCTTTTTGGTTTAAGAGCAAATATTTTGAGAATGTGTAAAATAATAACAGTCTGAATTACCTAAGTAAGTGGAAATAGTAAAATGCTCAAATTTAGTTAAAATTTCAAATAACTTAAAATTAAAAACAAACAAATTTGACGCCTAAATTAAATATTGGAATTGAATTGCTTTGGAAGAGGATAGGTTAGTTATTGTAAGAAAAGTATGCATAAGCTAAGTTAAAATTGTAGATACCTAAGTATCTAATATTCTAACCTAACTTTTGCAATTTTTAGTGCAATAACTAGCTCCTTTAAATCTCAAAAAAAAATTAGAATAAAAGTTGATAATCATCACAAAATATTTTCCAAAATAAAGATATATCAATCCATATAGGATTGTATACCTAGTTTTTGATAAAATATTTTGTAGTGATTATTTGACCTTTATTGCCTATGGGGAAAATAATAAAATATTTTTTTAATTGTGAATGGACAGGGAGTGAGGAAAAATGGCAAATATGAAAAATTATGGAAAATTGATTATAGATGGTAATTAATAGTTTAAAAATTAAATTGATTATGTGTGGCAGGAAAATTTGATAAAATGATTGAATGAGGGTAAGATTAAAATTTGATAAATAGAATAATTATGTGAATGTATAGTTAAGTTAAAATAAATTGATTGATTAAAATAATTAAAAATTAAGAAAAATTGATTAATTGACAAAATAATTAAATTAACATTTCATTCAAAATTAACAAAACAAATTAATAATTTCCTCTCCAAGTATTACATTCACGAGCAAAATGACCAGCCTTTCCGCAATTGAAGCATGTTCTGTCAGTATTTCGCACAAAAGTCCGAGAATTCCAACCACGCCAACTGTCAGGTGCTTGCCTTTTGGGTTGATTCCTATAAAATTCAGTGTTAGTTTTCATATTTAAATTATTAAAATCGTTTTCAAACCAATCCTCTGAACGGTTACGTGAACTTGGTCCAGGTGCACTTGAGTCCTGTCTCCACGTTTCATTTGGTCTTTGTTGTTGTTGTTGTTGCCTGGGCCCTTCCAACACACCAGCGATTGTCTTGTCAGCTGTCACCAGTTGAGTGTTGAGCAGATCACGGCGAAGACCCTTCAAATAATTAATACCAACAATTTTCGTGAAGGAGGACGCTTTCTCGAAAAACCTTTGCCAAACAGACCCACCACTCAAACTCTCTACGTCCCCGATAACTACCATTCCATGCTTGGCACGGGAAAGTGCTACCGTCGCACGCCTGGAATCGTGGAGGAACTCTGCATTCTCATTATTCTCAAATTTACTCTTCGACCTGGTGGTAACAAGTACAATCAAATCGCTCTCCTGTGCCTGATATCCATCTACTGACACTACCAAAACATTCATGTTCAAAGCTTCAAATTCACGACGGAGACAATCTTTTTGAAAAACATATAAACAAATAACAACAATATTTCGAGCAAAATTTTCATACAAGGCGGAAACAATCAGAATTGCCGAAGCAGTGTGAGCATCATTTGTTGAGGAGTGCGTTATAGTATCTTGTCTGCAGTTACCCACTATATCCAACAAAACTATCGGACAAGATTGAACTGGCAGTGGAAAATTCGAGCCGGTTAAAAGTGACCGTTCATTTTCTCCTCTACCTGGCTCAAGCAACTCTCCATGTTGTTCATACGCAGCAAACGAGACAACCTTCACCAAAGTGGGGTGCATTCGATAACAAGTCACAAGACGATTTTGTTTTACCATTGGTGAGACAACAAGTTGTTCAACCATAGATTCAAGACCGTACCCTTCCCGAAGGACTTGTGGAAGATCTTCTAGATGGACGCCCAACTGGAATTGGTCACCAGTGACGAGGACCTTTTCCAAATTGGGGAAGCGCGACATCAGGTGTGCCAATACGACAAAAGATCCCTGCGTTGCCTCGTCAAAAATCATTGCAGAAACACCACGAAGAGATGTATTAAACATGTCTTCTGCCATAGTGGACGTAGCAAATACAATTCGGAGATCAGAAACTTCAGACAACAACGACGCCATTCTTTTTTCCCTGGTCAATTTAGGCCTGCTCTCAAAATTTGTGCAGTATTCATCAATATCTTTTTCATCAGACTTCATTAATTTTTCTTCAATTTCTTCCAATTTTAATTTAGTTACCAGCATGTGTCGGCGGAGATTCGCGAGCAATTCTCTATATTTGTCTTTGGCATATCCGGAAAAGAAGGCAACCGCGCTGGAGGATTCCATTTCATCGCCACCTAATATCTGCTCTAATTCATTTACAAGCTTAGCCAACGGAAGATTCGCCGATGTTATGACTGCAACTTTCATGTTTTTAAACAATGCCAAGATAAGCGCAACAACTATCGAGGCTACATAGGTTTTCCCAACACCAGGCGGTGCTTGTTGGTAAACCAACTTACACCCATCCCCTAAAAGCATTCTCGCAGTGTCTTTCTGCCTCTCATTCAACAACCGCATCAGTGGATTCTGTCTTGCCGAAGCATCAACCTCAATTTCATCTTCCGGTTCAATTTCTCTCCCCAGAAGAACATTCATTAACTTTCCTTGGTTTGTATCCTGCCTGGCTAAATAAGAGGGAAGATTTCCCATAAAACACCCTCTTCTGCTTTCAAGCCCTTTAAATATACACGGATACACAACCACAAATCCTCCCTCTTCAGCCATTTCCAATTCATCTTCAACATTTCGCTTTTTTCTATATTGTATATTCACTACCTTCACTACAACACAGAAATCAAATTTTTTCTTCCCTAAGGAGTATACTTCATTTACTTCAATTCTTCTTATAACCCCAATCGCAAAATGAGGAAGATGAAGACTGGACTTCAGATAAACTTGGTCCTCTTCTGTCCATACTTCTTTTAGCTTCTTTACCTTTAGATTGTCAATGTCCTTGAAACGAAGGTGGAATAATTGGTCGAAATATTGTGCAGGACCTTCAAACCGACTTTCAATAATTTTATTTTTCTTATCTTCATAAGAGAACCCTATCGCCGCAGACATAACCTTCTCACAAAGTTCAATTTCTTCATAAGTCATTTCAGGCAGAATCGGGTAGAAAACATTTTTACCATTTCTTGTGTAGGGCCACGGGGCATGTTTCTTTATAGAAGCTAAAGCTCCAAACTCTTCAAAAATTATTTCTTCAGACCCCATTTTAAATTCAGATTCTGGTGGAAGAATATACGAATTATCAACATAACAAGCTTGAGGAAGAGTCGCAGTACAAACTGTGACTAATTGGCCTTCTTGTAGTTCGTCAAGATCCAAATCAGACATTTGTCTACGATAACACCTCGAGGAGACTTGTAAACCGGAGGAAATTATAAACGCACACGTCCTTTTAGTTACCCCACCAGTAACCTGATCTCTAATTCGGAGGACAATACCAGGTGTTTCAATCCAGTCGGCATACTCAATAAATTCAATATCCAAGACAATTGCCTGAGTATTGATTTTTTGAACGAACCATTTCTTTCTATTTTCACCCGTTTCACTATCATGGTGGACTAAAAATCGATAACCTTCTTTCCATTCAACCCTGCTGACATAAACAATGTCTCCCAATTGCAATTTCCTAGTAAAGTGAGGACTTTCTTCGACCGTTTTATTCTTAATAGTGACGAAATGTGGCCAGCTTTTATTAGTCATAACACGAAGACGACCACCGATGACCGAATTCTCTTCGACTTGACAAACCAAAAACGACACAACATCTTTATCAAAATCATAATCATCATCGACACGATAATTCACAACCGGAGGAACACCACTATCTATCTCCATTTCAACATTCTTACTTGCCGAAGCATTATTATTACTCACATTATTAGAAGATGATTGTTGTTGTTGTTGGCCCAGTGGAGGGAACTCAATGGTACTGTTGATGTCCAAGTAGGGAGTTTGAACTTCCATCACTTAAAGAATTTCGGTTAGTTTTTGGTAAAATTAAACGGAACGGTATACGGGTCTCAGATAAACGGCATAAACGGTATACGGTTTTTTCAAAATTAAACGGTTTTGTGCTACTATATTTATTAGTTTAAATTATTATATTTTATATTTTTGATTTTTTTTTTAAATTTAAATTATCAAATAAATTTTATTAATATTATATTTTAGACTAACTTTTTAAATTATCTCTGATTCTGGTGAGTATCCTTCCTAGGACATTCAAACCTCTCCAGTTCCTTCTATTGTACACACCACCAAGTCCGACCCCTACTCCCCAGTAAGTGTCGAAAGGCGAGGCCTCTACAAGAAGTGTATTTCCAGTTTCAAATAACATTTTTCTAAGATTTCCATTTTGCCTATATTTAGCCAAGTTTCCGATGACCATCACAATTATACATAATTTCCTCCAGATATGATGATTGAAATCTTTAATCTTAGATCCAATATGCTTAATTGTGCCAGCATCCTTTGCCTCCATTATAATTTCTACACTTTTAAAATCTCCGAAAACCAAAGCCTTGAACCTCATGTAAAACTGCTCAACACAGAAATAAGAAATATTGTCAACTTCAAAATGGCATCCATAATGATTGCTGAACACATATTTTTTCGTAAAAAAAGGTGTAATTTCAGCTGTCATCTATGTGATTAGAATTATTTTATTAATTTTTAATTATATATTAAAATTTTATTTATTTCATTCTTGCCGAAGCATTTAAAATTAAGATTTTCTGTTTTGGATTCTTCCTTAGATTGTATTTCGTTATTCCTTGCCTTCCTAACTCCTCTATCTCTTTATCATTAACTTTTTCTACATTTTTATCAATATTGTGCGAATATCCAGGTTCGTCAATAAGCTCTTCTGCATTCACTTCGACCAATGCATCAGATTCCTCTTGATCCAAATTAGGATTTGTGCAAGCAGGCTCAAAATTAAGTGGTTCAACGCATTTCTTCAATTGATTGATGTGAACTATCCTAGGATTCGACTGAGGAGAATTACAACTTGTTATAGTTACTCTTACTCCATCTATTCCTATAACACGGAAAACACCTTTCCAAGGAAGATGAAACTTTTTAGATGTACCAACTTTGCCCGTATAATTTCTCAGAAGTACGCGATCACCTATTGTTATTGTTGGATTTCTTATTAACTTATCGTACTGCGTTTTAGCTCTTAACTGTGCATCCCTATTGGATTCTGCTGCGTATTTCCAGGCTTGCCTAAGCGAAACAATTAATTTTTGTTTTATCTCTGCTTCATCATTCAATGCTACTGGTTCTCGCACTTTTGGATCCAGAATTAAATCTACGCAGAAAATAGGATCTCTACCATACATGAGAAAGAAAGGCGTTTCATTAGTCGAGTAGTGCACCGAAGTGTTATAGCAGAAGTTTGCAAATTCTAAATGCTCATCAAAGTCAGGCTGATCCTTATTGATGTATTTTGCTAGGATGTTATGGAACGTCCTGAATGACCTTTCTGTTACTGCATTGCCTTGACTCCAGTGAGGTACAGCATAAGTTTTATTTATATATAGCATAGCGCAAAAGCTTTTGAAAAATTCTGAGGTAAAAGCAGTCGCATTATCAGTGATTAGCTCAGTACAACCACCAAATTTCAAATAACAATTTTTCAGAAATGCCGAAGCGATAGTAGATGCTTTTGCGTCTGGTATTGGAACAGAAATCACAAACTTCGTAAACCAACAAACTATGTTTAGGATGTGCTTGTTTCCATTTTGCGTTTTAGGAAAGGGACCAGCTAAATCTAGGCCGACTTTTGCAAAAAGCGTGTTAATTGGAGGAGTGCACATTTCTGCTCTATAAGGTGGGTTTGGAGAGTGCCGAAGCTGACAAGTAATGCATTGTTTATGCCACGTGACAATGTCTGCGTGCATGCGAGGCCAAAAATATTTTAAACATTTCTTTAACGTTTTGTTGTAGTCCATGTGTCCTCCCCCTAATTTAGTTGTGTGAAATGAATCAAATATCATGGCTCTTAACGAAACAGGGACATAAATCCTTGGTTTTGAGTGCTTGTGGTGGAAATATAATACTCCTGACTCTAGACACAAATCTTTGGCTAATCTTGAGAAACTGTTCTTCTCTTCTTCAGAAATGTCCTCAGGGAAATTTCCGGATTTGAGAAAGTCTATTAAGATTGAAGCCTCAGGGTCTTCACTTTGTTCTTTCCTAATATCAATTTGGTGGATGTTCCCTTCCATAGACCTTATTGACATAGTTAATCCAAACTTTTCATGAACAACAAATGGTTTCTTATTGATTGCTAAACAAACAGGGAATTCAGCAATATCTTCTAATTCTTCTAATTTTTCAATTTCTTCAGGACTTAAATCTTCATGGGGGATCCTAGACAAAGCATCAGCTAGCGAATTTTGTTTACCAGCTATATGAACTATTTTTATATTATAATTCTGCAGTTCTACTAACCATCTAGCTAAATTTTGATGAGTCTCAGCCTTTTTCAAAAGAAATGCCAATGGCTTATGGTCAGTGTGCAGCTCTATACTAGACATAAAAATAAAAGGTTTGAATTGCCGAAGCGCGTAAATAATTGCACCTAATTCAACTTGAACAGGTGGCCAATTTCTTTCAGAACTTGACAGTGTCCTACTGCAATAACATATTACACTATAAACCTTCTTTTCTTCATCCCATTGCATTAACGCTCCTCCTTGACCTACCGAAGAGGCATCACAAAATATGTGAAATGGTTTTGTGTAATCAGGAAATGTCAACACAGGTTTTTCAGATAATATTTTCTTAACTTTCTCGAAGGCTTCCTGCTGTTCTTTTCCCCAAACAAATGGCCTTTCCTTTCTGGTTAGCCTAGTTAAAGGTTCTACTATTGTCGAAAAATTCGGGACATGCTTCCTAAAGAAACTTGCCATTCCAACTACTTGCCTAACTTCTTTGACCGAAGTTGGGATTTTTAAATTCAAAATTGTTTCAATTTTTCTCAAACTAGGTGTATAGCCTGACTCACTCACAATAAATCCGAGGAATTCCATACTTGCCGAAGCAAAAATACATTTCTTGGGGCTAAGTTTCAAATTAAATCTTCTGAATCTTTCAAATACACTTCTTAATGCCGTTAGGTGTTCATCAAAATTTTCAGATTTTGTATAAATAAGAATATCATCCACATAAGCAAGAACATTTTCAAGACCTGTCAATACATGTGCCATGACCCTTGCAAATGCACTCGTGGCATTTTTAAGTCCAAAAGGGAGATTGACCATTTGATAGACATTGTCTTCAGTAATAACTCCGCATTTTCTTGATGCTCTTTCACTTAGCTTAATTTGCAAATAGCCGCTAGCTAAATCTAAAGATGTGTAATATCTGCAATTTCCTACCCGTTCCAAAATCGTTTCAAGTCTGGGCAACGGAAAATGGTCAGGTACCGTAATTTCGTTTAATTTTCTAAAGTCTATACATGGCCGAAGCCCTCCATCCTTTTTCTGAACTAGTACTATGTTTGATACCCATGGGGTGTCTGATTCGATCATGACCCCTGAAGCTAAAAGCTGATCGATATGCTTTTGTAATTCATCCCTGTATTTGAAAGGTACCCTGTGGGGTCTTGAGGTTACTGGTTCTTCAGACGTGGTCACTATGTCATGTTCGCCTGCGGTGCAATTACCTAAGTCATATTGGCTTTTACTAAAAACATCACCATACTCTTCACACAATTCTTTTAATTTCTTTAACTCCTCATTCTTCACTGACGACTTAGAAAAATCAATTTTGAAACTTGGATCAATAATTACTTTGGACTTCCCTAAGGAGTTTAATTCTTGCTCAGTACCTTCACACTCTTCTTTTTCGAATTCTGAAAGAACATTTTCATGACTAGTCTCATAAATTTCATTCACTAAACCCAGGCCTTTGCCCTTGAAAACTCTTTTTACTTCTCCCGTGGGGTTCGATATAATCACAGGTACTACTCCTGATTTTGGATTTGTGACTATTGGAACAAAACTTAACCCTTCATCTGAAAGTTTTTGGTCTATTGTGTGAAACATTATGTCTTGCCGAAGCAGTTCAGGGAATTGGACTTTACCTTTGATTAGGCACTGTTCATTTGGTCTTAATTCGTATGTAGCTAGTGCTCGAACCTTGATATCTATGAGTTTACCTTCTATTTTATTATCAAGTTTTAAAAGATTCCCTTTAATTATTAAGCTTTTATTTCTTAAATCCAATTGGATAGGCGGCAGTAGTGCTAAAGCATCACACCCGAGAATGAAATGATAATCATGCTTATGCCAGTGAAACTTATCATTAAAAAGATTTATGATTATTTCAGCCTCTGCCCCTCCAATGCAGAGTTGCGCTTTCATTGCTTGTCTGGCGCACATAGGATGTTCAGAGGCACTTTGCAAAAATGTTTCAACTTGAAAAACTTGAGCTCCTATGCGGTCTGCTAGGGCTATATTGGCTACTGAGGTGATTGCTCCCGTATCTACCAGACACCTTAAAGGCATATCATTCAAGGTTACGTCAACTATTACTGTTGCTGCATTTGGTCCCAGCGCTCCAATAAAACCTCTTCTTCCTACTGATCCTATGTTAAGTGGGGACCTGCGTGGTGCCCCGGACTCTATTGCATTTCTAACTGTGGGTGGCCAAGATACGGATAGCCTATTTACAATTGGTTCCTCATAAGTGGCATCTTCTTCTATTCTTGGTTCGTTAATCCTCTTAATTTCCATCATCCTTTTTACTGGTTTTTCGATTTTAGTACCAAATATTAGCTTGCCTAAGCGACCATTCCCCGCATACATTTCAGCGAAAACCATTAATAACCTTATGCTTAAATCAATAGCTAGAATTATAACAATTATGGAAATTATTATTGCCCAAATTTGTTTATAATCACCTATTACTCCTCTCACAAGTTGATTTTCCACTTCTTCCCATTCTTGGGATACAGACGTCGTAATACCAGTCTCTTTTTCTTTTATTTGGTAAGTTATTTGGCTAGTCCTTACCATATTGCTTACAAATGCATGATCCTTAATGTCAGTCATATTCAGAAGAACTAACTGATGAAAAGCATGCGATTCAATTTTCGGAATTAATTCGGTAAAGTTCAATTTCAGTTCATGAATTTTTAATAGATTTGGTCTTACCGAAGTAATTTTTCCTTCACTTTGATCTATTTCTAAAATCTGATCATTAATCTGTACTACTATATTTCTTGACTCATGACAGGGACTTTTCCTAGATGAGGGTGTGATAATCATAGTTGTGGGATCCAAGAATGCTAGGTGTTCTTTACTTTCAGTCCTGAGCGTTATAGGAATAAATTCAAAGCATTCATTCATTTTTGTTGGACGGAATTCATAGTCCGATTTTTCTAAAGGTACACATGGCCAAATTTTCATAAGTGACATACCAGACCTTTTAGCAACAAGGTACGGATTAGAAAACATCGACCTTGCTAATTCTGTTGGATTGCTCATATAAGTAGCTTCTGTCCATCGCTTAATTACCTCAAGCAATTCACAAAATGAACGCAATGACTGGTAAAATGCAAAGTTCATTGTTTTTGACATTTCAGTTTCCAGGTATGTGAGCTGCGACGCAAGCTGCGAGGATGTGACAACACCATCCCCATAATACTTTCGGGGTTTATCATAGGCATGTCTCTTTTTTCTTGTTATATCGGTTACATTAATTATAATGGACCCAAGACCCTGATCAGAAACTACAATATTCTTTCCACAATCATTTACAGTAGTTGCATTTTCAAACGTAAGAGCTAATCTTCCATCATCAGAAAGCCAGGCCTTGCCCATGCATTGTCCCTTTTTATCCCCAATATGAATAAAGTTACATTTTCTTTCAGTACTTACTTCCCATACAAGTACTGTTTTATCTTTCAGTATACAATGTCCTTTTTCATAAGGACACTCATGTGCTATTCCTAAAGGAGTTGCAATTTCTGACGCACCGAAGTGAGAATCAATTCGACTTTCAAACAGGAAACAGTTCTTACTCGATATATTTTTCCACCCGAAAGACCCCAAAAACCAAGTCCTAGGTGTCAAATCAATCTTATTTTCAGTTTGCCATAAGTTAGATTTTTGTTTTAGAATGCCTAGATTGCAACTGCGGTGCTTAATCATTTGGTTACACTCTTCTAAAGATATGTCTAACTCTTCATGATCTAATTTCTCTTCAATTGGAATACCAGTGATCGTTGTGTACTTGCGCGCATTTTTCTTAATTTTTCTACAAGCCCATGCCTTGGTTGAGAATTCAATGCTATTAGGAATGTATATTTTCCTATCTTCAATTGCTGGTGTATATTTTTTATAAATGCTAATTGAGGGACAAAACATTATTTCAGGTAGTTGCCAAATCATTGCTTGCTTCTGCGTCTGGCATATCATTGGAGTTTTTGGAACTAAAGCCGGATTAAGTCCCATAGCAGTACTTAGTATTGTCATTAGCATTAGAGAGGTGCCTAATAATGAAGGGATTCTTGCTCTATGCCCACTATTTTCCCAACTTTCTATTTTCTTTGGCTCTGTTTTCTTATGTTTAGTTTCATGTTTTTCAGTCTCGTTAGTTTCCGTAACTTTAATAGGCTGCAGGGATCTTATATTTTGATTCGAAGGGACATAATTCCTATTCATTTTTATTTCATGTACTTGTACTGTTAAATTATCTATTATTTCTTTCATTTCTTGATTTTGATTTTTCAAATTCTCAATTTCATTGCTTCCTGCATTTTTCCTGCCTTGATTTCTATTATTAAATGACCTATTAGCGTTGAACTGGCGTTCCCTACAATTATACTGTTCATGCCCTGTACGCTTACAGTAGTGGCAAAATGGACGATTGTTCCATCTGCGATCATTTTGTGGCCGCCATTGGTTACTAAGCTGCCATCTATTTCTTTGTCTAAATTCATTACTTGCCGAAGCATATCTGCCATTGTTATAATTCACCCTTTGCCCTAATGGGGTATTGTTTGGGTTTATTGGTTTCCAGGTTGTGAACCGTCCCCGAGGCATTTGACTAGTTTGTGCTTGATCAGCTATAGCATGTATGCCTATATCCGCGCGACCTTCCCTTTCAATAGCGACTTCTAATTCTTGCACATATGCTGTTAATTTATCAAAATCTTTCCTTCCAATCAGTGGACCAACTAACTGCAATGACCTTTGAAATTCAGGTCTGACCTTTTCCATAAAGCATCTACAAAGTGTTTCTTCCCTTACATCATTTGGTGCATGTGATGAAGTTGTATTAACAAGTGGTACTAACCTTTTAATAAATTCACTCACTGACTCCCCTTCCCGTTGGTAACACGCTGCTAATCTTTTGTAAGCTAGCTCCCGGAAGTGCGGGCTGTCCAGTTTTGATCTAATATTCATTAATGCGTTTGCTAGGGTGTTCCTTTCAGTAACTAATAAATTTTCAAAAATCTGTCTTGCTTGCGCTCCTAAATATAACTTAAGTCTGTTTAACTTTTCCATTTCACTCCAAGTACTACCAAATACTTCAACATAATCTCTAAATCTTATTGCCCATTCATCAAAAGCAGATGCAACTTCACCTGTAAACACATTTAGTTGTGGACCAGACGTCCCAATTTCATTCAAAACATTTAATTCTTGACCATTACCTTGATTATTAGTCTTTTCATTTAAATTATTATTTGCTTTCTTCCCTAGGGATGATGTCGGTATAGTATTACTATTACTAGTGCTCGCACTTTGGGAGTTATGCTTGGGTGGTGGTGGTGGTGGTATAACTGCGGGCCGACTATTAGCTCTTAAAAGATTGGCCGCTCCACTGCTCCTTAACTCATCAAACTCTAAATTGTCCCTGTCCTGAAACTCAGTTCTTATACTTTCTACTTTTTCATCTAATTTATTAACATCTTCGCCTACTTTATCAATTCTTTTTGCTACCTCTTCAAAGCCTGCATTTGCCCCATCTTCAATCCCCTTTAAATTATTTTCTAACTGTGTGATGTTCCTATTTGTTGCCCTTAGGTTTCTATTAACTCCATCTTCTAATAATATTAAATCTTCATATACTTTTGAAATATCACTTATTTTTGCTTGACTGCTTAGAATCTTGCCCTCAAATAATTTTTTATCTACTACATTTATATCCACATTTTCCATTTTAATTTTTAATATTTATAAGTTATTTATTTTATTATTTTTTTAAAGTTATTATTATTTATAAGTTATTGCTTATGTTTGTTTACTTTATTATTATTTTTTTTAATTTTATTTTTAGACCTGTTATATATATTTTAAGTTTTTAACTACCTTTTTCTAATTTCTTTTTTTTGCCTAAGCACCAGTTGAACTTGCCGAAGCAGATAAGTAATTTGACCAAAACAACTAAATTAACCAGAAAAATTCCAAAGGCACAGGTATATCCAAGCCTTAATATCATTGTTATTAGATTATATTATTCAAAAAAAAAAAATTTTTTTTATATATAATGAGTATACTCTTTACAACATATTTCATTCGATAGAGAATTGGATAGAATTGAATTAGAGTAATCTATTATTCTTTTTTTTTACCCAATAAGAAATAAAACCGGAAAGGAATAAAACCGAAAATCACTAGCTTTAAATTTAAAAGTTTAGGAGGAAATTTAATTGAATAATATTTATTGTAATATTTTGAAAATAATTCAGAATAATAGAAATTTTACAAATAAATATTCTTTCCTCCTTCATTTGAGAATATCGAGGGTTGTGAAAAGTATTTACTTAAAAAAAATTTTGACTGCCGAAGCAATTCAGACTCAATTATATTTTCAACAAAAAAATTTCGCAAAAGAAAATACTTCAAAAATTCAAACACTCTAATACTTTGACAGTGAAAGGAGAAAAGAAGGAAAGAAGCAAAAAAAATATTTTTTTTTAATAGAGAGAGTATTTTTCTAGAGAAAGAGATTATAATTAACAGAATAATTTTAATTATGTATTGATTTTAAATATGATTTAATAATTACTCAAATGGAAATTATACAGATCCAAAATTCTAAAACCATTTTATCAAAAATAACTAGGTTCCAAAGTTCCAAATAAACTTTATAATGTCTGAGAATATAACTTAAACCTATAAATATAACCTTATTTGTATAATAATTGGTAAATTTTAGATTTGAGTAGTACAAAATACACCCAGACAAAATATGTATAAGTTAATAGAATATAAAATTTATACAATAGATAAGTAGAATATATATTTTTGAGCTATAAAATCAAACTATAATACTTGTGAAAAATCAGGAATTGTCATAATTTTTCTATTAAATTTATTCAAAAATTAAAAAAGGAATTCTTAATTGCCAAAGCACATATAGTTTCTATTCGCTTCCATATACTGTAAAGAAATAGAAGAGAAAATATTGTAGTAGATTCAGAAAGAGAACTATTTATTAAGAGATAGTATGAGGGAGCATTATTTATACATTAGAATATAAATAATTATTTTTTAAATAATTATTATTTATACATTAGAATATAAATAATACATTAGCTAATATAATACATTAAATAATACATTCGAATAATCCACCCCTAAAAGAGTTCAAAATTTCACGCTCTGATGTTGTATTTAAGAGAAAAGGAAGAGAAGAAAGTTTTTTTTTAAAATTTCAAGTAATATTTTTACACTAGAGTAAAAGGGAAGAAAAATACTATATATAATTTTATAGTTTTGGAAATTTTGAAAATAATTCACCCTAATAGAGATCATATCGATAAATTCTCTCTAACTTGAAACATTGGAAATTTTTAGGAATATTTAGTTAAGTTGAAGAAGAAAATAAATTCTAGTTTAACCTTATAATTTCCATCCTTGTAACTTCTGAGAGAAAAAAAATTTGATACCTTATAATAGAAGTTACACAAATGTTATATACCTTATAATTTCAAGGAGAAAATTTCTTAAAATCTAAAATTGAAAAAAATTTCTCTCTCTCTTCTATGGTTTGATACAAGGAAGGAGAAAGTGCATGAGTTATTAGAGTGGAGAAGAATATTTTAGAATAGGAGAAAGAGAGAAGAAAGAAGAAAAATTGACTTAATTTTACAATATATTTGTTGAATTTTCCAAGACTAATTAATAATAATAGAAGTTACACAAATAAAAATTCGAATCATTGTCAAAATAAATTTAATTATAAAATTCCTCAAGAGAGTGTTCTGTATTTTCAATCTCAAACTTATAATTTTATTTAATTAAAATCTTTGAAAAAATTTACCTAAATATAAGGCTGTGTAATTAGACATATTCAGTATATAAGAGTATGTATTTTAGAAAACCAGAATTAGTTTAATTTCCCACTATTTTTATTATCTGGGATACCGATCCAGAGTAAGAAATTGTTTTATTTTAACCAATAACTCATTCTTATTTGCCTAAGCATTCATGGTTTACTTTGGAATTTTACTCTCATATACTGTGTAAATGGAGGGAAAGAAGAGAGATTTAGAGAGAGAATATTTGATTGGCTGAGCTAATTTTATTCTGAAATATTATTAACCAAAACAATTTAAACAAATAGAATACAGTTAAATTTGATTTTTTTTTTAAGGAAATGGAAACGGGAATTAGATCTTAACAGCTTATTTTTAGTGTCTAAATTTTCATTAAAAATATTTCTTTGAAATTTCTAAATTTCTATTTACAGAACAAAACTAAACTCTTGAAAATAGTAGAATTGAAAAAATTAACAAAATAGAGGAAAAAGAAGAAATCTAGAGAGATATTTTTAAAAAATACTGTAACTCCTAAAAATTGAATCTAATTTTTATATCTAAATTTAGTTGACAAACTAAAGTGACAACTAAAATTCATCCTAAAATTGTTCTTGCCTAAGCAATTCGGGTATTTTAGACAGAATTAGATAAAAATATTATTCACTCCAAAATCTTAAAAATTAGAAGAAAATTTTTAATCATAACTAGAAAATTTAACAGAGAGGAATAAAAATAAAAGGAATTTCTGGACATTTGAGAGAATTTTAATTTTCCGAAAAATCAGACCCTGACATTTATTTTCCAAAGCTAAAATTAAAAGTTACAAAAATCGGTTTTAGACTGACTGGGCAATTCAGATAATTTGTATATAAATAATATTGAAAAATAAAAATATTCAGTCATTCATTTCCAAATCTTTTAAAAATGAAGGAAAAATTTAAACCTAAATGAATGAAACAAGAAATTATAGAAACAAATTTAGAATAAATTTGCATGAAATTGAATAAAATGAATTAAATTTTTACTCCGACTGGCACATATTTTCCAAAATTTTATATTAAAATTTCCAAACATAGGTTTTAAGCTTGCCTGGACAATTCGGAAGTTTTAGATAAAAATATAAAATATTGCCCATTTTTTTTAAGTCTTTTAGAAATTAGAAGAAAAATTTTAATTTATAAATCTCCAAAATAAAAATTTTGACAGCGGAACTACGGTACTTGTGGATTATCCCTACGGAACTTTTGCGGACATTAAATTTTCTAAGATGCCCAAAAATAGCCAGTAACATTTATTTTTTAAAGTTTCAGAATAGTATTTTGAAAATTATTTTTAACCTTGCCTAGGCAATCTCGAACCATTTAAATTAAAAATATAATAATTTAAGGAGTTAATAGAAATTAAAACGTTAAATTTATAATCTGAAGTGATAAGAATAAACTTAAATTGAATAAATCAGCTCTTAGACTAGAAAAGAAGATTTAGACATGACTATCGGATAATCAGATTAGAATAGGATTAAAATAGAATTAAGTAGAATTTGTAAAACGATGTAGATAAAATTCTAATTTAATATTTAAAATTATTATTTTTATTTTTGAAAAAGATTATATAAATAAAAACTATATTAATAAAGTTAAACTTAAATTTTAGAATAAAATTCATATTTTACATTTTTCTTTTAAATTTTTATTTTACCTCCTCAATACAGTCTTTATTGCCGAAGCACAATATTCCAATTAAATATTCCAAAACCAAGTAGTTTCAAAAATAAATTAGAATTAATCGAAGATCAGAATTTGCTTGTAAATAATTTAGTTGTAGATAAGATTTCTAAATATTTAATAATATTATAAATGATTAAAATATTTATAAATAATATTTAAAAATAACTCAAATTGGAAATTAAAATAAATAAAAACAGAATAAAAATCAGAATAAAATCAGAATAAAATTTGAAAAAAAAATCAGAATCTATAGAATAGAATCAGAATTAATATTGAAAAATAATAAATAAAGTTTCAACTTATTAAAATAAAATATAAAATTGTTAAAAAAAATAATAAATAAAGGACAAAATTAATGGCCTGATGAAGAATAAAAATAAATGAATAAATGTGAAGAAGGAAGAAAAATGAATGGCTTGGCTTTAGAGAAAGCCAAGCCTGAGAGGCAAACTATCCTTCCTTTTTCTTCCCCTCTAGAGAAGATAGAAATAGGCCACTCATTGTAACAAAGGCCGTTACATTCGGTTTTGCCTAGGCAATAATAATTTCTTTCTGCCTCCCGTGTAAAGGATGGGAAATTGAAGAGAATAATAATTTTTTTTTATTGTAATAAATAAAGAAATAGGACAAAAATTTCTGCTCTAGATGAGAAAGAAGATAAAATAAATTTTATAAAAAAAGGATGAATGTGCGCAAACAATTATTGCGTTTTGAAACACTTCGGTGATACTGTATTTTTTTAGGTATTTTCATTCAGACTTCCCGAAGGAATGTATATACATAAATATATTTTTTTTTCTAGGGCTATATCACTTTTTAGGACAATCTTACTTATTATCATGACTTCGAATTACCAGTTTTATTTTCTTACTTAATTCTCCTTTCTTTGTCCTAGTCTCATTAATTAACATTAATTTTATTTAGAGCTAATATTTTATATTATTTGACCGGTAATCTACTTTATGGTTGTCCTTTTATTTTACCTAAAGCCCTTTTATCTAGTTTATATTTAATTATTTATTTTCTCTCAGAGTCTGTCTTGCCGAAGCAATCACGCGCGCGCGAAGAGTTAGTCCCTCATCAATCTATCTCCAAATTTTTGTCTACCGGCCGCCCAGGCCAATGGAATGTCGCGAAGTCGCGCAACCAACCATCCGGTGCTACCAATAACACAGCACGCCTCTTGTGGAACGTGCTGGCATGGGCCATTCCATTCGGGGTATTTGGTGGACTTCAATATAAGAGAAACCTAAATCCTATCGGGAAGCTTAAAGGGTTGATCAAGTCCTCTGGCTTGCCGAGGCACAGATATTAATTTACACAGAGATGTAACAGTGTCTTTATTCAACAGGGAAAATACATATAAATAAAACCAACAATAAAATATATATTTACTAACTCCGACCAAACATAACAATTAACTGAACCAATTACAAAGGAAAATAAAAGGATTAAATATATGAGCAATAAATGGGCGGAAATGTGTTTAATGGGAAAATCATTTAATGGAAATACAAAATCTCTTTGCTCTTTAACCTTCGGGATAAAGTCCTTCCTTACAATTTTCAATTTTCAACTTTTCGGTTCGGTTCGGTTTGAAACCGACAACCCTAGTCCGGGATTATCAAAATCGATCTATTTTTAGGATTTGGAGGGGCTTTTTGTTGAATATTTAATTAAAAGTTTGGCACCTAATCGGCCGGCGCCTAATCGGTCGCGCCTAGTCGGCCCGCGCCTAATCGGGCTGAACCCAATATACAATGGAGGAGGAAGAGGAAATGTCAGCCGATTGTCTAGATACTTCAGAAACGTCCACAGATTCTTCCAAATCGTTAACAAGCTCTTCAAGATCTTTAATGGACACAATAGAATCTTCAATAGAAATCGAGGCTTCTACAACTAAATCTGAGGAATGTGACAAGAAAATTGTTCAAATGAAAAATGGTGGATTAATTGGCAATTACAAAGTGGTGAGACGACTTGGGGAAGGTTCAAGACCTTTAAATTTGCCAGAATATTAATTTTAACTTTTAAGGTGGTTGCGGGGTCGTCTATCAAGTAAAAGCAAATAACAAACACTACGCAATGAAAGTTGAACGCTTGGATATGGACAAAACTGATCAACTTTTGGGAATAGAAGCTCATGTTCTCAAGCGTCTGCAGTCCTCTCCTTACACTGTTCAGTTCATTCAGTGTGGGACTTGTCAAAGTATGGCGTTTAGGTATCTGTGTAGTTTACCTCCCATAAGCCACGCCTTTTTTTCTTTTATATGGAGAGGAAACCTGAAATCAATAAAATAAAGTTATATCACTACAAGAATTCACTTTGCAAGAATTGAAGGGAGAAGAGAAAGGGGTCGGAACTTATGGGGGGTAAACTACACAAGTGGTGGTGTTTGTCAATTTATTAACCCTCCATTTTTCAGGTAAAGGTTTAGGCCTTCGTGTGCTCATTATGGGATTGCTGGGCCCTTCTATAGATGAATTACGGAAGCAAGAAATTAAAGAAAGATTCAATATGGGGACTGTGTTGAGGATTGGCTTTCATGCTTTGCAGGTTAACTTGCCTTTGAATTAATATTTTCCCCAATAAATTTTAGGCAGTCGCATTTGTTCATTGTTCATATTTTGTCCATCAAGATATCAAGCCTAGCAATTTTGCCATTGGAGTAAACAACACCAGACGAATCTATCTATTCGATTTTGGGCTTTCTAGAGCACTTAAAAAACGTGGCGATATGGAATTGCGTACAATGAGGGAAGATGTTTCATTCCGAGGAACTTCAGGATATTGCAGCTTGAACGGTATTTTTTAAATAGAATATTGTTGGGAGGAAGAGCAAGGGAAGGCAACGCCCCGGCAGCTTTGATGAGGCAAAGGGTACATCTCAGGGTTTAACGCGGCCAACTCGCTGTTGGTCAAATGACCCTGGAGGTCAACTTCAGATACTTGGATGGATGGATGACTTTAAGATAATGAATACGTTGCCTGTTTCCTCTTGCTTTGTCTGACAGTTGCAAAGGACCTCTATGTTGTAGACCTCCTGGTTTGATCCCTAGCACAATACGTGGTGAACGGAAAACACCTAGGAATAACTGCCAGAAATTTGCAGGATAGATACGCCTTGGGCTTCTTACATGCCCCTTTTACCTCTCTTTTACTATATTTCAAGTTACTCATTTTTTTTATTTCAGTTACTCATTTTTTACTCATCATTTTTACTCATTTTTTTTATTCATTTTTTTTTTTTTTATTATATATGTGATGAAGTTGTATTAACAAGTGGTACTAACCTTTTAATAAATTCACTCACTGACTCCCCTTCCCGTTGGTAACACGCTGCTAATCTTTTGTAAGCTAGCTCCCGGAAGTGCGGGCTGTCCAGTTTTGATCTAATATTCATTAATGCGTTTGCTAGGGTGTTCCTTTCAGTAACTAATAAATTTTCAAAAATCTGTCTTGCTTGCGCTCCTAAATATAACTTAAGTCTGTTTAACTTTTCCATTTCACTCCAAGTACTACCAAATACTTCAACATAATCTCTAAATCTTATTGCCCATTCATCAAAAGCAGATGCAACTTCACCTGTAAACACATTTAGTTGTGGACCAGACGTCCCAATTTCATTCAAAACATTTAATTCTTGACCATTACCTTGATTATTAGTCTTTTCATTTAAATTATTATTTGCTTTCTTCCCTAGGGATGATGTCGGTATAGTATTACTATTACTAGTGCTCGCACTTTGGGAGTTATGCTTGGGTGGTGGTGGTGGTGGTATAACTGCGGGCCGACTATTAGCTCTTAAAAGATTGGCCGCTCCACTGCTCCTTAACTCATCAAACTCTAAATTGTCCCTGTCCTGAAACTCAGTTCTTATACTTTCTACTTTTTCATCTAATTTATTAACATCTTCGCCTACTTTATCAATTCTTTTTGCTACCTCTTCAAAGCCTGCATTTGCCCCATCTTCAATCCCCTTTAAATTATTTTCTAACTGTGTGATGTTCCTATTTGTTGCCCTTAGGTTTCTATTAACTCCATCTTCTAATAATATTAAATCTTCATATACTTTTGAAATATCACTTATTTTTGCTTGACTGCTTAGAATCTTGCCCTCAAATAATTTTTTATCTACTACATTTATATCCACATTTTCCATTTTAATTTTTAATATTTATAAGTTATTTATTTTATTATTTTTTTAAAGTTATTATTATTTATAAGTTATTGCTTATGTTTGTTTACTTTATTATTATTTTTTTTAATTTTATTTTTAGACCTGTTATATATATTTTAAGTTTTTAACTACCTTTTTCTAATTTCTTTTTTTTGCCTAAGCACCAGTTGAACTTGCCGAAGCAGATAAGTAATTTGACCAAAACAACTAAATTAACCAGAAAAATTCCAAAGGCACAGGTATATCCAAGCCTTAATATCATTGTTATTAGATTATATTATTCAAAAAAAAAAAATTTTTTTTATATATAATGAGTATACTCTTTACAACATATTTCATTCGATAGAGAATTGGATAGAATTGAATTAGAGTAATCTATTATTCTTTTTTTTTACCCAATAAGAAATAAAACCGGAAAGGAATAAAACCGAAAATCACTAGCTTTAAATTTAAAAGTTTAGGAGGAAATTTAATTGAATAATATTTATTGTAATATTTTGAAAATAATTCAGAATAATAGAAATTTTACAAATAAATATTCTTTCCTCCTTCATTTGAGAATATCGAGGGTTGTGAAAAGTATTTACTTAAAAAAAATTTTGACTGCCGAAGCAATTCAGACTCAATTATATTTTCAACAAAAAAATTTCGCAAAAGAAAATACTTCAAAAATTCAAACACTCTAATACTTTGACAGTGAAAGGAGAAAAGAAGGAAAGAAGCAAAAAAAATATTTTTTTTTAATAGAGAGAGTATTTTTCTAGAGAAAGAGATTATAATTAACAGAATAATTTTAATTATGTATTGATTTTAAATATGATTTAATAATTACTCAAATGGAAATTATACAGATCCAAAATTCTAAAACCATTTTATCAAAAATAACTAGGTTCCAAAGTTCCAAATAAACTTTATAATGTCTGAGAATATAACTTAAACCTATAAATATAACCTTATTTGTATAATAATTGGTAAATTTTAGATTTGAGTAGTACAAAATACACCCAGACAAAATATGTATAAGTTAATAGAATATAAAATTTATACAATAGATAAGTAGAATATATATTTTTGAGCTATAAAATCAAACTATAATACTTGTGAAAAATCAGGAATTGTCATAATTTTTCTATTAAATTTATTCAAAAATTAAAAAAGGAATTCTTAATTGCCAAAGCACATATAGTTTCTATTCGCTTCCATATACTGTAAAGAAATAGAAGAGAAAATATTGTAGTAGATTCAGAAAGAGAACTATTTATTAAGAGATAGTATGAGGGAGCATTATTTATACATTAGAATATAAATAATTATTTTTTAAATAATTATTATTTATACATTAGAATATAAATAATACATTAGCTAATATAATACATTAAATAATACATTCGAATAATCCACCCCTAAAAGAGTTCAAAATTTCACGCTCTGATGTTGTATTTAAGAGAAAAGGAAGAGAAGAAAGTTTTTTTTTAAAATTTCAAGTAATATTTTTACACTAGAGTAAAAGGGAAGAAAAATACTATATATAATTTTATAGTTTTGGAAATTTTGAAAATAATTCACCCTAATAGAGATCATATCGATAAATTCTCTCTAACTTGAAACATTGGAAATTTTTAGGAATATTTAGTTAAGTTGAAGAAGAAAATAAATTCTAGTTTAACCTTATAATTTCCATCCTTGTAACTTCTGAGAGAAAAAAAATTTGATACCTTATAATAGAAGTTACACAAATGTTATATACCTTATAATTTCAAGGAGAAAATTTCTTAAAATCTAAAATTGAAAAAAATTTCTCTCTCTCTTCTATGGTTTGATACAAGGAAGGAGAAAGTGCATGAGTTATTAGAGTGGAGAAGAATATTTTAGAATAGGAGAAAGAGAGAAGAAAGAAGAAAAATTGACTTAATTTTACAATATATTTGTTGAATTTTCCAAGACTAATTAATAATAATAGAAGTTACACAAATAAAAATTCGAATCATTGTCAAAATAAATTTAATTATAAAATTCCTCAAGAGAGTGTTCTGTATTTTCAATCTCAAACTTATAATTTTATTTAATTAAAATCTTTGAAAAAATTTACCTAAATATAAGGCTGTGTAATTAGACATATTCAGTATATAAGAGTATGTATTTTAGAAAACCAGAATTAGTTTAATTTCCCACTATTTTTATTATCTGGGATACCGATCCAGAGTAAGAAATTGTTTTATTTTAACCAATAACTCATTCTTATTTGCCTAAGCATTCATGGTTTACTTTGGAATTTTACTCTCATATACTGTGTAAATGGAGGGAAAGAAGAGAGATTTAGAGAGAGAATATTTGATTGGCTGAGCTAATTTTATTCTGAAATATTATTAACCAAAACAATTTAAACAAATAGAATACAGTTAAATTTGATTTTTTTTTTAAGGAAATGGAAACGGGAATTAGATCTTAACAGCTTATTTTTAGTGTCTAAATTTTCATTAAAAATATTTCTTTGAAATTTCTAAATTTCTATTTACAGAACAAAACTAAACTCTTGAAAATAGTAGAATTGAAAAAATTAACAAAATAGAGGAAAAAGAAGAAATCTAGAGAGATATTTTTAAAAAATACTGTAACTCCTAAAAATTGAATCTAATTTTTATATCTAAATTTAGTTGACAAACTAAAGTGACAACTAAAATTCATCCTAAAATTGTTCTTGCCTAAGCAATTCGGGTATTTTAGACAGAATTAGATAAAAATATTATTCACTCCAAAATCTTAAAAATTAGAAGAAAATTTTTAATCATAACTAGAAAATTTAACAGAGAGGAATAAAAATAAAAGGAATTTCTGGACATTTGAGAGAATTTTAATTTTCCGAAAAATCAGACCCTGACATTTATTTTCCAAAGCTAAAATTAAAAGTTACAAAAATCGGTTTTAGACTGACTGGGCAATTCAGATAATTTGTATATAAATAATATTGAAAAATAAAAATATTCAGTCATTCATTTCCAAATCTTTTAAAAATGAAGGAAAAATTTAAACCTAAATGAATGAAACAAGAAATTATAGAAACAAATTTAGAATAAATTTGCATGAAATTGAATAAAATGAATTAAATTTTTACTCCGACTGGCACATATTTTCCAAAATTTTATATTAAAATTTCCAAACATAGGTTTTAAGCTTGCCTGGACAATTCGGAAGTTTTAGATAAAAATATAAAATATTGCCCATTTTTTTTAAGTCTTTTAGAAATTAGAAGAAAAATTTTAATTTATAAATCTCCAAAATAAAAATTTTGACAGCGGAACTACGGTACTTGTGGATTATCCCTACGGAACTTTTGCGGACATTAAATTTTCTAAGATGCCCAAAAATAGCCAGTAACATTTATTTTTTAAAGTTTCAGAATAGTATTTTGAAAATTATTTTTAACCTTGCCTAGGCAATCTCGAACCATTTAAATTAAAAATATAATAATTTAAGGAGTTAATAGAAATTAAAACGTTAAATTTATAATCTGAAGTGATAAGAATAAACTTAAATTGAATAAATCAGCTCTTAGACTAGAAAAGAAGATTTAGACATGACTATCGGATAATCAGATTAGAATAGGATTAAAATAGAATTAAGTAGAATTTGTAAAACGATGTAGATAAAATTCTAATTTAATATTTAAAATTATTATTTTTATTTTTGAAAAAGATTATATAAATAAAAACTATATTAATAAAGTTAAACTTAAATTTTAGAATAAAATTCATATTTTACATTTTTCTTTTAAATTTTTATTTTACCTCCTCAATACAGTCTTTATTGCCGAAGCACAATATTCCAATTAAATATTCCAAAACCAAGTAGTTTCAAAAATAAATTAGAATTAATCGAAGATCAGAATTTGCTTGTAAATAATTTAGTTGTAGATAAGATTTCTAAATATTTAATAATATTATAAATGATTAAAATATTTATAAATAATATTTAAAAATAACTCAAATTGGAAATTAAAATAAATAAAAACAGAATAAAAATCAGAATAAAATCAGAATAAAATTTGAAAAAAAAATCAGAATCTATAGAATAGAATCAGAATTAATATTGAAAAATAATAAATAAAGTTTCAACTTATTAAAATAAAATATAAAATTGTTAAAAAAAATAATAAATAAAGGACAAAATTAATGGCCTGATGAAGAATAAAAATAAATGAATAAATGTGAAGAAGGAAGAAAAATGAATGGCTTGGCTTTAGAGAAAGCCAAGCCTGAGAGGCAAACTATCCTTCCTTTTTCTTCCCCTCTAGAGAAGATAGAAATAGGCCACTCATTGTAACAAAGGCCGTTACATTCGGTTTTGCCTAGGCAATAATAATTTCTTTCTGCCTCCCGTGTAAAGGATGGGAAATTGAAGAGAATAATAATTTTTTTTTATTGTAATAAATAAAGAAATAGGACAAAAATTTCTGCTCTAGATGAGAAAGAAGATAAAATAAATTTTATAAAAAAAGGATGAATGTGCGCAAACAATTATTGCGTTTTGAAACACTTCGGTGATACTGTATTTTTTTAGGTATTTTCATTCAGACTTCCCGAAGGAATGTATATACATAAATATATTTTTTTTTCTAGGGCTATATCACTTTTTAGGACAATCTTACTTATTATCATGACTTCGAATTACCAGTTTTATTTTCTTACTTAATTCTCCTTTCTTTGTCCTAGTCTCATTAATTAACATTAATTTTATTTAGAGCTAATATTTTATATTATTTGACCGGTAATCTACTTTATGGTTGTCCTTTTATTTTACCTAAAGCCCTTTTATCTAGTTTATATTTAATTATTTATTTTCTCTCAGAGTCTGTCTTGCCGAAGCAATCACGCGCGCGCGAAGAGTTAGTCCCTCATCAATCTATCTCCAAATTTTTGTCTACCGGCCGCCCAGGCCAATGGAATGTCGCGAAGTCGCGCAACCAACCATCCGGTGCTACCAATAACACAGCACGCCTCTTGTGGAACGTGCTGGCATGGGCCATTCCATTCGGGGTATTTGGTGGACTTCAATATAAGAGAAACCTAAATCCTATCGGGAAGCTTAAAGGGTTGATCAAGTCCTCTGGCTTGCCGAGGCACAGATATTAATTTACACAGAGATGTAACAGTGTCTTTATTCAACAGGGAAAATACATATAAATAAAACCAACAATAAAATATATATTTACTAACTCCGACCAAACATAACAATTAACTGAACCAATTACAAAGGAAAATAAAAGGATTAAATATATGAGCAATAAATGGGCGGAAATGTGTTTAATGGGAAAATCATTTAATGGAAATACAAAATCTCTTTGCTCTTTAACCTTCGGGATAAAGTCCTTCCTTACAATTTTCAATTTTCAACTTTTCGGTTCGGTTCGGTTTGAAACCGACAACCCTAGTCCGGGATTATCAAAATCGATCTATTTTTAGGATTTGGAGGGGCTTTTTGTTGAATATTTAATTAAAAGTTTGGCACCTAATCGGCCGGCGCCTAATCGGTCGCGCCTAGTCGGCCCGCGCCTAATCGGGCTGAACCCAATATACAATGGAGGAGGAAGAGGAAATGTCAGCCGATTGTCTAGATACTTCAGAAACGTCCACAGATTCTTCCAAATCGTTAACAAGCTCTTCAAGATCTTTAATGGACACAATAGAATCTTCAATAGAAATCGAGGCTTCTACAACTAAATCTGAGGAATGTGACAAGAAAATTGTTCAAATGAAAAATGGTGGATTAATTGGCAATTACAAAGTGGTGAGACGACTTGGGGAAGGTTCAAGACCTTTAAATTTGCCAGAATATTAATTTTAACTTTTAAGGTGGTTGCGGGGTCGTCTATCAAGTAAAAGCAAATAACAAACACTACGCAATGAAAGTTGAACGCTTGGATATGGACAAAACTGATCAACTTTTGGGAATAGAAGCTCATGTTCTCAAGCGTCTGCAGTCCTCTCCTTACACTGTTCAGTTCATTCAGTGTGGGACTTGTCAAAGTATGGCGTTTAGGTATCTGTGTAGTTTACCTCCCATAAGCCACGCCTTTTTTTCTTTTATATGGAGAGGAAACCTGAAATCAATAAAATAAAGTTATATCACTACAAGAATTCACTTTGCAAGAATTGAAGGGAGAAGAGAAAGGGGTCGGAACTTATGGGGGGTAAACTACACAAGTGGTGGTGTTTGTCAATTTATTAACCCTCCATTTTTCAGGTAAAGGTTTAGGCCTTCGTGTGCTCATTATGGGATTGCTGGGCCCTTCTATAGATGAATTACGGAAGCAAGAAATTAAAGAAAGATTCAATATGGGGACTGTGTTGAGGATTGGCTTTCATGCTTTGCAGGTTAACTTGCCTTTGAATTAATATTTTCCCCAATAAATTTTAGGCAGTCGCATTTGTTCATTGTTCATATTTTGTCCATCAAGATATCAAGCCTAGCAATTTTGCCATTGGAGTAAACAACACCAGACGAATCTATCTATTCGATTTTGGGCTTTCTAGAGCACTTAAAAAACGTGGCGATATGGAATTGCGTACAATGAGGGAAGATGTTTCATTCCGAGGAACTTCAGGATATTGCAGCTTGAACGGTATTTTTTAAATAGAATATTGTTGGGAGGAAGAGCAAGGGAAGGCAACGCCCCGGCAGCTTTGATGAGGCAAAGGGTACATCTCAGGGTTTAACGCGGCCAACTCGCTGTTGGTCAAATGACCCTGGAGGTCAACTTCAGATACTTGGATGGATGGATGACTTTAAGATAATGAATACGTTGCCTGTTTCCTCTTGCTTTGTCTGACAGTTGCAAAGGACCTCTATGTTGTAGACCTCCTGGTTTGATCCCTAGCACAATACGTGGTGAACGGAAAACACCTAGGAATAACTGCCAGAAATTTGCAGGATAGATACGCCTTGGGCTTCTTACATGCCCCTTTTACCTCTCTTTTACTATATTTCAAGTTACTCATTTTTTTTATTTCAGTACACAACAGAATGGAACATGGAAGGCACGACGACCTATGGTTAGTTTTGTATTTTAAAGCAGACATGATTTATTTAAAAATTTTCAGGTCAATCTTCTACATGCTTGCAGAACTGAAAACTGGCGATCTTCCATGAATGGGAAGATCTCGAAACAAAACAAAAATTTTAAAGGCGAAATTAATGGATTTTGAGTATATGCATGTATTTTTTGAATTTTTTTAGAAAAAATTTTCAAAGATTCTTTAGGGATGTCCAGTCGCTTTCTCAACAATTTTGAATTATTCGCGAACTTTGGATTACCACAAAAGACCCGATTATATCGGAATTGAGCTACCTTTTATTGATTAGGGACGAAGGAACTAGAGAGCCGAATTTTCTACATGTTTTTTTGAATTCTTTGAGGAAGTGTTTATTCACTGTTTTTAAGTTTTCCAAGTGGCTGGATGCCCCTCTAATCGTTTTTGCACTTGAAAATCGTAAGATGCTTTAAAATCGCTTGAGTTGTGAACAATCATCGTTCTCTGGATTCCTTTGCCCATTTCACCTAATAACTATCGTCATTAACGGTTTAACGATTTATTTTATTTTGGGAAGGTTTTGCCGTCCTCCACGTTATGAAGAAATTTCTACAAAACAACATGGCTTTCCTTCACCTAACATTCTTCACAACAATCAATCTTATTCCTTTGCTGAAACGCCTATAAATTTTGATTCATTTTCATTAACAGAACATGAACGTTGTGATAGAAGTTTGCAAAATTTTTTAATTTTTTGGATAATTCGAAAAAATTTTTATTAAGGATTTTTACTCATTTTGGTGTAGAGCAGCAACAATCAAACATACTCCCTGCCTTTACCATTGCAGTCTTGTAGATTCTTCACATTGTCAAATACCTGCTAATTGTTTTTTTAGTCCCCTCTTCAGAAGAAAGAAAAAAAGAAATTGTTGCTAAAAAATTTGGGTGTTGGAGGAGCTATTCCATTAAAACAAGGACAATTGTATAAACGTTCAAAAAATGGATTAAATAAAGAATGGCCGGTTTGGAACCGTGGAACCGGCCGAGGTCTGGAACAGGTTTATAACCATAATCGTGAAACCGACTAAGGTCTGGAACCGGAACCGTGGAACCGGCCGAGGTCTGGAACCGGAACCGTGAAACCGGGCGAGGTCTGGAACCGGTATGGAACCAGAACCGTGAAACCGACAAAGGTCTGGAACCGGTTTGGGACCGGAACCGTGGAACCGGCCGAGGTCTGGAACCGGTTCCAAAGATACACCCCTAATGATGGGTGAAAAAAAAGAAATAGCAAAAGATGGGAAACGTGAGAGGAAAAGGATGAAAAATTGATACAACTAAAAACGATTTTCTTTGCTTTTCTTTCTGAAGGATGTGTGGTTGACAGCATAGTGTGTTGGGTTCGTAGTTTTGATGACTTATCTGGGTCTGGAAGAATATTTAATTTTCAAGCTGTTTTCCGGAAAGTTAAAAATAAACTTGAAAAGAGTCAGAAAATAATTAACCAGGTATAATTGAATTGAGAGTTATTTTTCAGAGTTATTTTTTTTCAAATTTTATTTATTCTGGTTTAAACCAGAAATTATACTTAAAAGAAACTAAACTTAGAGAAATCAGAATAAGCCGGAACTCTAAATTTTTAATTTGTGAGTTATTTTAGATAAATCAGAATTTTGCAAAGAACTCTGAATTTTTAATTATATAAACCAGAATTCTTTCATAAATCAGAACTCTAACTTTTAATAGTTCTGGTTTATTTCCTGATTTACCTAGCTTGTTTATTCTAAATATTGGTTCAGTTTAATTTCTGTCTCAAATCAGAAAAAATTATAATTCAGGTAATATTCAGGGTTATTATTTGCTTATAGCATCAGAAATAATAATAAAATATTATTAGTATAATTAGGATAATTCTAAGTATTCCGGAAGAATCAGAATTAAATATTTTTCCTGAAATAAATTAAATGGAAATATAAATAATATATTAAAAAATCAGAATTGTTCCAGAGCATCAGAATAATATAAAATATACTAATTCTGATTATTCCGGAAAAACCAGAATATATTTTTCCGGAAAATATAGATAATATTTAGGGTTATTATTTCTGGAAGTTAAAGAGAATATTCCAAAGAATCAGAAAATAATTATAGTAAATAATAATTAGAAAATAATATAATAAAATTTAGAGTTATTTTCTAGAGTTATTTTTTTAAAGTAAAAAATAATACAAAAATATTAATTAAATATTTTATGTTGCAACTTTTTTAGTCTAACCTTCAGTATACGAGCAAAGATCCAAATAAAAATAGTAAAGCAGCTGGGCTATAGCTATTTCTCTCCTTTAGCTAGTGCAAAGGTTATTCGGCGGCTGGGAGCGAACCAGCATCTTCAGTAGACTGGACTGATGTGTTAGCCATTACACCACGCCTTAAGAATTAAATAGCTATATGCTTTACAAAATGCTTCAAACGGCTCGAAGACTCCTTAACACCCTCCATATATTAGCTACATGATATTTCCATCCGGCAGCCAGTTTATTTACCAAATCCTCGAACCGCAAAAGCAATTTATATTTTTCTGGTGATAATGGCTCTTGATTGTAGTTATTTTTATCGTTTTCTTGTTCGTTTTTTGTGTTTTTTAAAGAAGAGGTAGGATTTATGGATGAAGAGGGAGAATATGATGGATTTTGTGGAGTGAATGAGCTCGAAGAAGAAGAGGAGGAAGAGGAATCGCTTGATGTCATTGAAAGTCGTTTAGATGAGGTGGTATGTGAAGATTGAAGAATTTGGAAAATAGCGGACTTTTTATCTATTATTTAGTTATTGTTTTGTTTAATGCAGGTGGACCATAACCAAAAAAGAAGATAAAAAAGCTGTTAACTTGTAGAGCTATAAAAAGCTTTTTAGGGGAAAGCATTAATATTTCCGCCTGCTTCTCTAATTTAAAAAAGACTGCTTTGTCTGTCAAGTTTTATTTTTTGCTACCTGCCAAGTTTATTTTTCCCAAAAGTTTATACTATTTTTTCCAAGTTTTGCTATATAGAATATTTAATTTTCAAGCTGTTTTCCGGAAAGTTAAAAATAAACTTGAAAAGAGTCAGAAAATAATTAACCAGGTATAATTGTATTGAGAGTTATTTTTCAGAGTTATTTTTTTCGAGTTTTATTTATTCTGGTTTAAACCAGAAATTATACTTAAAAGAAACTAAACTTAACAGAAATTAAAATGAAACCAGAACTCTGAATTTTTAATTTATGGATTATTTCAAATAAATCAGAATTTTGAAAAGAACTCTGAATTATAAGTATTATAAACCAGAATTATAAAAAATTATAAAATAATCCCTAATCAAAATTCTGAATAGAATTATTATAAACCAGAATTTTATAAAATTATAAATATATAATCAGAATTCTGAGTATAACTCTGAATTTTTATCAACCAGAATTGTTTTATAAATCAGAACTCTGAATTTTAATAATTCTGGTTTATTTTCAGAATTTTTTCCGAATATTTTTCAGAATTTATATAATAAAACTTGAAGCAATTCTCTATTAAGGAACTATTGTGTTTTTGTTAAAATTTGTGTTCTGAAACTTTTTTTTAAAAATACATATTCTCATGCAATTTTTTCTCAAAAGTGCACAAAAACAACAATTTAAAGCAATATGTAGTTGGGTTTGGTATTTTATAAAAAAAGCTAAAAAAGAAATCTGAGAGTATATACGGGAATTTAATCTTTCTATAAAGCTCTGCGGGGCACATTTATTTATTTTCAATGTTGACAAAAATATAAAAAAATGGGGGAGAAAGAGTTTTATTATATTAGCTTGTTTCTAAATATTGTGTAGCGAATATTTAAAGGTTCAGCATCGGGTACTCCCGTAGGTGTAATTAATTGTTCTGTGGCGTTTTCGCTAGCACCGACTTCGTTTACTGCTGCAATGTATAGCTGGTATGCTTGGCCGTTATCTAAAGTAGAAAAATTTCTAAAAATTTTCCAATGATTTCAAAAATCAATTAGAATAATATTAAGGATTGAAACCCCTTTTTCATTTTTTATTTAAAAATCATCATTTTCTAAAATCTCATTTAAATCGTCTCGTTAATCCAGACAATTTTTTATTATGTTTAGGGTCCTGGATTCGGAACCAAACCAAATAAGAACGATTTTTCGATATGGTTTCCGATTCCGTCCAGATAGGATTTTCCAAGACACGAGAACCCTAACTATAGGTAGTTGCTTTTGTAAAGCATATAGCTATTAATTTCCTAAAGCTGAGCAGTAGGCGGCGTGGTGTAATGGCTAACACATCAGTCCGGTCTACTGAAGATGCTGGTTCACTCCCAGCCACCGAATAACCTTTGCACTAGCTAAAGGAGAGAAATAGCTATAGCCCAGCTGCTTTACTCTTTGATGGATTTTTGAAGGACCTCCCATTTGATTTTTGAAGGCTTTCCCCATATTTTCCCCCCACTTTCCCCCATATTTAAAAATATTTTAATTATTTAATTAAATATTTAATGAAAAGTTCAATTTCCTAAAATTAAATTTCCAAATTAAATTATTACATAAATTATTAAGAATGAAAGACCATTCATTTGGGCTCTATGAACCGCAACTTCCACCACAAATCCCCTTTCATGTTGAAAGCAGCTACCCGAATGGCATATTCTGTGTTAGGCTCCAAATCGTTTAAATGAGCAAAGAGCTTCTTTAAAATAATTTTTCTTGAATTTTTTAAGTTTTAAAAATTTTTCTAGATTTTTTTTAAATTAAAAGAAAATTTTTTTGAATTTTTTAAATTAAAATTTAAAGACTTACTAATTAGAAAAATCAAAAAATTCTTATAAAAATTTTTTAAAACAGCTTACAACAATAAATAGCTATAGCCCTGCGTAGATTATTAACAAAAGCTTCATTCACAATTTGGAACTAAAAAACATTTAAAAATATTTTTAGTTATGATTATATGATTGAGGCTCTTAATAGTTCACGGTCCGAAATATTTTTTGTCAAATTCAAACACATGAATCTATAACCAAATACAGTATATACCCAAATAGAAGCCCAAGATTCTATTATCCAGGACCTTATTGAGGGGCTTCTACATATGAGTAATAAGTTAGTACATATATTGGCAATTGCCTAATATTCAAAAATTGTTCTCAATGAGGATTAATGACAAACCCTTATTTCTATTAATTTAAGAATTTCAGTTTAGCTTATAAAAATCATTTTTTTATTAATTTTGAACCTCAACTCCTTCGAAAATATATTCGGGAAAAAAATAAATAAATAGATTTAGGTATTTCCTCTTAATAAAAATCAAAAACCTTATAAACATTATATCCGAATACTTCAGCCAATTCATCATCAGGAGGCTGCCAAGTGACTTTAACAGTTGAGCTGTTCATCTGCGTAACGTGGACATTACGAGGGGGTGGTGGGACTTTAAATTTTATTTTTTTATTCCAAAATTTTTTTAAATATCAACCATGGTCTGAATAACCATTCACAAATTTATTATTGCCAAATAGAAAAATAAATATTAAAATATTAATTAAATATCGAGGCACAAAATAATCAAATAATTTGCAAAACTGCATCCTTTTTAGTTTAAATAATTTTAGTTTAATTTTGGGGAAATATTTGTAATAATTAAAATTATTAATATAATTAATGTTGCTCAGATATTTTGAATTTAAGAATAATTTATTTCTTGAAGATTTTTCGTTACTAGTACTATTTTTATCTCAGGTGTCATTTTAGTCGCTTTTAAAATAAATAAAAATAGAACGTGATAAACGATCCTTTAAGCAAATAAATTTAAAAAAAGGAGAGGTTAAGAATATTTTTAGTAATATTCCCTCTTATTTATGGCCTTTTGTTAGCCTAAAAAAGCACTATAGTTGTTGGCGCGGTGCCCAAGAATGCTGCCCGGCTGGCAGTAAAAATGGTCAAGAGGGGGGAGTGGGTATAAAGGGAAGGGAAGGAAAATATCTTGAAATTTTATTTTTTATTTTTGAAAAAATTTTAGAAAAATTGAAAATTAATTTTTAATAATTTCATGTCCATTTAAAAAAGGAACGACCGCTTATAAAAACCGGGATAGCATATTTGAGCCTATTTATAGCCTTCCGGTTTTCTCCTATAATCTAGTTAAAGGAAGGAATATTCTCGTAAGTATGGATTAAAAATCTGTCTGTAAATAAATTTAAAAATAAAAAGTTATTACGGTCAATGGGGTGGCAATTGTTTGTTCTACTATGCTAAGCGCTGGTACACTACACTCTGTCCCAAAAATGGGATCACCCCAGAATATCGACACCCTAAATATCGACACCCTAAATATCGACACCCAAAATATCGATGACCCAAAATATCGACACCCAAAATGACGAATTACCCAAAATATCGAATTTTTTAAATTT